AAAAAAAAAAGGAAAAAAAAAAAAAAAAAAAAAAAAAAAAAAAAAAAAAAAACTTTATACGTTCGTACTGTCAAAAATCGATTCCATTCAGCTAATCTCGCTACTCACTCCCTCCCCATCCTCCTCAAAACCCCTCCCACCGCGCCCTCCTCACCACCGTCATCCCCACCGGCCGCCGCCGCCACCACGACCGGGACGCGGAAGCGCGGGGGTCCGACGTAGACCTGGACGCGACCATTGGGGTTGGGCCGCTCGTTGCGCCAGACGATCTCGGCGGCGGGGATGAGGCGCGTGGCGTGCTGGCGTCGGCGGGCGTCAGCAATGCGCAGCACGGCGCCGCCGCCGCCGCCGCCGCTCGACAGGGGGAAGGCGCCCGGCAGCGCGGTCCACGAGAAGGAGAAGCGCGCCGGCGTGCAGTTGGTCGGCGGCAGCGAGCCCAGCACCTGGTACGTGGTGCCGGTGCCGGCGCAGCGCGCGGTCGCCGAGGTCGTGTGCAGCGTCAGGGCGAAGCTGGGGAGGATCGGGGCTGCGTTAGCGTCCGCGATGTATAAGTGTTTGTGTGTAAGTGTCATGTTGTGGGTGCTCACGGTTGTGTCCAGTATGCGAGAGGAGAAAGGGGTCAACGCGTGGGAGGACGGGAAGACGTCTTACTAGGCACTGCTACCATGGGGCTCGGCTGCGGCGCTGAGGTCGCTGATGTCCCAGTAGGCGTCCATCTCTGGGCTTCCCTGAGCCGATGTGCCCAGTGGCAGGAGAAAGGCGGCGAGCATGTACAGCAGCTGCATGACGGCTTAGATGCAGGGCGTTAGATGAGAGACGACTGGACTGATATTGTACAATGTCCCGATTATGGGAAGCAGAGAAGTTGCTCAGGACAGCCACGATCCCAAACCCGTTATATGTAGGAAGTTCGCATGGATTGCGTCGCGAGATTCTCGGATAGGCGACGTCCCACGGCGTGTCTCAGTGCTCTATGAAGAACGATTAGGTACCGAACACAAAATCGAATATCATTGCGGTGTCTGGTCTCTCCAGCCGGCTGTCAGACCATGATTCCAGTCGTGATTCGTCGTCAATACTCAGAACGGAAGATCTTGTTTCATTGTGGCCTACGACACCAGCCAGAGGTGGAAATTATAAGCAGTGATGTGTGATCTGAGAGCTTCCTGTGAGCGCGGCCCTACCGCGTGGACATTATCATCTTGGCATAACCAGAAACTACCGACGCCGGAGGGACGGCCTGATTGTTCCGGGAAGTAGTACGGTGAGAAAGGATCGTCGAGAGCACACAAGATATCGGAGGCATGTAGAGACTGTAGGTTCATTTGATGGTATCAATATCGTCTATGACCACTAAACTACACAAAGCCTTATGGAGTATCATATAAACAAGGTTCGCCAACCGAAAGCATTACCGCAACCTCCGCTCCCGTGTATCTAGCTCAATCCTTACAAGGCCATGAGACCGGCAAGGAAGGGCAACAAGACCACGGGGGCAGCCTTAGCGCCGACCTTGAAACCGGCATTCTCAGTCTTGTTTCCACTGCCACTTGAGGTGCCGCTGTTGGAGCCAGCAACATTGGTGGAATCGTCGGCAAGGGGCGAGACAGTAACGGTCAGTTTCTGCAAGAGTTAGTTCATCAGATCCACATGTCTCCAGCAGGGCAGTCTCATGTGAACACTTACAGAGCCGTCAGCGCCAGTGATGGCGTAGTCGAAGCTGTAGTCGTCGATGTCGATGATCTTACCAATGACGGCACCGGGGGCACCGCCATCGATCAGCTCCTGAGCTCCCGGGGGAAGAACAGGCAGGGTGAAGTTGTTGCTGAAACCTTCCTCCTTGATGAGGGACTCGGCGCACTTGGGCGGGTTGGAGCTGCTGGAGGTGCTGGCCTTGACACTCTGGACGCTAGCCCAGTCGACCTTGAGGTACTGGTTCTTCAGGCTGTCGAAGTCGGAAAGCAGCTTGACGGAGCCATCATCAGCGACATCAGCGAGGCCGTAGTTGTTCTTCTCCTGGGCGAACTCGTAAACGACACCTCCGCTGAAAACTCCCATCATGTCAGGGCCGTAGATGGACTGGATCTCGGTGAAGACACGGGGCGAGGGGGTGTTGCAGCCGAACTCGGAGTAGAAGATGGGGACGGAAGAGGTCTTGAACATGGCAACCAGCTGATCGTAGCCCGACTCCTGGAAGGTGCTCTCACCACACCACGAGTAGCTGTTCAGGGCGAAGATATCGGCCTTGGACATGTTGTCCTCCTCGCCGTCGATGGCGCACTGAAAGTAGTTCCAGCTGTCCTCGAGGACGTCACGCACATCGGCAGCCGAGTAGCCGACGGGGATGGCGCGGTCGGCGTGGTTCTTGATGTAGTTCTTCAGGTCACGAGTGACGGCGCGGACGTAGGGAGGGGCGGTGCCACCCTGCTCAACGTTGGAGATGACCTCGTTTCCGGAGAAGAAGGCGAGAGTGTTGGGGTAGCCCTTGAAGTTGTCGACAATGGCGAAGGTGCGGTTCAGGTAGCCAGCGTAGTACGACTCCCAAGGAGCCTCCGAGTTGATAGACTCGCCAGCCAGGGGAGAGTTGACGTCGAGGATCATGTACATGCCGGCCTTGTTGAAGATGCTGGCACACTCATCGTGGTTGAGGTAGGGGTCCAGGTTGTAGACACGGATGGTGTTGATGCCCAGCGACTGCATCAGGGCGGCATCACGCTTGCAGACCTTGCCGTCGGAGAGAGGGTCCTTGCCGTGGCTAGGGTCGTAACCAGCACTACCGCCGATCTGGTAGGCCATACCGACGACCTGGAACTCGCTGCCGGTGGCGGCATTGACGAACTTGTTGCCCTGGACTGTCAGGCTAGGAACAGCGGCGACAACCGTCGCGCCCAAGGCGACGAGGGCAGATTGGACCTGGCAGGCTCATGGTCAGTCTTGGAGCGTTTGGAGCCTGTGAGGTTGTCGTGGGATATTTAGGTTTGAGACTGAATCACGGGCACGCAGGGCTACTGCAGGGACCCAACGGCGCGGGATTCTGCGTGTAAAAACGAAGGTGGGTGGCGGAGGGTTTGCTGCAGATCGCGGGCACTGGAGGGGGAAGCGCAACCAACGCGGGCCGACTTACGAGCATCTTGACAGCTATTCAGCAGTGCGATTGTCGTCTTTATTAGTTTGTAGTATGCGAGAGAAAGACGTCTCCTTTCTTGAGGTCTTCTCTGGATCGTTTGGTGTTTTCCGATGGGGGCTCGCTGGTTCGTATCCAAGTGACCGAGCTAGAGACGGGTGATACGAGAATTGGATCGGTGGAAGCCGTCCAAACACGAAAATGCAATTGGTTTTGCTTGCGAGAGAGTGACAAGAAGAAGCAGGCAAATGCCCGAGAAAGAGTCTGTTCAAAAAAAGAGGGAAAGAAGCACACCACGAAAGACAGCTACGCAAACGTCCGACTTGGTGGATGAAGGAGTGACTGGAATACGATGCGCCCCGGGGCTGGCGAGGAGGGAGCGGTCCTTTATTCCCGCTAACCTGGGAGAGCCTGCCCGTCTGCCACTCGACCGTCGACCCCGTCCGTACGTGCCTGTCGCAGATTTGGAGGGCCTGGAGGGTGTGAGATTGACTCTGGGCCTCTAGTGCATCATGATCCCCATCTGCCCAGCATGGTGGCCCCCCCGTGGCCCCCCGGCGGTGCCCCCCCGTTGGTGCGGCGGCCTGCCCATTGGCTCTTCCAAGGCGGTAGCGGCTGCTTCTTGGTTCCTGGGCGGGCCATGGCACCCTGTGCTGGTGGGCCGAATCCCTGGTTTGCCAGGCTTGGCGCCCAATCATCCGTCTCGAGATACCTGTGTTAAGGTATTTCTACGTTTTCTGGAGCCCGCGCCGCCCTCTGCACTGAATTTCCAGTGGATAAGCTTAACTACAGTAAAAGCGAGCCATCGTAAAGAGAGTTATTCGGTGGACTCTCCTCGTCATGTCTCCAGCGAGTAACAAACCTCCTGCGCCTACCAATCCTCCGGCATTGCGAATCTGTGACAGCTCCCGACGGGAGTCCGAAATCCTTCAGCAGCAGAGACAAAACCCCCAATCAAGCCAGAGGCCCTTCCCTTTCCTTCCCTTCCCTGTACTGTACTGAACTGTACTGAACAGAGTCTGACTGTCGGCCCCCAGCCTGGAGCCAGTCTGACAGCGACTGACGCTAGTCTTGGTCGTATCGTACCTGCATAAGTAATTCCCTTACCCCCACTAGCAGGGGTTGTTTAGGTATTCCGGGTCACTCATAATCCACGCAAATGTCAGACGGCCTGCATAATCTTCTATTAACGGTTTTGAAAACCACCGTTCACGAGCCCAGCAATGGAGCGTTTAATTTGCTAATCCCCCAAACAGTTCACGGCCGCTCAACCATATTGCGCCTTGTCTTCTTGTTCGCATTCTCGGTCGGCCGGTCGGTCGGCTTGGTGTCCTTGGTGTTTCTTGGGATTCCTTTTATTTGCGTCTTGGGCGACCGTCCTACGGCGACTCTCACCAACTAACCAAGGCTCTGGTACATTTAGGCGTCTTTCCAAGACCGAACCCTCACCTGAGGAAGAGGCTGTGCATCTTGAGTTTCGTGTGCTCGTCGAACTTGCGCCCATCTCCAAGACACCAAGACTTGTAGGCTGCAATCCTACACGAGATTGCCTCCCTCGGCATGCAGCAGCACCCACCAACTGACCAGACGTATTCTTGGGCTACCTTCCATGACGATTCGGACTCACCCGCCCTTCTAATCTGTATATGCGTCTCTCTCATCAGAGAAGGCAGTTGAAATCGGTCTTCCACAACCTATGTGATGCAATGTACCTGAATCTAAAAGCACGTGGGGTTCTACGAAGTGACGCCACTCTTGGTATGAGGTGCACCAAGCCGCCCTCATTACATCAGTGATCACGCAACTTGGCAGCAGTCGAGGGAAACCTGGTTGCCAGTAACGGACGTCTTGACCTGCTAGAAGATAGAACTGTCTGCCGCTTGCAGATCTTCAAGACGTCACAGCCACTCTCTGGGAGGCGCTCAAATCCACTGATGTGCACGGATTTGCGGGATCATGAAACGCGCGGGCGACTGTCTGTTCAACCACTGACAATCGCAATTCTGCGCCTGCTCTTCATTTCAGGGGTAAAACAGGCCGGATCCCTGCTGCAGAGAAAACGAAAGGGGGGTTCCACAACCTCATTCTACCTTCACCGCCTGCCCCTTCATCGTGGCCCGGCGAGTTCTGCCACCCACCCCACAATTCCCGAGTCCAGAGTGGGATGGCATGGCCGCCAGGCTGCCGGATGGCAGCAACCCCGTCCCCGGTTTTGATACATGCCTATCCGGTTCCCCAAACCCACAGTCGGTAGCAGAAGGATCTTCGGTGCCTGCTGTTCCTCCCCCGCTCCGTTCGCCAGCACCCGCCAAAGCAGCACAATGGCTCCCAGTACGTTCGGCCCCGGGCGTGCTCGCGCGCCGCCCACCGCCCACCGCCCACCAGCATGCAGCGCGAAGAGAGAGAGACAGTAGACAAGAGACCGACTGACACTCCCCGGCCCCCCTCTAGCTCCTCCTACCGACCGACGCCCCCTCGTCATCTCCGGGCCCTCGGGCGTCGGCAAGGGCACGCTGTACGGCAAGCTCTTCGCCGCCCACCCGGACACCTTCACCCTGTCGGTCTCGCACACGACCCGCAAGCCCCGCGACGGCGAGCAGGACGGCGTCCACTACCACTTCGTCACCATGGAGGAGTTCGAGGGCCTCATCGCCAAGGATGGCTTCGTGGAGCACGCCAAGTTCGGCAGCAACCGATACGGCACCAGCAAGGCCACCATCGAGGAGCAGACCGCCAAGGGCAAGGTCGTCGTGCTAGACATTGAGATGGAGGTTCGTACGGTCTCTTCATGTCTGATATATGGCCCCTTGCGCAAAATTCTGTCCACAGCCCCGGCTCGACTACGATTACAAACCAAGCCGCCCTTCTGAGCCCCATGCGTCCCTCACGTTCCTATCTTCTTCCCCAAGCTTGGGAGCAATTCTTCTCCCTTCCTGGCACCTGGCACTAACGCCTACACTCCCCAGGGCGTCAAGCAGATCAAGGCGTCCAGCCTGGGCGCGCGCTACGTCTTTATCGCGCCGCCGTCGTTCGAGGCGCTGGAGAAGCGCCTGCGCGGCCGCGGCACCGAGGACGAGGACGCCGTGGTCAAGCGCCTCGACCAGGCCCGCGTCGAGCTCGAGTTCGCCAAGACCCCCGGCGTTCACGACATCACCATCGTCAACGACGACCTCGACAAGGCCTACGCCGAGCTCGAGGCCTACGTCTACAAGAAGTGAGCCGGTCGGTCAGCTGAGACTCGGCCACGAGAGAGGAATTCTACGGGATGGTCATAAGGGATGCGGTGGAGGCGAGAGAATATATGCCAAATTCAGGATATGACAGAGCGCCATAGAAGAAAATAGATCAGAACACAGTCCAGCGGCGGAAAGAAAAATCGTAGTACTTGTAAAAATCCGAGGAAAATAGAGAATTTATGAGCTTCCGACTTCCAATGTGTATATCGCCAAAGAGCAGGGAGACGTACGGGCTCTGAAGTCCTTCCGCGGACGGGGAGAACGGGAGAAACTAGACCAGAGACTATGTCCCCCCGTCTGTACCCCTGACTTCGCTTTCCATAGGCGGGTCGCGAACGAAGCACAAGTAAGGACTTGAAGTCTCACAAGCGTGCAATGGGAGCTGTGAAGAGGTACTCTGACTGCGGTTGCTCGCGGCGCAACACCGTACAGGTTTGTACCTACATGCTCGAAACGGAACGGTTGAGCCAAGGGACGAAATATACCATGTGGTTCTGCAATCTAACTACGCCAACGCATACACTGCATCACTGCTTCAATACAGCAGGCGTAAAGGCCAGGTGCTTTTTGACTTCTCTCAATTAAACTTTAGGGGCATTGGTATGGAAAATGAAAATGGAAGAGAGCTTTGCGAATACTACAAGGAGAGAAAAAAAAAAAAAAGAACTGCGTCGACTCTCCCAGCGAAGGGAGGAAATACTGCTTGCTTGCTCTCCGTAGCCGACACATAACACAAGAAGGCTTTATCAACCATAAATCGGGGCCAGCCACCCTGGGGGCTACCCCGTGGATATCTGGAACTCTCGTCTAGTCCACCTGAACGACCCCTCCACGCTGTTCTCGCAATTTTGGTATCCTCGACAGTAGTAGTAAGAGAGCCGCTTTATTTTTTGTTCTCTCCCCGTCTCTTTGGAGGCACTAGGAGATATATGTCACGCCATGTCTTTGCACGTAAAGCGTCAAAGGGGTACTAGTCGTCGTCATTAAATGGGGAATAAGGTAGAAGAAAACTCTCGCAAGCGACCAACGCCAGTAGACCGGAGTACGCCCTGCTGAAAGTACGAATAACCAGAGGTCATGAGGCTTAGTAGCCGTTCATGGTCATGCGTTGAGAGCTTCTGCTGAGTTCCCGGTCGGCGGCGGGAGAGATGGGCCTGCTGCCGTGACCCTGTGCGCTGCTCTCCTTGAGTGCCAGCAGCTGCTTGGCACGGAAAGTCTCGTAGTGGATTTGCGACGTGGTCTCGATGAGATCTTGCAGGTGGGTGCGGAGGAGGAAGTTTCGGAGGTAGATGAACTCGCAGTGGTTCTCGTCCTCTACGTTGATGACGCCCCAGCGGTTCTGGCGTCCACGGACCTGCTTGCCATTGACAATGATGGACTTCTCCGAGCCGACAACAGCGAAGGGAACAAGGCTCTGCCACGTGGGTTAGTCATGCATGATGCCAAGGGGGCGTGCTGAGAGCAACATACCTTGATCTCGGTGTTGATGGCGCGCTCCTCATCGTCCAGCTCCTCGCTGTCGTAGGGGTACATCTTGAGGTTGTGGAAGGCAAACTCCTCCTTGATGCGCTCCTTGAAGGCCTGTCTCTCCTCCAGAGTCAGGGAGTCGGCCTTGGCAATGACGGGGACGACATTGACGACGTCGGACAGCTTCTTCAGGACGACAATGTCGATGGGCTTCAGGGAGTGGCCCGAGGGCTGGATGAAGAACAAGCAGCAGTGGATACGGGTGTCCTGAATGTAGCGCTCACGCTGGGCGGTAAGCTCCTTGCGCAGGTAGGCCGAGTGCTGGTCCTTGATGTACTTGACGATGGCGTCCCAGCAGCGGTCGTTGTTGACGAGGTCGCCGTAGCCGGGGGTGTCGACAATGTTGAGCTTCAGGCGGACGCCGTTCTCCTCGATGATGTGCGACACGGGGTGGATCTCGGTGGTGGAGCGGATGGGCTCATCGGGGACCATGCGACCTTTGGAGTCGATCAGGTGGGAGGCGAAGATGGTGTTGATCAAGGTCGACTTGCCGAGACCGGTCTGGCCTGCGAAGATGAATCTGCGTCAGCGCTGCTGTGCGTAGAAGGTTATGCCCCCCTTGCTTGGTGCTGGCGAGACCAAGGTGCTATGTGGACAGCGTTTGGCAGCCGGGCAGGGGGGGAGAGGAGTATCATGACCTACCGACGCAGATGACATTGAACTGGAAACCTCTCTTCAGGAGCTTCTTTTCGATCTGGTTGGTGATGCTGTCGAAACCGACGTGGGTGTCGGGGTAGACGGTCGGGGCGGCCATGGCTTCTGAGGGTGGTGGTTGAAGGGGGACGGGATGGGGATGGTTTCCTGACGCGGAGTGCAGTCTGTCTGGAGTTCCTGGAGTCGGCAGCCGGATCCAAGAAACAGGCTAATGGCAAGGCGGCAGCAGGTGAATTGACGGACAAGGACGCGTGGTCAATGCGAAAAAAGGAGAGAGGGGGGAGACGAAACGATATCGTGGGCGTGTCGTTGGCGTAGCTGGAGAGCGGTTGAGGAGTGAGTGGCCCTGCCGTTGGAGTTTAGGGGACTTTTCGGCCGTCGCTCGTTGCTGCCAAACAATAATTTCCCGTGCTCGAGGTGGACGGACTAACCCAAAGTTTAGGCTGGGATATTTGGGGAGTTGGCAGGTGCAAGTGCGGTGCGGTGCAGTGCAGTGTGCAGTGTCCAGCGCAGACAGACACGCCAGACAGGCAGAGAGAGCCAGCGAATGGAGAGAGAGCCGGACTGGGCTGGCAGGCTGGGCTGGCTCAACTTTCAAGGGGTCTCGTCTCTGGCTGGGGCCTCTGCCTCCTCGTCCACTACCCAGGTAGGTACTCTCCCACCCAGCTGCCATGGATAGTACGGCGGTCAATAAGGGGGGAAGAGGGGGCCCGCGCCGCCTGCTGATAGGCCCAAACCGCGTCTGTGCGCCCAAAAGCCAGCCGTGCCAGTCCGGGGTTGGGATTGATTGCCCAGCAGGCCCAGGGTCCCCCATTTGCCCATCGGCTGATGAGCTTTTGCGCGCTGGCACTGCAAGGCACCGGACGGGCGCACGGGGCACCGGCGCGGCCAGCGGGAAACTTTTTGGGCCAGCTACTGACTGAACCTCAGAACGGGTCGTGGACTGGAGATCGATTCGACTGGCACCGCTGGCTTGCGCATCACGACACCCGCGCCTCGAGAGATCTACTCAGATAGACAGCTCTCTTTCTGCCTACTGCAACCAGCAGCTGCTGCATTCGCATTTTCCAGCCACCCGCGGGCTCCGACCGACCCCTCGAGCCGACTCGACTGCGCAAAACTCGCGACACCATGGCCGCCGTCCAGCAGCTGCGAGTGGCCTCGGCCCTCACCTCTATGTTCCCCCGGCTGGCCTCCAACACCTTCGCCTCCTCCTTCAGGTCGACGGCCCTGTTTGCGCGCCAGGCCGCCCATCCCACGTGGCCGTCGCTCGCCATCGCCATCCCGGCCGCCATCCAGAGCATCCCCGGCATCCTGGGCGACATCTGGGAGGGCATCCTCAAGGCTGTCCCCAAGAAGAAGACGTCGCACATGAAGAAGCGCCACAGGCTCCTGGCAGGAAAGGCACTGAAGGACGTGACCTCGTTGAACAAGTGCCCGGCCTGCGGGCACACCAAGAAGATGCACACCTTGTGCCCGCATTGCATGGGCAGTACGTGTCCCTGTCGGCGACTCTTTGGCTGCTCAAGTACACCTTGATTGACTGACTTTGCTATCTAGAAATCCAGGGCATGTTCCCCAACACTTCGAAACCAGACGATGCAGGTGCCGCGGCATGAGGGTATTAGAAGCAGTATACACAAGTAAAACAAGAAGAGGACTCAGGACATGTATGTGTGAATAGAGAATCGCATCGGTTGGCGTCAAGGTTCTGGGCTAAAAATCATTCCCCAATCGAGGGTTGTATAAAATGTACAAGACAACATATACCATCACCCATGCAAATTTCCTTACCACGTTCTTGGTTTTTTGAAGACTGTCTTGGGCTGGCGTTGAATCCAGGTTGGATTGGTTGTGTCTTTTCCCATTGAGTGATGCAATCATTTTGTTCCCGGCCGCCGACCGCGACCCCACCAAGGCTTTCCATCTTCAACATCACCACTCCCAACACAGCGACTGCACTGCCAGGCGCATAAATGGGCAGGTGATCATGGTAAGCTTTTTCTCTATATAGCCGCGTTCTACCAGCACTGACACGAGGGCAGTCCAAGCAATACCTCACCACGCACACCGTGGACAATGGTCAGTCAGCCTTGCTCGTGCCGCCCCTCCACTCTACCATCCTGCAGCTACCAGACGGCCTTAGCAGCAGCTGGCGCTTGAACAGTTTCCCGAGCAATTGGACTGACTCGCCACAGCACACGTTACCGATATCTTCTCTCTAGCTGCGACACCGACCGCTCTGCTCTCGGCGTCGGGGTCCTCGACCCTCCACGTCCACTCGGCGAAGGACCAGACCTTCCCTCTCATACAGTCCCTGAACAATGCGCACAAGCTGGGCTGCCACCACATTGCCGTCTCGCGAAACGGCAGGATAGCCGCCTCGGCCGGCTTTGGCGGCGAGGTCAAGATATGGAAGCTGTCGGCCTCGGGGTCGGGGGATTGGGAGCTGCACGGTGAGCTCGACACGTCGAGCGGCAGTGCCAGCAAGCGAGCAGGCGAGGTCTGGGCCGTAGCCCTGAGCGAGGACGGCGCATTCCTCGCCGCCACTTCGTACGACGGCCGCATCAACGTCTGGGGCCTGGAGACGCCCGAGGGCAAGAAGATCCAAGAATACGAGACGGGAAGCGCCGGCTCCGGCAGCTTTGGGCTGTGCGTGGACCTGAGCCCGGACGGCAAGTGGACGGCTTCGGGTCACCAGAGTGGTGCTGTCTATGTGTTCAACAACGCCACCGGCAAGCTTCAATACTCACTTCCGGGTACGTTTGGTGCTCTGCCTACGTGAGATACTACACAGTACTAACTTGCTCCTAGGTCTCGTCAAGCCTGTTCGCACGGTGGCTTTCTCGCCAGCCGGCACTCGTCTGGCGGCTGCGGGCGATGCGAGTCTGATCGCGCTCTACGACATGAAGTTTGGCGAGCACGTGGGCAACCTCACAGGCCACGCTGCGTGGATCACATCCGTGGACTGGAGCGACACGGGCGAGTATCTGCTGAGCGGTGCTTTCGACGGTAAAGTCAAGGTGTGGTCGATCGACCGCGCGGCATGTGTGGCCACACATAGTGAGACGGACAAGGCATTGTGGAGCGTCAAGTGGCTGCCCAAGACAGGCAAGAACGAGATGTTCGTCACGGCTGGGGCAAATCGTAGTTTGACCTTCTATCGCGAGGCTACTGGAATATAATAGAAACATAGATAGAGACAGGCTTGGGAAGAAGGGAGCCACATGGAGCATCAAAACTCGGTTGTAACTGAGCGGTACGACGATTTTGGAGGGCAGAATTGTTGCATCCATACTGTAGGTTGCATTTGCTGGCATCGGCGTTGAGAGAAGGCCAAGGAAAACCATGATGTGCTTTCATGACTGTGAAAGACAACGAAACTATTCCGGATGATCACCCTTGGTTCTAGTCCTTTTCAACTCGTGTCAGACATGTACTTTTGGCGATACATCTCGTCCTGTTGGTGGTCAACTGGGCCATTAATTGAACTGACGATGTCACGTGTTTTGGTTCCTCGCTCGTGTTGCCCCTCCAACTCAAGGCGGCCCTAGGCCGGGGTCTTAAACGTCATGTCAGGAATCCAAGGGTCCCCCCAATTGCAGTCTGGATTATTGGATCATCGTAACTAGGCGCAATTCCACATGCACAATTAACATACAAGACCTCGTACCGAAATCCTTAAAGTAAAGTGAACCGATCCACAGAATTCGTTTCTCCATACCTTTCGTTCGCCGACGAAACCTCCCAAAGCTCATCTCACAAGATGCCACCTTCACGCCGCAGCACCCGCTCGTCGCAGGCAGGCGGCAAGCAGGCGACCCTCTCGTTCCACAACCGCGTGACCAAATCCGGCGCCCAGCCCGGCAAGAAGGACCTCATCTCGTCGACGACCCCGACCAAGGCGTCGCCGCTCTCGAAGCAGATCTCCCGGAGCGAGGACGAACCCGTAGCCGAGAAGCAGGTCTCGGTGGAGGAGCAGGAAGATGGTCATGAGGACGCTGCTGCGGCGGCGCCCGTAGAGCAGGAGCAGGAGCCAGAAGCCCCGTCCGAGGCCGAGCTGCGCGCCCGCGACATCACCGACCGCCAGATCTCGGCGTACTGGAACCGCCTCGAGCGGGAGCGCACCGCCAAGCGCGTGCACCAGCAGGACCTGAGCCTCGCCGAGAAGGTGCTGCGGTACTTCGACGTCAGCAGCCAGTACGGGGTGAGTCCAGCCGCACACGCATGCATGCATTGGAACTTCGTTCCCTACATGTCCCCCCGAGTCCCCTGAATCTTTCAGCGGGCCCAGAATGTTAGAAAGCTAACCTCCCGCGAAACACAGCCTTGTGTCGGCATGTCGCGCATGAAGCGCTGGCAGCGGGCCGACAAGCTGGGACTGAACCCCCCGTCCGAGGTCCTGGCCGTGTTGATGAAGGAGGAGGAGAAGGGAACCAAGGGCATCGAGGCGGCGCATATGGACCAGATCCTCAATTCGACCGCTGTCGGTGCAAACTGAAGTTTCCTGCGCGCAGAGTACGCCAAGTAGCGCTGTCTTGTTACGGGGTTCTCTCCTTTGTCATCGACCGGTCTCTCAAACGTCTGCCCCAGCTGGGTGATGTTAGGAACCTTGTGCTTGTACTATCAGCTTCGGAGTTACGGTTTGCTTTTTATTCTTCTCGAGGAGGGATCTCAAGGGTGGATACCAAGAAACAAGGAGTTCTGCTTCAGGGGCAGCATGGATCATGATAATATACATACGTTTGACCGTATTTTCCAAATCGTATATGCTTCTGTACTGAATTTCTTTCTTCCCTATGGATCAATTGTGCCAGTAATGACTGTAATTGCTCTATTCTGCTCTCGGCCGGTGGGCCATAGGAATGGTAGTGCGGGATCGAAAAAAAGCTGAGGTCCAACGCATGCTTACAGAAACATGGATTGCCTGCCTGCCTGCCTCCGTGATCTAGCATTGGACACTGAGGATCAAGCATGGCCGTGACACATGCTGTAATCATTCCTCTGCTCGGCCAAGTCAACAATTCATATTGCTGCATCGGCATAACACCAGCTTGCAATCGGTCTATTCATTGCTCTCTTACAGTGTAATATACCCATTGACCTCGTTCTGCACTATTGCGCCGCGATGCTTCCCGCAGTTCCAAAAGCCTGGAGCGTTTGCTTAGAGAGTTGGATGTCAGGATCATAACTTTCTACTTGCCCTGATGCTTCTTGTAGCATTTGATTCCACATTCCTCGAGCCCCTACGTTGATGTAGGAGTGGCCATGTCACAGCGGAATGTCGCAGGTATTGGGAATTAGAGAGCACGGCAATGGTCATGGAGAATCTGATTAGAGTAACAATTGTTCTATAGGCATTACTCTGCCAGGTCTCTCATTCCGAGCAAGTATTACATGTCCTATTTTATGGCAAAGTGTATTTAAAACAAAGATGTCATGAACTGTCTTGGTTCAAGCAAAGAGGTACTCCGAGGCGGTGGATTCAGCGGACTAGCACTATATTTCAAGCTTTATGTTTAAGCCTCAGCTTCTACAAGCCCCACCGACTATGAAGCGAGCTGACAGTGTCTTTTCCCACCGCAAGCGTCATCCTCCTTGCTGTATGAGAATCTCTGATTCGGAAGTCAGTCAACCAGCGTACCGAAGCATAATTCGTCAACAGGTAGACTTACAACCCGAGCACCAGAAGGATCTGACGGGGCCCCAGTCGTCCCGCCCAAAGAAGGTACACCAATTGCCGCCTCCATCCTCGTACCGCCCCACGCAGCCGGGCTGGTCGAAAGCCACGCAGCGGCCGGACTCCATGAAGAGGGAGCGGGGGATCAGCGAGCCCGTGGTGCAGCCGCCGTTCGTGGCGCCACCATTGCGGTACTCGCGGCAACCCGTGCCGGGCATGTCCTGGTCAAAGGTCATGCAACCCGTCAGGCTGGAGGCCCCGTTGATGATGCGATAGCGGGTGTTGTCATCCGGATTGCAGGAAGCGGTATTGTCGTAGGCGGTGACTTGAGATATGCTTCGGTCAGCAAGGGACGCTCACGTAAGGTGGAGAGGTTCAAGTTCACAGCTCGACCCAGCTTACCTTCCCATGCCTGCACACTGGCGCACAGATATGCTACAACGCCAACCGTTGAGATACGCATATTGAATACCAAGGTCTGGTAAGGCCAGAAAACGGAGGAGTCTTGGTGATCGTTCCGAACGAGAACTCCAGAGTTGCTCATCAAGAGCGGGATTCGGTCGTGTATTTATACTCATTCTCATCAACAGGCCTGCCTTAGCCGGCTGCAATGTGCAAAGATAAGCAGAGCTGGGGCCGACCAGTATACGGTCGAACTAGACCGCGGAGATTACAACTAGACAGCTGACATTGACCAGCTCGCTGTCATGTGATAGTGGGAATAAGCTCAGAACTGGCGAAGTATCAGCACGTTCGCCACTACCCCGCAGAAAAGGGCCTTATTAAGTAGCCAGGAGCCTCTGCGAGCTCGCAGAGGCCCCTCGGCAGGCTTAAGTTGTATTGTAATCCTCAATAAAGGTTATCACCTCTTTCACTCTGAGACCAATCCCTCACACTCGCGTTAGTCAAAAAGGCACGAGCATCAAAGTCATGGAATAGTTGGTGGATTATTAAACTTGGTGGATATTCCGTGAATATAAGCTAGCTATACGAACCTTGCATTTCAATACGCCCATGGGTCTTACACAGACTATAAAGTACGTGCGAAAATGATATGTGCACCAATCAAGACTGGTGTCAAGCAGAGTATCGCTCTCGGCTTAGTCATAATGGGAAGCATCGTGTTCTTTGGCTCAAGGTGCTTATGCTGTGGTAAAGCATCACTCAATTTGATAATAGATAGGAGGGTAACACAATCGGCCATACATCAGTCGAGAGCACGATACATGTTTAAAATCTGGCCACCAAGTGCTTTCGTAAGCAAAAGTCGTGGGCAGGTCTGAGTGTTGTTAGAGTTCAAGCCTTTCTTCATTTAACCCTGAGCCGAGGAGTATTCCGAACTGGCCAATGAGACTCGTCGAAAAGGAGCCACTATCGGAGGTTTTCTGGCTGGGATTGAAATGATATTGGTTTAATTGGTCTATAAAACGGCTGTCAGACCCACGGTGGTTTAGCTTCGGAGGGGAAAAGAAGTTCAAATCTCAAAACGAGTCTTTATGCCTACTGTGTACAGTGAATAAACCGTTGGCGGTATGGTCAACTGTTATTTATAGACTATGGCATCTTGTAAATGCCGAGGCAAAGGACCAACAGCTCGTCGGCCACTTGTTAGGCTCGCCTCAGAGTAACAGCCTACTCGTATTATGATGAAGAGCGAATGCGTCTACTTGACAGATGTTGTATACTATGGTTAGTTGGCAGAAAAACGGAGACGCGAGATGGGTGTCACATGATATGCAACCCCACCAAACACCTAGCCTACCCCACCTAGAGGAACACCCTCCGCTTTACATACTATAGCTTTGCTTCTTGACACGGAATATAGCCTTCATTTACTCCTTCACTGCGCATCTGCGATGCGTTTAGGTAGAGGCGATCCTCATTGCGAATACCAGGCTTGGTCATTGTCCTGATCACATCGAGTCTCCTTTTGGGATATCTGTTTTACCAAGTTCTGCCAAAAACTACGAGGGGGGACATTGTGCATCGGAAAGGACACAAAGTTGGCGATAGAAATGGCTCCTGGCCGGAGTCCTCACATTTTACTTTTTATCTATGACTAGTGGTGGAATCTCCCTCTTCCCATGATTCAGTAACCTTGGTCATTCTATATACAAAGTCAAGACACTCTATGGTCTTGCGATCTCAGTCTCGACAACGTGGGTCTCAGCATCGATGACCTTCTCGGTCTCGGCGGGGTCCTCGGTGCCCTTCGGCCTCATCTGTCTGAACATGGCCATGGGGTCAAACCAGACGTCGACACTCTCAATCTGCAGCTTGTCATTGACCTTGGCGACGGCCATACCCTCAATGTCAATGGCACCACCGTGGGCCTTCATGGTAATCTTCTCTCCCTTGCTGTTCCCCGGTTTTAGCAAGGTGTCATCGTCGACGGAGGCAACTGTCTTGGGAGAACTTACTCATTGAAACCGGTGTAGTCAGCCTTCATCTCACCCCAGTGTCTCCAGCGGAAGGAGACGGTCGGGGGACCGCTGTATACCTCGAGCACCTCCCACGCAAAGGTGGGCATCATCCTCTTGAACATCTTGTGGCTTGCGTCGAAGTCATTGCGGACGGGGCAGTAGTGCTCATTGGCCTCGATGATGGCATTGTAGGTGCCGACCTTGAGCATGTGCTCACCCGACTGGGGAGGGCCTCCATTGACGGAGAAGGTGTACTTGGAGCGGTTGATGGTTCGCCAGTCCTTGAGGTCGGTCTTGAAGGAAGCCTCGACTTCCCAGTTCTTGACGAGCTTCTCGACGAGATCGGGCAAGCTCTGGGCCTCGTGGCTCATCTTCTTGGCTGTCGCTGCGTTAGTCTCGTTGCTATGTGTGGATCTGGCAGGACGAACTTACTCTCCGCCCACATCTGTCTGGTCTTGGTGTAGTCGGGGGCTCTGCCATGGCGCCAGGCGGCGTTGTCATCTTTCATGACGGCATTGGCGTCGAGGACGTAATCAGGAAGAGCCATCTTGACGGTCTAAAGCTGGGACTTCGGGTATTGAAGCTATGGTAACAAGGTATTACGTGCGCAACGTGGGGGAGGGGAGAAGGCGAAATAAAAAGAAACGATATTTGTGCGGCGTATGAAAGTGGCCGGTAGAGGAGGGGAACTGTGCCGACTTATAAATTGCTGTGCTGCCATTTGCCATGCATTTGCCGCCTCCCAGACCGCTTAATAGATGCACCTCCACCTATGCCATGATAGTCACGACGAAACCGCTATGCTACGTTATCAGGAAGGTCCCCCTCAGAGGGATTGCCAATTGGACCCTGGAAATCGTCTCAAGACCTGGATACCCTGCACAATTATCCACGTTGAAGGAGGGGGAGGTGAAAGAGGGACGGGGCCAGACGGTAGCTGTGCCTCTTTTTGCAGAGAGCCGGTGACAAATGCCAGGGAAAGTGCATAGAGCAACAGTCCAAAGGTGTGCTTGGTATTTGTTAGGGTCGCGGTCCATTGGCACGGCGCGACCCTCTCTCGTGCATATCATTCCTTGCGTCTGTACCTGGGTGCAGTAGTGCATGTCCTCTCCATGCCCACCGGCCTGCCGTACAACGAGGTCCAGACTGCAGAGTGCTGTAATTAGAAACACACACTGGTGCGCAGAGAGTTGCCGAGATGGTTACCAACTAGACCCACAGACCGACAAGAGGTAGGACAAGCTTCGGCTACGATAGGGATTTTGATAAGACGCAGAGGGAAAGTTTGTTTGCACGTTGTGCCACATGCTTGACGTGCAATCTATCGGGACGCTGGGCCCGCAGAAGGGCGAGAGAAAAACAAAAGAAAAAGTGTGTTATACCCATTGGAAAGGTTCAGGGGCTGGACGGATTCCTGGGATCCCCACAATCGAATGATATGACTGGCCAGGCTGGCCTGCCTGGGCAGCCCCGGCCTTGTCGTGTTGCATTGTGGCTCTCGCTTATTGCAGACTATGGCCATCCCACATGAGCCTTTCCCACGCGTACCATAGTACGCAGCGCTGATTTCAATTCTGCAGGGAGGCAGTCTGGTTCAGTCCCGCCTTTTAGCCATCGTCGGAGACCAGGTTCGGGCCTGCAGCCTCGACGCTAGCCCTGGGAGCACGAAGCAGTGGTTGAGTGGCGCAGCGAGCGTCCTGAAGCATTTTTTCCTTGACCTCGATTCCACGTTTGCCTGCCTCACGCTTAATGTTGCTTCGTGCGAATGTCCGAGGCGCGACAGTGCATCGGAGCATAGTGCTAGAAAAGCAAGTCCCACCCGTCCCATTGGGAGGCACCTCCCCCCCAATAACGTGACCGTTTCGGCCCTACGATGGAAACGATTCTCGGCCCGGGAGTGGATATGCCCACCTTTCTGAATATCTGTCGTACTCCTAACTACTCGTGGGCAAGGTTCTCCGCGGCACAATCCTCCCTTGTTCCGCGTGGGACTCTCCGTGGAGATCAAGCAGGATCACGCCTGATAGGCTGCCGCTGCAGCTGAGGGGGAAGGGGGTGCCATCCAGGTGAGATTGCACCCCGAGACTCTGGGAGGCTGCCCACCGGCCAAAACTTGTCCCTTGGCTGCGCTGCCTCATACGTAGATGGTAGTATTGTCCGCCCTGACCTCTGCCCTGTACCTTCTGGACGCGCTGGCCAGGCCAGTCGCCGACCACTTAACCTCTTCATAAGTGGATCGCGATGATTCTCGGTAAGGGCCCACTGTGCCTCGATTGGCCCACTGTCGCCAGGGTATCTCCTATTCGAAACAGAACCCCCCCGGATCGGCTCCCGCGATGTTCGCCATAAGCCGCCTGTCCCAGTGTGAACCTTTCACCAGAGCCCAAGCCCCAAAGACGCATTCGTCGAAATCGCACGATTTAACCTCGAGGCACTCAGACCAACGGCCCAAAACGTCCACCTAGAGCGTCGATCATTGCTGTCAGAATAGACTAGTGTTTGACCAGCCATCGCCAGATATAGGATCTGGGTTCAAGGGTAAGTTGCATTCGCAAGCCGGTAGCCGTGTTTTTTTGTTACTTCGATGTCCCCGTTTAAGGCTCGTGCTCGGCATAACTCATCATTTCGAGTCTCGAAATGCTGCAAGGGGACGTGAAATGAACCGACTTATGCCCTTTGTACCGACCTGCCATGCCTGTGATCAGGGCACAGGGTACGGCTGCATTGTGTTTAGACGAACAGTGGCCCAAATTGTGCCCCCTTGTTCTCTGATGGGTCTGTCCGCCTCCGACCAATCAGCTCCCGAACAATGGTATGATCCCACGGGCAAGCGAAGGCAAGTCTTACAGGCAGCTCGAGCTGCAGGTAAGGTTTTGCCCTCGGTAACGGTTATAATGGCGCAGGTAAGAGGAATAAGCTGAGGATGTTACCCTGCTCGCAAAGGGGTAAGTTTTCACGAATTGCAGCCGTATCCTAGGCTCGGCAGCCGGGGTTCGCGACCAGGCGAGGCAGTCAGTCTCTGTCGTTCCCAGAGGCCATGTCGAGTGACAAGACCTCAGCAGGACCCAGATATGGGGATGCTGTTTGCTTTTCACTTCTGTCACTTCTGTTTGACGGGTCTGGCAAATGCATCTACGCTATAGGCCGCTACACAGAGCATCGAAATGACGGCGATGGACGACATTTTCGCCCGTTACACAGGCCAGACGGTCCCTGTGTCTTTCAATGTCGGCTTCGTTGTCCTTAGCTATGTGGTGAGCCTGCTTGGGGCGGGATCAACCCTTGAGTTGATAAACCGCCGCACGTCGCTTAAGGGCTTGTACAACCAGTACGGTTTCACGTTTTGAACATGATCTGATGTCTTTTGCTAATGGCATAACAGCTTCCTACTGGTGGGCGCTGCTGTTTCCATGGGAGGAATTGCGATTTGGTCTATGGTATTGCAATCAGGTCCAGGCGTGACACCCATCATCTCACTGACATTTCAAACAGCACTTCATTGCCAACCGGGCCATTATACTCCTCGATGGCGAACCAGAGGTTCAGATCGCTTATTCAACAGGAATCACGGCGGCTTCGTTCTTCGTGCCTATCCTCGTGCTGTTGCTGGCGTTCGTGGCCGTCAACGCTAGCAATGAGATCAAGTGGTGGAGGGTTGTCACATCAGGATTCCTGTCCGGCGGCGCTATTTGTGGAATGCACTACCTTGGCGATGCCGCAATCAGCAATTATCACTGCCGGTACGTGACAGCAAATGTCGTCGGCGCTTCTGTCATCGCTGTCACTGCTAGCACTGTCGCCCTTTCGTTGTTCTTCGTGTTCCGGGCCGCCTGGACGAACTCATGGTTGCGAAGATGTGGTTGTATGGTTCTCTTAGCTGGGGCAGTATCGGGAATGCACTGGTGTGCTTCTTTGGGCACGCAATACGTCCTGCTGGAATCTGCCGTCGGAGACAGCGATAGTGGTTCACGAAACACCACCACCATCGTAGTCATTTGCCTGGCCGCGGCAGCTTCCGTCATCCTGGTCATTGTTTCTGTCTTGTCAGCTCGTACTATGAGGAGATACGCCACGAAAGCCCACCAAGTCTCTTTAGCACTGGCAGTCTTCGACAGGCAAGGAAGAATCCTGGTCAGCCCAGACGGTCTCCTTCCCAGCGAGAAAGTTGCCGAAACATTCCCGCAAAGATCCCACGATGATTTCTTCTCAACGGCACATCCCCTATTCCACTGGATGTTCCGGGCATCACGAAGCTGGTCAAGTATTTCCACGCTACTCCCCTGGATGATGGCACACCTCGACAACCTCCCCCGCCACAACCGCGGTGCCCGCTCGGGAACTCGATTGATCGAAGAGAACGGCCAGTTGGTGGAGAACTACGATATTATCTTCCGTGAGCTGTTCTGTCTAGCTTCAGAGTCTCTAGCAACGAGAATGTCCGAAAACATTCAAGACTTGGGCAAGCTTTGGGGCGAGATATTCCACACTGGTATTGAGACAAGACCCGCCATTCGGATGTCTGAAACGTTTGAGGTTGCCACCAAGGCTGCTCGGAAGCAAGACGTCTCGAAAGATCCCAGTCAGCTTGAACGGGGTCTGGCTCATAAGAATGAAGGCTATGGTCGAGGCTCTCTCATGTTTCTCGTGCGCCATGTCGAGAGTCCCAACGATATTGCAAGGCTGGAAGCAGCAGGCTACCGATTTGCCGATACACACCGAGTTGTCGAAATCATCCGGTCGAGCATGCAAATCAAGACACGACGTCTTGAAGAAAAGTTACGCGAGATGTCCGGTTACTCAGAGCTTGATGGCATGCTCGAGCCTGGCGTCCATGTTGGCGTCTTTGCCGTTCGCGCGCGATTGGACAAATACGGCTTTGATGTCATGGTAGACTCCGAAACCAAGAACGCCTTACCAACACGCAAACTACCGTACAGACAACTGGAACAGTGGCAGAAGGACATTCTGGTCCAAGTGGAGGGCTTACCAATTCAGACCCTCCTCATAAGGCTGGCGATGATACAAGAAGGCTCAACCCGTGAAGTTGAATTTGCCAGTCAGCTCAGAACGGCGATAGTGAAGTTACGGGACGACCTGGATGACTCTTCCCTGGACAGCGCGGTATTATCCTCTAAAGTGGTCGAAGTGCCCTGCCTTCCCCTCGACAGCGCACGATCTTCTACCTGCTCCCTCATCACTCTCCAATTAGTTCTCGACATCAACACCAAGTTGAGCGCTCGGAAGTATGACTTCATTCCATTGCAGTTTTTCAAGGTCCAACAGATGGTTCGTGAAAACTCGCCTCATCAAGCCGCTTTCTCTCGCGCTCTCCACCGCGAGATGTCAAGCGTGATGACTTTCTACCCATCGACCCAACCTCCCCAGCGACTTGGAAAGCGGACTATGAGCTCAAGTTCATCAACAATCAACTTATATAGGCCCCAGGATGGTCTTTCTGGACAGTCTCAGTCCTCAGGAAGAACCTCACCTGTCTACGACGAGCCAGAATCCACAGTCCCAACAAATAAGCCGTCTTTGTTTGGTGGTATCATGGTCTCACAAGAAATTGCCATAGAGGTGGCTGAAGTTAAGACGGAAAAGACGAACCATATCGCCAATCGGCTCAATATACCAACCAAAACGAAGGGCATACTGCGCAAATCGTCGCAGAGACTAGGTTCCGTCGATACAACAAAGGGCAGGCAGATAGAGATGGGACGAGTCAAAACGCCGACGACAGCAATCCTCAACGGGACGAACTTCGACTTCAACGTCGAGGCTTTTGAAAAGGATCAAGAAGTCACCACTTTCGTGGACGATCTTTTTGCGTCGTGCGTTGAGTCAATAAGGCAGTGATCACGCTTTATGGCTCATACCGTGTTATATTATTATGTGTAATTAAAAGGTGAACGAAAACAAACCTATCATAGAGGCGGATAAGCAATTCGCAACGGAACTTCGACTTTCTTGTGTACTGTGGCGTTGGAAAATTGTCTGAGGAAAATTGTCCTCTGGGTTAGCTGAGTATGGGCACGAGGAACATGTACGTGTACGCCAAGGAAATAGCGATTATCACTTCAAACGATTAAATCAAATCTCTTACTGTCAGAATGCACATGTCTTTCATTGGTCCCAGTTTGCCCCAAAAAATGTGAACTCAAAGCTATTAGGCTGCGTTCTCCTCGAATGAAGAACCAACAATTCGGTGATCTTCAAAATTTCCTGATGGAACAGCAGTGTGAATCGGTTGAGGTCTAGAACCCGTTGTCTGAGCTGTTAATTTGGATTGATTCTTGCGTTTCGCTGGCCTGTACTTACAGAGGTCGATCTACTGAGCTATGGGTGTTTGTAAAGTGACGAGTTGAGGATCTATCCCAGAAAGCAAGGCTAATTGTTGGTGTTATGTGGTTAAACCGGGAGACGCTAACTGTCTTGGCAGTGTGCTACCTTCCTTGCACCCAAACCACGAGAACACGTAGGAGCTGAGAAGATATCGTGAAGGAGACCAAACAAATCTTGAAATCAGCCATGTTGCGGATTGGCTCGCCAGACTGGATGGGCAACATCGTTCTGTGGCGACAACCGCTAACGGTGACCCGTTTACCAGCCAGCGAGGTAAAATCTCTAGTTGCTGAATAATTTCATTGATAGAGTCCTAGCAACCATGATAAAGTCTATATCTAGTAACTAGTATCTAGTGACTAGTGGTATAACTGCTGCAAGTTTGCCTCTCCTGAGAAGCAGACGCTCGTTCAATACTGTATGTCTGAAATGGTTTCAAGTGTAATGCGGTATAAGCCTAAGGAGGGTATCTGATACTGCATATGATTTGGGCGTTTATTTGGCCGTTCCATATCTAGGCCATCGCCCAGCCTATGAGGTAAGCTTGTACCTCGTACTTCTGTAGTGCGCCACCGCGAAACGGAAGTGTTGAGTTGATACGATTCGAATACAGTGACGTGGGAAACCGGCCAAGCTAGGTGTAGCTGCTGTACAGAAAATTTTCCTCGTCAAGCCATCAAAGCGATACCTTGTCGTCGCACGGAACAATGGCGCGCGAATCTTGTATAGCTTTTCTTGCGAGTGAAACCCCACGTCTTGGTCTGTCGGGATAAGCCAAGGGTTGCTGATTCGATATATAGCTTTACCAAGACCCAGCAGCCAGGGGAGCCATATCCAAAATTGCAGCTAATACCCGAACGTGACCTCAATTGCCGGGGTTCCATTCGTGGGGTCAGGCACGGTCCTGTGGAGTATGTCGTGGCGGAATCTGGGGCTCCGCAACCTCCACATCGTATGTGCAAGCTGTAGATCCCACCAATTATGACTTTGGGTCCCACCCTCGCTGTTACGAAAGTGGTAATACCATAGTGGCGTTGTTCCTATTCGCGCGCTTCTTGGTGTTGCTGGTGATTCAACTAGAAACTTTGGGCTTCAACGTTCATTTTGGTCAGTGTTACTGTAGGCAAAGAAGAGACTTGTACTACATACAAATAGCCTACCTGCCGATCCGTCCAGGCTCACCTGCGACGCGTTGCTGCTGCATTGTAACAGCATTTCGGCAGAGGCTAGGGCGCCACCCGCATTTTAGCATGCAGCTCGTTCAACTTTTTACTTCCCTTTGGGGAATGTTCTGTTTGCTCGGCTCGGCCGCAGCTTGGACAAACCCGATTCGTAGCTCTGGAGGCAGCGATCCATTCGTGGTCTACACCGGAGGCTATTACTATCTTATGACCACGACATGGACTGATGTTGAGATGGCTCGCTCAACCACCGTCGCGGGCCTGAAGACAGCTGCGAAGAAGGTCGTGTACTCCACGTCGACTGCAACACGCTGTTGCAACGTTTGGGCTCCAGAGATACACTACTTTGACGGCACTTGGTATATCTACTACACAGCTGGAAGATCTGCAGATCTCGATGGCCAGAACGTGCATGTTCTTAAAGGTCAGCGGTCTTGAACGTTCATAACTATAATCCTCTGTACTGATGATTCGCAAAAGGTGGCGCTACACCGTGGGATACCTACACTTACGCCGCTCAATTGACCACTGCTTGGTCGATCGATGCATCTATCTTGCGTTTCAATAACTACGGCAACTACCTGATGACTTCATGCTTCAACGGAAACACTTACCAATCCATCTGCCTTCAGAAGCTGGGATCGAACTACGTATCTGTCACTGGGCCCATCTATACCATTTCCCAACCAACGCAATCGTGGGAAAAGGTCAGCCACCCCGTCAACGAAGGGCCGGCCGCGCTTTATTTCGGTGGAAAGACATACATCGCTTATTCGGCCAGCTATTGTTGGTCAGCAAGCTACTGCCTTGGGCTGTTGACCTGGGACGGATCGACAAACCCGACTAGTGCGTCGGCTTGGACCAAGTCAAATGGCTGTGTTTTCTCGTCAGCGAATGGGAACTATGGAACGGGCCACAACGGTTTCTTCCAGAGCCCTGATGGTAGCCAAACATGGATTGTATACCATGCTACATCGAACAGCGCCGGTGCTTGCGATGACAGCCGGTACACTAACATCCAGTTGCTGGGTGCACATTCTAATGGGACACCTAACTTTGGCTCGCCGGTGGACTTCTCCCATGCTTATAGCGAGCCAAGCTCGTGAAAGGCTAGTTCTTGTAGAAACAATATATAAGACCACCTACATCGCACATCACTCAACTCAAGGTCAAGGTCTTGCCTGCACCGCGAATTTCAGCTGCTCACATAGGCGGTCTGCTGCTTGCTACCTGGCAGTGACAGAACGTTGCATCGGAAGTGCACCAAGTGAAGTGACTAAAACCAGATTAATTGCTCCTCTTGCAACAGGCTCTGTATATAGTATAAGTTAAGCACTGTCTTAAAGTTAACCTAAGCGGATCTCATCTCATGCGAAGTCACCTGAAGGAGGAAGTAGAGATATAAGTCGTTGGCTCGGCAGATAGGCATCAATGGAAGGGATGTTAGACTTATATACACCGTTTACCCTGCCTCCACATAGACCCACTCATTTCTCGGCATATGTGGCCAGTTCCCAACCTCGTATGGTCAAGTTTGGGGCTATATATATGTTATTTACCGCCGTGATATTGTGTGACAGATCTGGTCTTAGAAATTAGGACTGGGTATTGCTGGTGCCTGACTCTCTAATTACATTATTCCTGTCAAGGTTTCTATACGACTTCAACTTGCATCTTCTGAGACTATCCGTTATGATCATGAAAACTTGGTTGCGATCCTCTCTTCTGTCGTCTTAAATGCATTGATTACTTCTGTTTCCTCCACAGTCTTTCCCGTGAGGACCATTTCAGCAACACCTTCGGCAGTCGTGAAGATTGTCGTCATGCCAGCTCCATTGAAGCCAGCCAATATCCACTGGTTTTGGGTTCCCGGGACTAACCCAACATGTGGCAGGTGGTCTGGTGTACTGCCCATTACTATACGCTGAGTTAGAAACTGTCTCCAAATTCCAGTCAAGCGCTGACTCACTGCCTGTCCAAGTCATAGCTACATTTGCATCGCTATACTCCCAACCGCGGAAACGTTTGGCCATCGTGTGGTCGAAATGGGTCTTCACTGCCTCGTCAATGAGGGTCGCGTCGTCAACTGTGTTGAACCATTTCGAGTTTCTATCTTCAGAATTGAGGCGGTATATATGAGGCGCGCCGCCGTGGACGATGTTCCCATCAGGTCGGGGAACAAGGTAGTCCACTGCATTGGAGCTGTAGAAGAGATTACAGGTATGCGCTAGGTTGAGGCCATGATGATTCTTCTCAAGAGGTACCAAAATCGAGTTCTGCCCTCGATACGGTACTATTACCCCTTGGTACTGTGGCAGTACAGCCGATGAGTAAGCATTGGTAGCGTATATAACTTTCTGTGCCCTCGTTGTGCCACGTGGAGTAACGAGGGTAACAGTGCCATTGTCGTTGCCCTGGACCGCCTCTACAGGGGTCTCTGTATAGAGGATGGCGCCCATGTGGAGCACGCGGGCGAGTAATGAAGTCACAAACTTGTACGGCCAAAAAGAGAACGCGGGACTACTAGCCGCTGCTACAACCCCTTTCACACCTGTGACCTAGCTCGGTGTCAGTAATTTGATTGCGTTGCGCACATGACTGGCACTCACTCGCTCTATGTTTGGGCCTTCCAACCACTGTATATCCTGCGTCCAAGCAGCTCCGTTCCGTCGTAGTTCCTCGAGCCAAGTTTTGATGTTTCTCGCCTGTGCGGGATCGAAGAAGGCATCAAATGACCTTGTCACGAAAAGGTCGCACTCAATGTTCTCTCTCTCGACTGTTGACTTGATAGCTCTCTGCTGGGCGGAGACCAAGGAAACAAGTTCCTCAGCCAGGTCTGGGCCATATCTGTCGTAGTAACCTTTTATGGACGGCAAAAGAGTCTTGGAATGTCCTCCTGCAAATTAATCAGTGACTTGCACCTCTACTCAAGTGATCTGGAGTATTACCATTTCTCCCAGTGGCGCCAGAGCATGCCTGGCGCGCTTCGAAGAGGGCGACCTTGGGTTTAGGGCCCTCTGCACATTTACCAAGGATGTGATAGGCCGTTGCCACCCCGGCCATGCCAGTACCAATAATTGCAATATCGCACTCTTCGGGGGTGGATGCTGAGGAACGATATGAATGTAAGCGATGCGGAGAGGATAGCCAAAACGAGGCCGTCGGGCTTTCAACTGGCAATTTGCCAGACATTTTGAAACTTGGCCGTCGATATGTGGCTTTACTATTATCAATACCCTATCTACATCTCAGCATTCAATAAAGGACGAACAGCCCTTTAAATCTTTTGCTCAGGTCGATTTGATAAGGACTATGTGCCCAAGATGGTACATAATCCGTGCTCATGTGCGAATTGTGGGCCTTGTTTCGCGGCGAAATAGGCTGCAGCGTTGTTGTGCATATAGCGTCATAAAGTGCACGTAAGCACAAATGACAAGACCCCATCCGTCTTAGATTGCCAACTGAGGCTCTTCACCGTGCCAATGAAACTATTGGAAATTTCTGACGTGCATTTAGAGAGGGGCGACTAGTTGCCGCAAGAATAACAGAGTACGCAATACGCCTACAAAGCATTATGACTACCTTGCGGCAAGTGGAATCCCATGGAACTTCAAAACCTGAAGTCGAAGCATCTGTATGGAGACAGAGGCTCTGAGTGCAGCCTTGCCGTGCTGCACAACGTCAACCACTGTTGATTTGTCGTCACTGGCGATGCGAATGTTCAAGTTGGGACCCCTGAGTGACTCACGCCGCCTAGCAACAAAATGCGATCAAATTAATGGACGAATCAGGCAATTATAGTATATAGTGTTTCAACGGCCCAGACACGCGTTCGTGTCATATGCGACCAAGTTTTTCATTTCTTTGGGTGACAGCAAATAACCTACCAAGTGGCAAAAAGCCTCTCATGTGTAGAACGGGATGTAAATGCTGCTGTGTCTTGAGCCGGTCCTTCGGGACAGTCGTATAGACATGCTCATTTCTATTGAAGTTTGCTCCTTTCCTCAGCTTCTGTAGCATTATGCATGATTGCCAGACTCTTCGTGTGCGTACAAAAACTATCGCCGGCATTAGGAATGTTTGACGTTGAATTCCTCACCTTCGTGTAAAACACAGATAATGACGATTAGACTAGATGGAGCGGTACCATATCAAACTCTACTGGTGCACTGTAGGCCCGGACATAACCCTCGAAAGTTATCTCGAGGTCGCGCGACCTGGGCAAGTGATAGAATGCAGCATTGGCAAACGACCATGTAAGAGACACAAATGTGCCGAACTCCAATGTTCTGTGGAACAATATCTCTGTAGGCTTTTTGATTAGGCTCTTCCCTGAGAGACTGGGCAACCTCTCTGGTGCATTAGAGCCGTCTTGAGTCGAAGAGAAGCTGTCTTCAACTTTATACTAGATACCGCCCATCAGTAGACATTTCCCATCGACTATGGTATGGAAAAATTGACAAGTTTAGATCCGTAGAGTTCAGCATGAATCAACGTCGAAAGGGAACAACGTCCAGGCTGTAATAAATCTAGTTTGGGGCGGGCGCTGAAGGAAACATCACACAGCTAAGCTGAAATTACGAATGGAAGATGATCAGGTATTTCGAGCCTATTGTTTGTTCGAAAGCCTTGTTGGTAGGGTAGCCACCCGAAACACAAGCATGGTAACAGACATGGATTGCGCATCATGTAATGCTTGCCGCAGTAGCGTGAATCTGCGTGTGCGAAATAGCGATTAAAAAGAAAGTCACCAGTCTGCGCGCCCTGCCTTCGAAGTGCTTTGGCAGCCGGACCGACTAAATCACGATTATTCTGGGAAAACAGGATAAGAACATGTCCTGCTTCGTTTCTCCTGCTATCCTTCATAATCTCGAATATTCAGCATCTCCCATGACCGCAAGGAAGAATGGAAAATAGACATACGCGAGGAAGCATATTTGAGATAGCATTGGTACAAGATCTGGCTACACAGCCATCACATGGTGCTAAAGTGGCATGAGTGATGTGCTGCCATGCAAGCTTTGAGTGCAGTAATCCGACAATGCACATATATTGACATAACAATGCTTGTGAAGCTCGAGTATACTAAATACCGGTGCCACATCGCCTGTCGCTGAATATTCAATGCCGAAACAGCATATCAGTTGGTGAATCTCACATTGAGTGAATAAGTTCCCAGAGTGAGTGGTGCGCGGGAACGAGGGGCAATGCGGCACATCTACACGTGATGGATTTAGAGCAAGTTTGGCACTAATTAAGCAGGCAGCCAAATTGCGATGCTTGTCCCACACGACCTTAATGTTTGCGGAGTTTGCCTGGAAATTTCTTTTCGAAGGCGGCAACACCAAAGTACCAGTCGCTTGCCTTTTCTGGTAAATCAATCCAGGCTGCGTTGGTGATTTTTGACCATCTTGACTCTCAGTAGACCCCTCACGACATTCGTGGCACTTGGCACTGTTTGCACCAGAAGCTCCCCGAGCCTTGGAGAAGGTATTCAGTCACTACCAGCAGGTCACCATGGCGAAATGCGGATTGCACACCGGCCTGTTGTCGCTCCCAAATGAGCTGCTTGTCACGGTCGCGGGCCACTTTGCAGCCTCTCCTGATAAGATGGACCTCCCCAGAGCCGGAGCCGTGTGTACAAGAAGCACAGATTACAACTCACTCCTGTCCCTGAGCTCAACAAGTCGCCGATTTGCTGCTGTCAACAGGCCCTTGATATATCGAGTCGTAGAATTGACGGATATAAAGGGTATGCTACTGCTGATTCGAACTCTATTGGGACATCGTGACCTGCGCCATCTGGTGCTTCACCTCAGCATCGGCTGCGTAGTTCGAAAAAAGATTTCTGACGAAGATGGACTACAAGACATGATAGCCGCGTGTGCCACCTATTTGAACTCAATTAAGTCGTTGGACGGACAAGACCAGAGAATGCTGGGCTACTTCAAGATAGGCGAGCGCAGTACTGTTTGTATTGAGGGAATACATTACGGTGGGGTACTAGGAGGGTTTTTGGCAGCCCTCCTCTGTCTCACTCCCTCGGTAGAAACCCTTCGATTTCTGGCCAATGGACGATGGGACCCACGGCAATGGCGGCGCGACGCCGAACAGGACCCCTTGGATACAATGAAAGTCATGGTCAAGGACCTGATTTCGTGGCTCGAGCCACAGCCGATGTCGAAGATCCGCCGACTGCAGCTCATTTGCTGCAAGCCAAATACAACAGTCACGCAAGATAGATTCAGCGACTGCAGCATACCTATGAGGGTCTTCAGCTCCCTTTGTCCGACGTTGCAGGTAATCGAGACTTTTGGGGATAATGGCTGGTGGATAACACCAAGCACTAGTAATTCCTTTTCTGCGCCTGGAAAAATTCTGGAGGTCGCTGCACTCAACTCGCACAGCCTTGGTCAGAATGTTGCTGGCATTGGAAGAAACTTCCGCGGGCTGCAGAAGTTGACGATCAGGGTGACAGAAAAGCCTCTTTATGGGCAAGTGGATATCGAACGTGGCCTTCTGGGACTCGCAGATTCCCTGGAATATCTCCACATCGAATTGCCCTGGGACAAACCGTTCATTGAGCAGCTGGGCCGTGACTCTCGTCTAGAGTGCCTGCACAAAATGAATCGCCTGAGGCACCTTCATGTGCAGTTGGGGGCGCTTTGTCCTCAAGCCATGCCTTTGATCGAAGGGCCTGTCTCTAAGTCAGGCAGTCAGCTGGGAGACTACTCTCTGGCTGTTGACCTACCGCCAAGCTTGGAATCTCTTGAACTGGTAGAAACGTTGCAGATGGCATACAAGGACCTAGATGATGGCATGGGTGTGACGGTGAGAAGATGGTTGAGACACGAGTACGACCATGCTCTGATGAACATGATTTTGGAGTTCTGCACACAAGCTTCAAGCACGCAACCTTGCCTACGCTACTTCTGCTTGCTTGCAGCAAGAGAAACTGAAGTACTCAAAAAACACGTGCCTGTCATCAAAGATGTCTGTGCAGCTCAGAGCATTGTGGCGGAGGTTGAAGTACCAGGGTTTGGTAAGAGGAAGAATGTCAGGCACTTGTTATAATGACGATGCAACATTCTGTTTCTGCTGATACACAGCCGCGTATTCATAACCACCAATGTAAAGGACTGAATACATTAGAGATCAAGGATATCCAAGATTAGAAAGCTAGCATTCTAAACACAGAGATACCAGGCATCACTCCACCGTGATGGTTCTACTTTCCTGATCTACCTCTGGATCCCAATGCCCCACATAACCATCGCGGCCGGTAAGATAGGTTCCCTTTGCCTGTTCTTGAGCTGTGGCTCGAAAGACAGCATGTTTATTGTTCGTCCAGTCAAGGCCCTTCCAAGCCACGCCCTCGGCATCCACGAATTCGGCATCCATCTCAGGTCTAAGGAGGTACACGATCGAGTATTTGTGACGGCCCTTCTCATCCTTGTGAGGAATAATCCGGTGCAAACTGGACGCTAACACACCATCCGATATGAACCGCAGCGAGTCACCTACGTTTACAACGGCGTGACCTGGCTTTGGGGCGATGTAGTACCAATCCTCCTCTTGAGGCCGCTGCACTTGCAGGCCGGCAACCTCAGTAAAGACGATGGAAAGACTACCAGCGTCAGTGTGAGCGATCTGTCCAACCTTATGCGGCTCCTTCTCGGCCAGGGTATACTTGAGTAAGCCAAGCGCCGTCGGGCACACGGCGCCCTTGCGGTGGTAACGCTGGTACGCCCTGCTCCCATCCAAGCCCAGCCCCTCAGAAAGACGAGTCAGAAGAAGCATGGAGATATCGCGAAAGTCGGATATGGCCTCTTTGAGCTGGCTAAGCTGCCTGGCTATGGCTTCGGGGCCGGGAAACAATGACGAGTCTGCTATCTTGGAAATTGGGCGTTCCATAAGCTACGATTACGTCAATCAGCCTTCAACGTCTAAATTTCGCCACAGTCTACAGAGCGAAAGAAGCAGGAATGAGGGGTGTGCTACCATGAGTCCCTCGAAACCATCTTTCTTTCCCTCGACTGGGCCGTTACCATGGCCGGCAGGCTTGTATCTAGAGCAAGCTTAATTGCCGCCAGTAAAGTTTGGATATACCGCTTACCCCATGACCATGTGTTCATCGTGATCTCGGTCGACGAGCCACTTGGACTTCTCCTCCTGAGGCATGTCGTAAAAGTCCTTCGCCAGTGCGTACATGTTGGTGACATCCTCTGTATATCGCCCAGACAATACTTCGCGGCAGTCAAGGTAGAAAAACCCAAGATCAGTGCACGCCTTTAGGAGGATCGAAGTAGTATCTTTGTCGCCTTCGATGAGCTTCTGGAGTGACACGACGCGCAGCGTTATGTCGCCCTTCGCCTCCGTTTCAGGGCCAAGATCTGGAGCCATTACGACAGAACGTTGGAGATGGTAGTGCACGACGTCAAGGTGATACAAGAGGATCAATGCTGGAACAGATGTTTCGCAATCTTAGAGTTTCCTCTGGGATCTATCGCCGTAATACTTTTCCTATGTGCGTATTTGACTATCGACATACCCTGGGGATGCACAGACTGGGCTAGTCACCTTGACCGGCACTACCTGTTAAGGCAAGTTCCCGAACAGGGGCTCGGGATATTTCCAAAAACAGATTTGCTGGTAGAAAAAGTGAATGTAAGGATAATCACAAAGGCACGGGCTCGATTTTAACTTTCAAGGCAGGTTTCCACCACATGACGTGCATGTGGCTCTGTGCTAGCCAATCCAAAGTCTCATCCACAAGTTCCAAATCGTACGCCAAGTGCATCTTGGTCATGATCAAGCCGATCTGGACATAGGCAAACCTGAAATGGTGGGTTAATTAGTACAAGTCTTGTAGTAATAATGATGGAAAATCTATTAAGAGACTCTTACTGTTTTCCAAGGCAGCCGCGAGCACCGAGAGAAAACGGTTGACTGGCGTGCAGTGTATCCTCACACTTTGGATCCAGCCACCTTTCAGGCTTGAACTCGTAGGGATCGTGAAAGTTCTGCTCGTCGTGCGTAACAGTCCATGCACTAGTATAGACTTCGGCCTACCCCCATGAGATCAGCAAATTCTTCAAGTCCTGCGGATGGTAACGCAATCCTACCCCTCTGGGAACCCAACGTTTGTCTATCATGGCACCCGGGCAAATTCTCGGAAAGCCCTGAGATCCTGGAGGGTAGATCCTCAATCCTTCGGCTATCACAGCTTGTAGATACGGCAGCTGTTGTGTTGACATTGCTGTGATTTCCTCTGAACTCTTGTAGCGACTACGAATTTCATCGCGAAGCTTGCAATATATAGTGTTGTTCTTCAGTAGGAAATAAGTTACTGCTGCTAAGAACGTTGCTACTGTTTCTCCCCCGGCAATACTGCAAGACCAGATTGTTAGCAACATTGCGAGCTGAGGAGATTCTGGGTATACCCACACCAAGGTCGAGGCGTGAGCTGTCATCTGCTCCTGAGAAACCTCGCCGGCTTTGACTTTCTGTGCGAGGTTTGTCAGGAAGTCCTGCCTCCCATTCTCGATCTGGAGACGCCTAAAGAGTGAAGACCATTAGTATGTATGTTACTTAGCGGTGCAGAGCGAGATTCACTCACCTTGCCACTTTTTCTCTGCTGTAACCAGAATGTCGTTCTCGGACGCCAATAGTCAAGGCAGGCAGCAATCTTCTCCCTAGAGCAGACACCAGTGGATAGCGACGGAGGTTATCCAAGACAGTGACGAAAAAAAGGTGCTCCACCACCATATCCGACCAGAAGTGTGACTTTCCTACGTGTAAGATTAGTTGCTGCCGTTCCGACGCTCTTGCGCAGCTCGAAAAGTGTATGGTATGGGACCAACCATTTGTAATACAGTCAAAGCTTTCTCCGAACGCCATTTCCCCTAAGATGTCGAACGCAATCATTTCATACCACTTAGTCATGTCAAGCCACCCACGGGTCTCGGCCTCTATCCCCAGGCGAAGTACGAACCCGTTAACGCACCTCTGCAAGATGTCTTCCTGGTCGGCCAGCGCCTTAGTCGAGAATGCTGCTGAGAGCATCTTCTTCCCCTGACTGTGCTTCTGTGGGTCTCTTTCACTTCCAATGCAGAGAGTATCAAACCCTGAGCCGTACATGTCATAAAACTCGCTCTTTATCATGACTTGCTTCCCGCCCGTGGCATGACCGTATATATCTTGCCAGGATTGAACCGAAGAGAAGGATAGCTCGTTAGGTGATACCCTGATGACTGAACCTGATAGTTTGTCAGAATACCCTTCACTGCTCAGTTATTGTATTGGATATAGGCGAGCCTACCATGCCGCTTGTGCTGTTTCTGTATTGCTAGATGGAAGCGGCCGCTCATGGAATGGAAAACTCTCCATAGCTAGCAACTGTTAGTTGTTCCAAAAGTATTCAGAAATTGAAACATTGTCTCCGAAAACCAAGTGCACTTACCAAGGACGATCGAGCGAGTAGAGGCCCCGGAAATTTAGCCAAGGGATGGAACCAGATGTTGTAAACTGCCTGACATCCAATGTAGACCGCACACTAGATACTGTCATAAGTAATTTGACTATAAGTATTGTCTATACAGCGATGAGATTTACCAAAACCACGATGTAAGTACATAATTGTCCAGGGGTCAGATCGGCAAGTCTTCGGATCCAAGATCTGGACAAATCTGTGAGCGACATTGCTGATGTGGGATATGCGATTGTCAAAGTTGTTGTCCGGATGTTCTTGATCGCACCTTACGAAAGTTCTCTTGAATTGCTATTCTCTCGTTAGAGGTGTGGAAAGGAAGGAAAAGGTCGTGGTGGCATGGCTGGGACCCCCTGCCATTCGCTTGGCTAGACGAAACCGGCAATCGGCCGAGAAAACGACGCTTTGGAACACCAAAAAGTAGGATCACAGGAGGGAAGTACAACTTATTGCTAACATCAACTTATATCTAGCTAGATAATAATTTGCAACTTCATGGTTGACCCTGGACCGTATCATCCTCGTGAAATACAAGTGCGCGGACCTCAATGCTCTGCCGGGGATCTCGGTCCATCATCTCGTAGTCCGTGAAGGCCGCGTGCGGCACCCGCCGTGCACGGCCGTCCTTCTTCCAATCGTAGCATTTGATAGCCATAACAGTTTCGGGCGTCTGCGCAAACTTGTAGTACCACCTGTGTTTCTCGTTGGGCAGGATAGTGCATGGCTCGCCTACCCAGTCTGGGTAGATCAGCTTCACTGGGACAATGTCCTCGTCCGGAACCGAATGCGAGTCACAAACTGCGAGCGGGTCACGGTAGATCGTTTGGATCGGCCGCCAGATATTGATGACCTGGAAGCGTGACTGGAGCAGCCGGGGAGCATCCTCGCCGAGGTGCCGCAAGACTTGGTTGATGGAGGCCTGCTCCGACTGGTCGATATGAGCACGCTTTACGGGGCGGCGCTCATCATCTGGGTCCGCGGCATCGGGTTTCGGCTTGCGGATGGTGTGATCAAAAAGGAAAACTCGCGAGGCTCCAGTACTGCAGTGGGTTCAAGTCAGTATCGACCTCACGAGCTCCTTCGCCGCAGGACCGCTCACACACGCTTGAGCAGCTGCTCAATCTCAGGATAGTAGACTTCCTTGATACGAGCCTCGTCTATGAACTCCTTCTCCTGGCTTACGTGGTGGAAAACTTGAAATCCGTGGCTGTCAAGAGTGTAATGGTCCTCATTCCCGGTGATGTCTGTCACCACAACGCCGAAATCTACATTTGGCTGGTTGAACGTGCTTCGCTTGCCTGCAAGACTCGCAGCATGCTCAGTCCCATCCCCTGGGTCTTTGTAGTAATTGATGGTGGTTTTGACGTGACGGGGCGTTGGAGAAACCTCAACGGTCATCATGACGGACTGACAAGACTTTTCACAGTACAGAGACGAATGTTTTCCTTACGCAAACGTGGTGTTAGCTAGTAATTTATTCAAATCTCGGGTATTTCTTGTCGCCTGGCTCTTCGTGAATCACCTCCCCGTCCCCTTTGGGAAGGTTTGCGAGCCAATCAGGATGAACCTAAATAGCTTGTCTTCTCAAGCACCAGGACGCCCAATTCTGGGTTGTGTTGCGAGACTAGGCTTAGAACGTGTGCATGCGTTGACCTTGAAGAGTTTTCCTGCGCCCAAACGTTTATTTATGGACGAGTAATAATATTTAGGTCCGCCTATGTTTATACCGAAAAAGCTAGTGATAGTTATCGGCATCGTCGTTCTCTAGGTACAGAAACCTGAACTCCATGTATATGCTGAACCGCCACTGTCGACTCTGCATTTGTTATATAGTCATGCTGTAAACAACTTCATGCAATTCTTGAATTCTCAACTGGAGCGGCAGGAGCGCACCTTGGTGAGTGTCCCATCCCTCCCGGTTGGCCTGCATACTGAGTGATCTGTGGAGAGCACCTAAGCTTTTCACATTCAGCAGTATCAAGAAGCCAAACAATCGGTGTTGTTCTTGAAAATCGTCGATTTCATACTCTCCAAGAACGATGGACGCACGACGGCGCGTTTGTTCTTCGCTGGATGCTGGATGAGAGGCGCTTTTATCCAATGTCGAGATTTCTGCATCGTATTCCCACTTACTCGCAATTTTCTCTAGTACAGCCACCATTTTCTCGAGTAGTAAGATTGAGAATGTCATCAATCTTGATGAGTTTCTGCATGACTGACATTGAGTGACTGCTTCACATTGCCGAATAGAAATTTTCAAGGATTGGAGTGACCGCTGAGCAAGTCCGAAGGAGGTGATTTTACCAAGATTTTGGACGTTCTCGATAGTGCTAAGAATGAGTCCCATGCAGCGGCATCTTGCAGCAGCCTGCATGGTACTGGCTGCTGGGCTGTTTCTGCGGGTGCTCGAGGTCTCCTGCTGTTGGATATTATTGGTCCCTGGCTGTGGAGTTATCCCGTAGTTTCTTGTCGAATGAGGCGAAAAGAAGAAGGATGGGCTCCCTATAGATGACGACGTGTTGCATGAATCTCCATTTGCACTTGGAAGCGAAGACCAGGAGGACGAAGCCTCGATTGTTTTCTCATCGCCCGTAGACGGCAAATAGCTGCCAGCTCTCCCCACTGTCCCCATGAAATTCTAGATCAGCGCCTTGCCATCATCAAGAGTATTCAGAGGCCCAGGAATCAGACTAATACGTAAGTGAACTCACTTCGTCCAGAATCTCCGCTGGTGCACACTGCATTAGATGGCCAACTGGAGGTGCGATCAAGTTCATCAACGCCATTAATGATGATACCGTCTGGAAACGATTCGCCTAGTTCAAATAAGTCCGCGTCGAAATCAGAATAGCTTTCAGTACCGTGCTCGAAATCACATTGGCCTTCTGCTGGAAACCGATGGATATCTTTCGGTGCGACGCTGGGCTTCGGAGGCACATGGGAAGAAACCCCATCTTTCCCTGCAGAGCCAGACTTGGACGCTGATTTAGAACTGTCAACTTCGGGTAGGCTTGTTGCCGTAAAGATCGCGGTCTCCCTAGAAGCCGGGGTCACTGTCTGCTTGTCTACCCATGGGTCACCCAACACGACTCGTGGCGGGCTTGCAGACCTAGACCCGCAAGCTTCGGGGCCCTCCGGCTGCTGCTTCTCATTCACGGTCCTGCGCCGCTTTGATGTTGAGAGGCCAGAGTAAGTGCACACGAGGTTTCGATCATGACATCTCTGACAACCCAACCTGTGTGCAGAGCATTTCAACTATCGCAATGCAAGAATCTTGTATTAGCTCTCGATCCAGATAACTGGCAACGAGCTCATCTCCATCAACGAACCTTCTTTGATCTACAAGAATCGCAGGCAAACTGATTGTAATTTTGGCCAGATTTCGGGGGTTGCGCTGTGGTGGAGATGCAAACCACCTCTCCATCGTAGGCTTCCTGGCGCAGCGTTGAGAACATGTCGCGGGCTTTCGTCGAGAGTCCCGTGTAACTGCAGACGTGCCCTCTCACAAGCAAGCAGCAAACAAATACCCAAACCCAAGTGCCCACCGCCCCCTTGGATGGAAGGGTCGAGCGGCTGTCAGTAGCGCCGCTCTAGTTGCCGCAGCGCCAAGTGCCGTCGTGTGCTTTTAGCTTTACCGTGCAGGGTCCCCATGTCTGCTACCTAGGCAAAGGCCTCTAAACTGTATTTCGAGGTCCGTTCCGAAGGCTACATGAACGAACGGTTACCACGTGGCTGCAACCTTCCAACGTACATTTAGACTTTTTCCTAGGGGCTTGGGATCTGGATTGCGTTAGGAATAGTCCCGGTAACGCGTGGCGAAGAACAGCGACGGCATCTACACAGTGACGGCATCTACAAAGCGACACCCTATGCAACCGACGCGTCTCTAGAATCAATATGTCTAACCACCGACGGAAACAAGTCTATATGGGGCGGACGTTTCCAATGACACCATTGCCTCGGTACATGCCGCAAGCATTCCAATTATACGTGAGGATTCTTATCACAGTGGGGTTGCTAAGAGCGATAGGTCCAGCTGGGGCCAACTCTAAATGATGACCAGCCATGTCCGCTATTCCACTCCGCTGGCCGAAGAGCCCGAGCTTGTTACATAGGTAGCTGGTGAAGTTGCAGATTCGGGCTCCAAAGCCGGCCAGACGAATGGTCATGCGCAACGGGCCCACCCGATGGGCTCACCTCTGCATAGACGTACTAGGATCGTATCTGTCGAATTGAACAACTAGGCGAGGAACGCCACGTGCTGACAGGCCATCCGTTAAGGTTAATGCATCCTGTTTCACTGCGAAGTCTTAGACAACTTGCGTGACATGAATGTACCACGTTGCGCCAAACTATCGTGGAAAGGCGGGCCTCGGCAACACTAAGAGCGAATACAGGGTAGTATTCGCTTGCAGCGCAGATTCCCAAAACACCAAACCCCCCTTCTTTGCGTACGTAATCTTCCTACGATTGGATGACTGTGATAAAGGCGGAGCGATAACGCCAAGCTACGTAAAGGTTATTCATAGTACCAAATCTTTTGATTGTAGTAAATGAACCTGCCATCCTCAGATCATTGTGTTCACTTCCGCACAGATCTTGTAGATTTTGTTCCCAACCTCTTCAGTGACCAACTGCGTGCCGCATCTTGCGCTGAATAGAAGTCATGCCTTCGTTCATCTCGAACGAACGGAAACCTTCATTACAGGCTTCTGCCATAAGGTGTGCATCTTGGATTGCGCCTGCCAGTCTAGCGATGGATCTACCAAGTTGAGATCATATTTGAAGTGGATTTTGACAAGAATGGTACGCATCTCTAGCCATCCAAGACTAGACAGAGTAATACGCGATCAGATTAGCATATTCTTAGATACATTCCGCAGCCTGTGAAGCTCAATCTGCGGTCAAACCCAAAGGCTTGGATATCTTACCTTTTCCCGAGGCAGCCCCGGGTACCGAGGGAGAACGGCTGGCTTGCCTCTAGGACATCTCCGGAGTTTGGGTGCGTCCATCTTTCTGGGCGAAAGCTCCATGGATCATGGAAGTTCTCGGGTGACATCGAAGCTGCGAAAGGATTTGTGGAAACAATGGTCTATGATGATTGATATGTTGGTCAAGTCGAGTAACACTATACAAGGAAAGCGCATAGAGGAATCATATACTTACACCACCAGGAACAAAATGGCCATCAACAATATCACCACCCTCAGGTACGACCCGCGGTAATGGCATCGGGAGCGGCGGGTACATCCTCATGCCTTCCAGGATTACTGCATTTGTGAAAACCAGGGTTGCTGTTGAAGCGCCATCGATTTCTTCGTACCTGTTGAAAGAATCTCGAATTTCCTGGCGAAGCTTTTCGAGATGAATTGGGTTCTTCAACAGGTAGTACGTGATACACGAAAGTGCCGTCGCCGTCGTTTCACTGCCCGCGATGCTAGATACATAGTCAAAAACTCAACCTGTACAGCAGAATAAAAGATCACGCACACGAAGTCGGAAGAGTGAGCTGCTAGCTGAACATCAGAGATCTTGTCAATGTCTCGATGTTCCAATATCTTGGACAGGAAGTCATTGCGATTGCATTTCTGGCTGATTCTCCTGTCGAAAGCTTAGAGATGGTTGAAGCATTGACAAAATGGGTTCAAAGTTACCTCTGAACAAGGTCCATAGTATAGGTCTCGTGCTTCTGTGACTCCGCCACCAGCCTTTTGAGGACTTGTGGGAAAAGGTGTTGGAAGACTGAGGAAAGGTACGGAAAACGCTTGAATGTGTCGGCAAGAGCGCCCATACGAAGACTCTTCACTACGATTGAAACCCAGAAGTGTTGAGTACCTAAGATGCAAGTTATTAGAGTAACTTGGCCTGGTTTTGCCTGTATGATGGTATCTCACCTGAAGCAACCCCGTTGAAAGACTGGCCGAAAGCGAGACTACCAATAATATCAAACGTCACTAGATTGAACCACATGACAATGTCTGTACCACCTGGGCAATTTCCCGCCTGTCCAATTCTGTCGACAAGATGGTTTACGTGTCCGCTAATGAGGCTTTCCTGTTCGCGTAACGATCGATCCGAGAAGGCGTCACGAAGGTACTTTCGCATGCCAGCATGAACCTCTGGATCGCGCTCACTGACAATGGAGAGAGCTTCACCAGCAAAGTTTCCTCCGCTGTAGAAATCGCTTTTTAAAAACTCTTCATGGCCCTTCCTCTTGTCGTATATATCCCTCCAAGAGCCAGCACTGTTGAATGAGAGTTCATTGGGTGCTACTCTCACTACAGAACCTGCACAGAATGAAGAAGTTAGCACGAAGCATGTCAATATGCGCGGCCAAGGTTGCTTCATTATGGTACCGTATTTCTGATGCAGCGCCAGCATCTCATAGGGTTGCCGGCCCCCAAGGAATCTTTTGCAGTACGAGAACTATGTACTTTTAGAGCCGTGAAGCAATTTCTGATACTTGAAATTGGTACTAACGTTGCTGAAGCGTGCAGAATACGGCCCTGGAAACCGCGAGAGTGGATGCTTAGAGGCATTAACGAACTTAACCAAAGCCCAAACCAGCAAGGCCTATGGCTTCAGTATCAGTAAAAGTCTTTTCTGGAGGAGCATCAGAGCGTACCACTACAGTAGTGGCTAAAAACATGTTTTCACGCTGCATCGTCCTTCTGATAGAAGTATCGGTCCATCCAACGTCAAGGAGGTCAATAGTAGCCGTTTCCATCGCGAAGTCGCCGCAAGCTTCTGTTACTGTGCTCGCACTTTATGGTCAGCCTATTTTCAAAGCAGCTGTAGAGGTTCGAAATATGGCCAGTTCCAGCAAGCAGAATGCTTCTAGGGCGGGCAGGGGTCTTGGGCAACGAGTTACGAAACAGGCAACTGCCCGAACAACCATCCCCTTTGGATAGGCGGCTATTTGCATGAAATCTAACATTTCCAAACAAAACTTACAGACTGCGGATCAATTATCGTCTCGTATGCCAACCTTTTCCAGTCCTGTGAGTCTATTGGAAATGGCTGGTTTAAATATTACAGAGAACGATATTCCTGACCTTCACGGCAAAAAGGCCGTCATCACGGGTAAGGCGTTCCGCGAACGCATGGAAGAGAAAATACATAGAGTCCTAACAGGGTACAGGTGGATCTTCGGGCATTGGTTTCGCAGCAGCTACAATCCTGACTGCCAGAGGTGCCGAAGTCTTTATTTTGGATATCGAAGAGCCAGAAGAGCATGGCAACACATCAATGCACTGGATCAAGTGTGATATCAGCAAATGGTCTGACCTGGTTTTCGCATTTGCCCAAGTCGATGTTGTGCATATCGCGATCGCCAATGCGGGCGTGAGCGAAGATGGAACATACCTGAGCGACGAATATGATGAGAGCGGTAATTTGCTAGAGCCATCATATAAAGTGATTGATGTGAACTTCAAGGGCACTCTGAATTTCATCAAGCTCGCATGCAATGCAATGCGAACGCATAGCGTCGAAGGCAGTGTCGTAATTACGTCCAGCGCAACTGCATATGCGGCAGAGCAGAGCCTACCGGTTTATAGCGGTACTAAGGCAGCGGTAAGGGCTCCCAATATTTTCTTGAATGTAGCTAACAAAGGACAGTTGGTAAATTTTATGCGTGCCATGAGGTCGTATCTGCGTGATACCGGTATAACTATCAATGTTGTAGCTCCAGCTGCCACTATCACGAAGCTCCTTCCAGCAGATCTTGCAGCGCCAATTCTGGCGGCGAATCTCCCCGTCAGCACAGCACACTTTGTAGGGTTGGCTGTCGTATATTCAGCTGTAGCAACAGAATCTAAGAAAGCACAATCCTATGGGAGGGACACGCTGGAGTGGGAGAGAGCGCCTGGTCGTTGGAATGGGAGAACCATTCTGACACACGGAGACGTATACACCGAGCTTGAAGGACCTTTGTCGGATACGCGTCATATCTGGTTTGGGGATGAGAATGTTCGACAGACAAGATTGCAACAGTCCATGACGGACTTCAGAGCCGGAAATTAGAGCACCTTATACTTCGCAATGATAATCAACTCCCTTGTGACTGACTTTTGCCAACCCCTAATATGACTAGGTTTGAAGTAATCCCACACTAGATACCACAAAAGATTTACACCCATCCAGTGCTTGAGTTCACCAGCAGTCGACTTCAGAATCTCCCTTATTGCCGAACAAATACTAGGCATAAAAAAATGCACCTGTGTAGATGTCTCGATTTTCGGTACGAAACCTCCGAATTTCGCACAGTTTCCGCTTTAGGAATAATGTCGGCGGAGACTTGCCTTTTGAGGGCCAGCCATCGCTCGCGGGATGCCAGTATACATGAGGTATGCCACGTTTCCTCGTCGTACCATCCCTCTCTCGATTCAAAAGATCAGAATTAGAATTATGAATCTGCATTGGATCCAAAGTTTTGTATTCGAAAAGATGACTCTCCGGTCCGCATTGCCCTCATCCATGATGGCTCCACTCGTCGCTCTCACTTCGCTCCTGGTTCCTGCTAAGCATGCTCCCCCGAAGCTCGTAGAAAAACAGCGGCTGTCATCCCCAAAGAGTTCCTGCAATGCACCTTTCCCTCCACGTTTCACAGCCAAGCTTCACCCGCGCGAAGCTGAAGTCTCAGCGGAAGTCAACGGCTACTTCCTGCAACACTGGCCGTTCCCCGATGAGCGAGAGAGAAAGAAGTTCGTGAAGGCTGGTTTTCCCTACGTCACATGCTACTATTTCCCTGCTGCTCTGGACGACAGGATAGCTTTGGCGTGCCGCCTTTTGACGTTACTATTCCTGGTAGATGGTATGTATAGGGTGGCTTGGTTCGTATGAAGAAGATGGTTTTAGAATTGGAAAGAAAGCGAAGATGCGAGCTGACCATTTGGGCACACCCTTGCAGACTATCTAGAAAGTCTGTCACTTGAAGAGGGCTCGGCTTACAATGAGAGGCTTATTCTCATTTCCAAGGGCTCTGTTAAACCCGACCGAGACATCCCTGTAGAATGGATCACGCATGACCTGTGGGAAGATATGAGAGAATGCGACAAAATGCTGGCAGAAGAAGTGCTAGAGCCCACCTTCACGTTTATGAGGGCACAGACCGATGCCTGTCGCCTTGATATCAAAGGCTTGGGTAACTATCTTCAATATCGCGAGAGAGATGTGGGAAAAGCGTGAGTGAATGCGGCATCTCATACCATGTTTCGGTAGGCGAATGATCACTAACGCGGAGTTGCATCAGTTTGTTGTCCGCCTTGATGAGGTTTAGTATGAACTTGCATCTTACCGCAGATGAGCTGGCATCTGTGAACGATGTTGAGATGAACTGCTCGAAGCACATATCTGTCGTCAACGACATATACAGCTGGGAAAAAGAGGTTCTGGCCGCCCAGACCGGTCATAGAGAAGGTGCCGTACTCTGTTCGTCGGTGCTGGTGCTTTCGCAAGAAACTAGCATTGACGTTGAGGCATCGAAGCGCGTGCTCTGGTCGATGTGCCGGGAATGGGAGTTGGTTCATGAGAAGCTCGTGGCGAAGAGGATAGCTTCCACTTCCCTGCCTTGCAAGGAAGATCTCAAATTCTTCTTAAAGGGGCTTGAGTATCAAATGAGCGGCAACGAGGCTTGGAGCGAAAAGACTCCCCGGTATCACCAGCCAACTGCATCGTAGAGTATCCTAAGTATCGCAACTTATATAAAGGTCCTGCATTTGTACTTTCCATTTATACACAAGATATCAAGTTTGTTATGCTATATAATATCGGTGCATGACAACCTTTTTTGTCATGTCTGCATCACGTGTTCGATCCCCTAGATTTTCTCCCCAATAGGACTGAATACAACACTGATACCAATCAATTTCCTGTGGGATCCACTGTAACTCCATATTGTGTCTACACGAAAGTCGAAGCATATTCTTGAAGCGTTCCGGGTATGGGGCACTTCTTGAGTATTCTTGTACTTATCAGCGCACCTTCGCGGAGTTATTGCCAGGCAAGTATATATTAAGTGTAATATGTATCGACTTCTTCAAAAGCCAAGTAGTTTGCGTGAAGATAACTATTTTAATGGTGATGCTCAGGTTCTCAAACGTTCTTGATATTTAAGCTCATGTGTGTGATTTTCATCCAGTTTCAATTGTTGCTTTTCAAACGAGTCAACACTACAACGCATCATACCGCATATTATGTATAATTTTACCAATTCAAAGCTGTACCTTGCCTGCCGGCCGGGTGGTTAGTACGAGACAAGGACACGTCTGCGATGGTGTAGTCAACCTTGCCATTCGCGTCGGGCACAACATCTTCTTGGATGCCATTGACTCCAGCAGCGATTTTAGACTCTAGCTTCTCATCATGAGCATCAATGAGCTCCTGTGGAAGCTTGGCCAATGCCTGATCAAAGTCCTCGATAATATCTCGTACATCTTCAATGCCCACGGAACATCGAATAAACGCCTAATTGGAAGTTTTAGCTCCTTGTCCAAAACAACGTCATAGGATGGGATCAATCAAGGGATAAAAGCTCACCGGAGTAATACCAGCCTCTCGGCGGTCCTTCTCGGACATGATAACATGTGTCGAGTTCCATGGATGCGTAGCTAATGTCTTACAGTCTCCTACACTGTTCAGTTGCAGATTGGAGTCAGCTCCGTAGATTATAAAACATTGCAGATTCAATTGCTCCTTACTTTGTCTGATGGGAGACGACTCGGACAAAGTCCAAGAGCATCTTACTTGCCTTATCGCCACCTTTGGGCCCGAAAGCAAGCACAGAGCCATATCCTTGCCTAAGGTATTTCTTGGCATTTTCGTGATACTGGTTTGTCTCAAGACCTGTCAATTTATGTATATTAGCCAAAAAGGAAGGAGAAAATAAGGCCAAGCACATGATAGGAAATAAAACACAAGTGCGGCACTGTGAGTTGAATTCGGAGGCATACCGGGATAATTGACCCAAGCAATCCGTGGGTGTGCTTGCAAGAATCGGGCCACTTCCAGAGTGTTCGTCGCGTGTCGCTCGCAGCGCAAACTAAGCGTCTCCATGCCTATGAGCAGTTGCTGTGCTGATGCCGGGGCCAGAATGGACCCCACTTCCATCAAAATGTCCAGTCTGAGAGCCATAGCAAAGGCGATGTTTCCGAATGCCTTCCAGTAGGAGAAGTTCATCGGGCCGTCTTTTTTCATGAGCCGTGGGAAGCGTTCGCCAGCCTTACCCCAGTCGAAGGTGCCGCAGTCGACAATGACTCCCCCAACAACGGTGCCATGTCCGCCCATCCACTTCGTGGCTGAGTGCAAGACGATATCGGCACCAAAGTCAATGGGCCTGCACCATGTCCCACAAGCACCAAAGGTGTTGTCAACCTTGATATCGGAGTCAGTCGTACAACCCTCTTTGAGTACGTGGAGACACTTACAACAAATGGCATTAGATTCTCGTGGGCCAGATCTGCCAAGTCCTGAAGATCGGGAATGCTGCAGCGTGGGTTGCCAATGCTTTCGACATACAAGAACTTTGTCTTGTCATCAATGTACTTGGCGAATTCTTCACGAGTCTCCTGCTTCGCCCACTTCACGTTGATGCCAAGACGGGGAAGTAGGGTCTTGAACAGGCTGTAGGTGCCCCCGTACAAGTTGATCGAAGCCACAATGTTATCGCCAGCTCCGGCGAGACAAATAATTGTGTTGAAAATCGCTGCCTGTCCTGAGGCAGTCCCGACAGCCGCGGTGCCTCCTTCCAGGACAGCCGAACGCTTCTCGAAAGCAGCAACAGTAGGCTTCGAGACAAATTATGTCAGTAACTATATTCCAAATAATTCATTAAGTGCAAGCCGGTAACAACTCACGTTGGAGATTCTGCTGTAGAAATAGCCGGCCTCCTCGGTGGCGCATATTCTTTTGGCGTGGCCACTATCGGTGAAGATGAATGACTTGAAGCAAATTCGTCAGTTACAGTCTAGAAGGGATCGAATCATTAATTCTTGGACTTGGACTGACCACACTGTTGTAAATTGGAACTGCTCTTGCATGAGTTTCCTTGTCTGGTCTATGACCGCCATGAACCTGGAGGGTATCGTATCGCAATCCGTCATCGAACTTTTCTACCTTGTAAGGCTGGAAAGGGTCATGTCCAGGTGGCGGCGGAGTGGACAAAACACGATGCACTTCATGGCTACCGTTTGTCCCTTCGTTGTGGGTAGGTCCATTCCCGGCTGAAGCAACCATTGTGTATGATATGAGAAACTGATGAAATCTAGTGACTTTTGAGACTCTGAAATGTCGCAAATCGATATAACAACATCAATAGACAGTGATCCTCCGTCTTATAAATGATCAACCCCCAAAGTTTTGGCGTTACTGCTGGCCTCAACCCATCGCGACCTATCGGAGACTTTCCTATTGAAGTAATCAGCCGTGCCCGAAAGCGCCTTCGATGGCACCTCTGCGCGCGAAACTTTGCTTCCGCAAAAGTACAATCCATGATGAAAACTGTTTTGGAAGTGTATTCTCGCATTTACGTTTATCATTGCACCCGTGTCCCATAATCATAGAGCACTGTCTGTCTCCCTCTCTGTTGTGCCAGTCTCGATACGAAACTATGGAGCCCTACGAGAAACTTGATCCACTCGTGTGGGCTCTGGATAGAGGAAGTCTCATGCGAGAAGCCTGGGACGGCAGCCCGATTAGACTTGCTACTTTGGCTTGCCTGGTGGTGTGCATATCGATTATGATTTGGTACGTTCGGCCGAATTCTCAGGCACTTGTACCAGGCGTCCTGGTTGTTGGAGGCAGCGATAAGAAAAGTGTGCGGGAAAGCCGAGAGAAGTTTCGACAATTTGCAAAGGAAATGCTGGAGCGCGGTTACAAAGAGGTAAGCAATGCCTGTCGCTTGAGTATCTCATCTTGCTATCCCAGCTACTGAAAATTTCATGATCTTTCCAGTCCGGCGGGGGGTTCTTCTACGTCCCTAGCCCACTCGGAGAGCGGTTGATGTTGCCTGCCAGCTGCCTCGATGAGCTGAAAACTGCGCCTATAGACCACATCGACTTTGTTGCTACATTCATCGAGGTGAGGGCTGGCAATGAGACTCATATCATCTGCGACGCGGCTAACATATAAAGATGTTCGAAGGGAAATATACAACTATGGGCAGCAGATCAACTCTACACCCACGTGTGGTGAAAGCTCAACTGAACCACCATTTGGGTATGTAACAAAAGTATTCTGTACCACCATTGACTAAGAACTCATTCAAAAAGACGAGGTCATGCCCGCCGTCCAGCAGGAGATTATCGAGGCCTTCCATGATGTTTTTCCAGATTGCGAAGGTAATTGAACACATTCTCTTGTTATCACTTTAAATATAATTAACGGGAATCCCCAGACTGGACGCCAGTCCCTGTTGTTGAAGCACTTACACAGATTGTGGCCAGGGTGTCAAGCTGCATGTTCGGAGGACGTGCTCTAGCTCACGACAAGGCATGGGTCCAGTCATCCATCAACTTCGCCATCGATGGATTCATAGGCGCGCAGAAGATCAAGAAGTACCCCGAATTCTTGAAACCATTGGCTGCTCGGTTCATGCCAGAAATCACAAGCATAGCGAAGCATTATGAGGCCGCAGAAGCTGCAGCGATTCCTATCCTCGAAGCTCGGCAACGCAGCGGAGAGAAGGCTTTGGATCTGCTCTACTGGATGTCTGAACAGGCCGTTGGCCCGGAAAAGGACCTAAAGTTTCTTGCCAGCATCTTGCTCAAGGTCAGCTTCGCTGCCATACACACTAGTGCCGCAGCCCCAGCGCAACTCATCTACGATCTGTGTGAGCATCCCGAGTATATTCAGCCTCTCCGTGACGAAATTGAGAGTGTTATTGATGCCGACGGCACGATAGCCAAGTCCAGCTTCCTCCGCATGACAAAAATGGACAGTTTCATGAAGGAGAGCCAGAGGTTCAATCCGTTGCTGCTGAGTACGTGATTCTATTTTCATTAGGCGGCAGACCACGGAGTTCGACCTCAAGACCCTGAGACTGATATTTGTGCCCTGAATTAGTCACGTTTGAACGTGTTGTTCACCGCCCATGGACTTTGTCTTGCGGCTTGACGATCCCAGCCCACACCACGGTTGGAATTCCGACACAAGCCATCACCATGGACCCCAAACTGTATCCCAACCCCGAGGTATTTGACCCCTTCCGCTTTGAGAGGATTCGAAAAGAGAACCCCGAGTTCGAGGGGCGAGCCCAGTACGTTGCATCAAACCCGTCCTCCATGGCTTTTGGATACGGGCGTCATGCTTGTCCAGGTCGTTTCTTCGCCGCTCAGGAAATCAAGGCCATCATGGCATACCTGCTACGAAAATACGACATCCGCTTTTCGGAGGGCCAGAGTCGGCCAGAGAGTCTCCGTGCGGAGACTCAGTTCCTGCCGCACCCAACAGCAACTGTGGAATTTAGAGCAAGAGACATATAAGGCTTAAATAGAACTTCAAATAACGTTATTCTAAAATCAGTACATTATACAGAAGTGTGAAGCACTGCCGGGTGACTGATAAATATATATTTGAAACAGGGCCCCAGCTAATCGGTACTGTTGCTTCTGGTCAAGGCTCCCTAGGCTGGTATGGATATTTGGGCCTATATCAATATTGGAGGATATTATTTCACCATCAGGTCACATCAAGTGTTCACTTCAACTTGAAAGTTTGAAACTTCAACCGATGCAACTCTTCCACGGCCAGATATTCTTTGCGCAGCTCGAGTATACCTACACGGTAGAACGAGCCTTTGCGCTTCTTCACCACAAGGACGAACCCTGCATCGCCTAGGGAGCCCAGCCGAAGAGCCTTGTACGCACCACTCTGTACGTTCTGAACCACCTTGCTTTCCTCGACGCCCGGCTTGCTGGGGCGCCACGTCGCGGCCTTGTCCAGGATGCAGATGAGGCCCCTCTGCATGGACAAGAACTTGCCCGGGACTGCCACCGTCTGCACCAGGAGTGCCTTCGGGTACTGTCCCAGCTTGTCTGCGCCCGGCCGGTTGTCCCGGACGTCGGGTATCGAGCGCGTGGACCCGTCCTCGAACGACAGCTGGATGCTGGCCAGCATGTAGTCCGCCGGCGCCTGGATCTCGAAGTCGTGGACGGCGCGGGGCCACGTGATGCCGCCTTCCCAGCCGGTCCAGGACCAGGAGGGGAACCCTTTCCTCCTGCGCGGCTCTCGCTGCTCGCCGTCGTGCCACCATGATAGACCGGCCATCAGGAAACCCACGTAGTCTACAATGTCGGATGGGGACGTGTCGTCGCGGGGGTCGAAGAAGGGAACCCCCCAGATGTGACGGACGGGCAGGCGATCGGTGGCCTCGAATCTTTTGATCATGCCAGCGAAGGCGTTAAGTGAGTCCTCGTCGTAGCTCAATGTCCTCCGCGAGTACTTTTCCGCGCATTCCACATAGGCCATAAATCTGTCACGTTTGGTGGTGTGCGGGTGATGCTGCCCAGGCTCGTTACCCTGGTCCCCCACGAATAGCCGCGGTTTCATGAACTCAAACAACCAGGGCAGGATATCGTTCGGGGCTTTTTGAATGTTGATGTTAAGACTCTCGTAGCAACACGCGGTCCGGCACTCGAAATACATCTGGTACTGCGTGAACACTAGGCACCTTGGTGATAATACTGCTTCTTGGAAAGTCCAGCCCCTAGTCGCCCAGCGGGAGCCTAAGATCTCGCGGCGGGGGCTCGGCGGCACCCAGGATACCGAGAAGTTGTCGTGTTGAAAGGGTGCCTTCTTCCCTTTACGATCTTTACCGACCCCAGGAAGCCCATGTGACTCGTCTTCCCCCGCCGCGGCTACAATTGTAAGCGCAGCATTCGAGTATATCGAATCCATGTGCATGATCTGCTCATGCTTCTTCCAACCGTCGCGCTGGTCTACGCAGTACTTGTCTATCCAAACATAGCGGTATCCCAAGGACACCGCGACTTCCAAAGTATCCTCTATCACCGGTACCGCCGTCGCTGGCAACACAGATTCAGCGTCGATATTGGCTGCTTGCTTGTTGCTTTTGCCCCACACGTAACTCAGGGCGATATACGTGGGCGGTGTTTCGAGGGACTGAACAGAGATGATCTGTCGCGTCTGACAGTCGATCAAGTTATCGGGCTGGTAAGACGAGTGATGTGACTGGCAGATGACATGACTTGATTGGCATTCATTCAACCAACTCCCTACAATATTAGGATCGAAACGAGGAGATACCTCTTTCGCGCAAACCCCCTTATAGCCGATCGTCGTCTGAGCGCGCCATATTAAGAAGCCTGTTTGAGAGACCAGCTCGTCGAGTCGTCCTTCCCGTAGGTAGTCCACATCAATCGGTAGAAAAGCTAGGAAAAAGTCGTCCGTCTTCACTTTGCAGTGCTCAATGATCGAAAACGGTAAGCCCATGTCCCTCTGCAGTTGTCGCACTAGATAGGGCATAAGTGGGAAAGCCCGGAGCTGCACTGGACCGCTTGAAATTTTGTGGAAGACATGACACATGGTACACTCGGGTGTATATGAAAACATATATCGTTGCTGGACAAGGATGCCCCGTGCATAGTGACTACCCGACTCTTCGTAAATGTGCTGGATATCGATATCGCGACAGGTGCGGCATGTCCCTGCAGCGGATTGCCTTGATCTTATTGAGACTGATGAGACTGATCGTCTGATTGAGGTACGCAGAGACGAGAACAAAGGTGAAGATGGGCTTGCCCGTTCCTTCAAAATAATGTATTAGCGACCAGTACGTATAGTCGTGGGACAGCAAGGATTCCCCACCTGTGCTGGCGACGCGGGTCGCCCAGGAACTTGTGCTCCAGTATTATGAGCAGGCCATAGCTTGAACTTGAACCGTGACGGCTGTGGCGGAGGTTCTGATTGCCGTCCGGAATCGAGCGACTTCTTAGGCTTCCTCATCGAGTTACTTGGGAGAAGGATACGATGGTCTTCACACTCGGTGAAGCGCCACACGTATACACAATAGTAGAGAGCGAGAGGCAAATCCACCCCGGATGGATAGTAAGCGGCGACCTGTGACTGATTTATGCAGTCGCGATAAGGAGCGACGGAGCCTTGCGGTACCCCTGTTGTGTGTTGATATTCAAACGAAGCTATGCCTAAAACAAGAGGGAGTGCAGTTACTGGCGGAGTCAGGCTGCTTACTGCGCGCGGACAATAAAGCCATGCCATTCCGATTCGTCACGACACGCCTCACACAGTATCGAGGAGCATTAGTCGAAGTCATATTACAGATGTCTATTCCACTGCTGCTCATCCCAATCTCTAAAACCAGATCGAATCAATCGCTGGACCCAAATTTGGGTCGCCAGCCTATATCTAATGCGCCAGCTTGATTCCCATCCTGTTCATCAACGTACATAACCATGGCAAGACCGGCAGAGCAATGTCCCGCTTCAGCCGGGCCCCATTTCCACAACTCATCACAACCATTACTTTTGGCAACCATTTATCCCTGGAACTCATGAAGACCGAGCTTCTGGGCCTCCTCCCACTTGCCAGGGAGCAGAGCCAGAGGAACGATGCCAGAAACGTGCATCTCAGGGCCGAAGATCTTGGCATCAAGACCCAGTTCTTGCGTGGCAGCCTTCATGTTCTTGAGACCCTCCTGGTAGTTAGGACCAGCACGACGGACCCAGACCTTGACGTCTTGCTCTTGAAGCTGCTTCGAGTACTCGCGCAGGGCACGAATGACACCCTTGAAGGTAGAAGCGACGTTGGTGAAGTTGGCAATACCACCACCGATGAACAGGACCTTGCCCTTGTCGCTGTGAGGTGCACGGAGCATGAGGTCCAGAACGGTGCGGGCGTAGTGGAAAGTTTGCGACTCGGTAGGAGCACCGGAGTATTCACCGTAGTTGGCGAGGTCATCAGCGAAACCAACCGACGCAATGGCGTCAGCGTAGACAACGGAGGCACCACCACCAGCAACCAGGGTCCAGATACGGCCGTTGGGGTTCAGAACGGTGAGCTTGAGCGATGCACCGGTCTTGGCATCCAACTCTGCGATGTAGGCCTCCTCCTTGGAAAGCTCACGGCCGAAGGGAGCAGGGAACTCCATGGGCGGGCCGGCGTCGACGCTGATCTTGCTTCCAGCGCTGGCAACAGCGGCAAGACCCAGGGCAGCAGGCGAACGAGCAATAGCCCACTTCACACCACACTCGAAGTCGGCAGTCTGGTCAAGCTTGGCGGCCAAGTCAAGGAAGTGCACCTCGGCCGATGTGGCGTCTGCGTTGGGGATAACGACCAAGGGGTTGATCTCAAGGTAGGTGAACTGGCAGTCGACATAGACGGCGTACAGGCGCGAGATGAAGTCAACGAGGACATTGTGAACACCCTTGGGAACCTTCTTCAACAGGTTTGCTGCGATCTCCTCATTCGAGGGGAACTCTGAAAGATCGACGGGAATCAACAGCTTCTCAGCCTTCGCATCAACATCACCGACATCAACACCACCCTCGTGGGTGAAGAGAATCCAGTCGCCCTATAGTTCAAAGTTCAAATTAGCGCCTGCATTCTTTATCTTCAGGGGAACTGCCAACTATGCAGGCGAGCGTATAGAGTTTAGTATAGCGTGATTAGGGAAAAGGGCGATGCAAACTATGCATGTCTCATTGCGGAAAGTGGGTGTCAAGGTGCCAAGGTGGATTCCGATTCCGAGCAAAGTGGTTTAGTTTCCGTTCGTCCGCAGGGCATCGGCTCGGTCCAGCAAGCCCGAATGAGTGCAATAAATGCGGCCACGATGCCACAAACTCATCCAGACGCAAAAACCACTTGATTTCCACCAATGCGAAAATAAGATATTTTCTAGACTAACGGCCAACAGTCCGTTCTCTTTTGCAAAGCAAAAAGACTTGGACTGGGCGAAGTCTGGATATAATCCACTCTTTGCACTGGGCGCATCCGCCAGACACCAAAAGGAGAATGCAAAAGAGACCGGGATTCGGAATGATGCAGAGAGGCAAAGAGGCAGATTCGCACAAGGCGTAAGGGGAAAACTCACATCTCTCACGGAGTTGATGTTGATGTAGTACTCGGTGCCCTCGGGGTGAGGAACGAAAGGCTCGACGAGGAACTGGCTGAGAACACCCTTGACGTGCTCGACCTGCTGGACCTTTCTGGCACGCTCAGCAACCCAAGCCTTGGCCTCAGGCCAGGTCTTGTTCAGGGCCAGGAGACCGCTCTTGCCTCGGCGCTTGATCAGCTGATCAGGCTTTGCGACGAACTTGGCGCCGTCCTGGAGCAGCCACGGGTAGGTGACCTCGGCCTGGTCCAAGACAGCGTTCACGTCAGCATCCTCGGGGAAGTAGAGGGATGCCAATCTGGGAGGAGGGTTGTGTGTGGCCGACTTGGGGAGGGGAGTGGGCTTGATGACGGGCGCCCGGGTGAGGTGGTAGTTGAGGATGGCCTTGCCGTCGGCCTCGAGGATGGACTTGGCGGACATCTTGGGTGGTTGTGCGGGTTGAGAAAGCTATTCGCAGGTATGTGAGCGGTCTGTTGGCTCTTCGACTGGATTTTCTTGATTCTTCCTTTGGAGTGGGATGTCAGCAACGGAGCTCCTAGGACGAGTGTTCTGAGAGACGAGAGCGCAAGTGCGAGGCAAGCGGGAGACAGCTCCCCAACGGCAGACTGAACGGCGATGGTTGGAAACACGACAAGCTGAACACGAACCGCTGCGGGCCACTCCTTTCTTCCCTCCTTAGCTTTTGCCCCTCCTCTTTTCGAAAAACGAGCTGGATACGAGTTGTCTCGATGACAGCTTGCTTACCTTGTTGCAACGCACTTGGGGGGGGCAGTGTTCCCTACGATGCACCCCTCTTCGACTGGCGAGAAGGAGGAATTGCAATGGGGGGACTGGGTTGAGCTGGGGAAAGCAGAATGCCACGGCGATGCACTTACTCTTTCTTTCAAGCAGAGGAAGACGAGAACACAACTCCAAGCGGAAGGTGGTTCTTTGAGACTGAATTGAGGGCGGCAGGAATGGGGATTCTCGTTCAGAAAATTTCGAGGTTCAGAGAGGTGCCAATGCCAACGGGTGACCCTAGAAAGCTCCGCCAGTTGCCTTCAGGGCCCGGAAGGTGCAGCTTTGGTGTGTGCTCCAGTCCAGCAAGTCAAATCTCTGGCGCGCGCCCCGGGGTCCGTGCTGGGATTGGGCCATGGATTGGGGCATGGATTGGGGGGACACTTGGGGCACTTTGGGCGGTCTGCTGGGTCCTGCAATTGGGGGGTCCTGTCGGCCACCGCCCGTGGCCCGGAGTGGGAACGAGCCTGCGCTTGCAGCTTTGGAGGGGGACGCTACCCGCAGGCTGGCAGGCAAATCAGGCACGGTGTACGGCAATCCATACGGGGCACCCGACTGTGTCTTACCGCCCCAAAACTATTGGGGGAGATCCTGCGCCCCGTACAGCCTAGCCGGGCCACCAAAGTACCGGTACCCCAACACCAACACTTCCACAGGTTGGGGGGGAAGTTGTCGTCGGCCAGTTTCGACCGTTGCTACCAAGGTTCGGGCCCAAACTCGGCTGACTGGTTCTGAAATTGGCCGAGGGAACCTGCAAATGCGCTCCTGCCTGCACACACGGCAAGAACCTTCAGCGGGTTGGCTTGGACAAATGCACGCTCAACTCATGGACTCCGATGGCTGCAGGGTGTGGTGTGGCATCATCGAACTTTCTGTCTGGTGACACTCAGGCTCGGGGAACCGCCCGGGCAAGGGCACTTTGACACGGACGATGGATGCATGAGACCATGAGTGCAGCACCAGCTGCTGCGCCGAGTCAGATGGAATCAGTCGAAGCCGAACTAAAGCAGGCGCTCGTCCCCAGCACTCGAGAAACCCGTATCTGAGCCCCTAAATGGCAGGCAAGCTCTATACTAAGTAGTGCGATGGCCTCTGGATGGAGCCCAATCTGGAATTGCGACGCAGCAACCGACAGGCAAAATCACTTCACGTGGCAGGCCTGCCCGGTTCGTCGCTTGAGTGTCGCCAATGCACACTCTATCTATGCTGCAATGCTGCAATGCCGCCCCGAGATCCCTTTCCTGACTTCCGAAAAGGTGTCCCGCGGCCATGTCAGGCGTTGATGGCGGCACGAAATAGGCCGGAGTTGGCATTTGGGGACCATCCGGCAACCGGGGTGGGCACAGCTGTCGTCCGGTCAACTTCCCGATATGGTGAGCTGACCTCCGAGAACTGTTGCAGTGCGAGGACCTCCACGGGTCGCAATGCCATATCCACCCGGACGGGCAAGCCGTGGGCTCGACCAGCTGGTCAATGATGGGCAAGCGCATGCTCCTCCTGAATCCCCCCAGTGCGCACCTTCTCGATTTGAGTTGCGATAAAGTTATTGCTCGCGATTTCTCCTATTTGTTTGTTGGCGTTCTGAGAAAAGTGCCCGAGTTTCGCGGATAATATTGGCGACAACGGAGGGGGACTAGCGATTTTCATTTGCTAATCGCCCAGCGATAGACTGTGGTGCTATATTCGTGGTGGGGTGTTACGCAAGCTCGTACCGGTACCTCGATCCCAGGGCGGGCCAAAAGAGCGGGACAGGGCCCGAAAGCCTGCTGGAGGGGCCCAGTGGGCAGAACAGCCCTGGGAGAGCGCTGGCCGTGGGCGAGAATGGCAGCGAACGAGGTGCACCCCCAGCACCCTAGCCGGGCTGCTCCCTGGCTCCCTGCAGGGCTGGCTGCAACCCACGTCAGAAAGCCGCCATGATCAACAGGGTCAGGAGGGGTTCTGGGGGTCCAGCGCTCCCAGCAAATGGAAGCTCAATCTTGCGCCGCTACTATTCGGGCCAACAAGGCACTTGGGATCCAATGCCTGCGACTTGGAATTCAACAGAACAGACGACTGGTATTAAAATTTACCCCAACTATTCCGACTGCTAGTTTCCACCGGACCTGCTCGCTCACAGCACCGACAAGAGGGAAAAAAAAAACGAGGCGCTTGGCCTGGTGCATCCACACACCGCAACGCATTTGCGCAGAAAGGCAAACCAGAGCCACACACCACACCCAACCCACTGTCTCTGTTCTTCGGGCGGACCCTGCTTCCCTCCCCTGCATCTGTGCGCCCCTGCCCGTCTCCCCAAGTTCCCCGTCGTCGCTTTCACTCAACCTGGGCCGGAAAAAAAAGCTCGACTTACAATCCTCTTGCTTCCCCCCCATTGAAAACTCCCACCCCGACATCCACTCCTCTGAAGCTGCAACGGCGAGACGCTTCATCCGGTCTCAGTGCGTTTCATTGCTTTAGGTATCCGAGTGCAGTCAGCTGCAAGATAAGGTAAGTCAGCTTGTTGCGTGCGAACCCCCGTGCTGGCTTTGCCTGCTGGCTTGGCCACCTGCCCCTACCCGCCTGTTCTGCGCTGTTCTGTCTTTGCTGGGAGCTTGAAAGGGGGCCAATGCCGTCGAGTCCGCTGGGAAAACTCCGCGGGGGAGGTCAAAGATGCATTGTCCGTCAAAGGCAGCAGATCCCTGATCCCATCGGGCTTGCTTGGGTTGTGCTCAGCGCGGCCGGCAAAGCCTCTTTTCTCGTTCGCCTCCTACAGACTAAGATCCGGCCAGGGAGCGCCAATCCCTCTTGAAAACCCCGTCTGACACCATCTTGTACCCTTGATCTTACACATCAAGCAACCCCCCTCGAATCAGGTGCATTCACTACTGTGTGCGGCCTTCGAACAGCTTCACCCAACTCTGTTTCTTTCCCAATTTCCGACTTGGCCTTGATTGCATGAGCGAGCTGGATACCTGGCAGGAGCATACAGCTAACTAGACTGCTTTTTCTCGCCTTATAGACATCCTGAGAACCCGAATCCACCACAGCCAACATGTCTCCTACCACGAATGGTGTTAACGGCACCAGCTCGGCCGGTGGTCTGTCAGCTAACGACAACATCACCCGGTTCGGAGCTCCCAGCCGACCTCTGAGCCCCCTCCCCGAGCACGCTCTCTTCAGCGACAAGACGAGATGTCTGGTCTACGGTCTGCAGCCCAAGGCTGTCCAGGGCATGCTCGACTTCGACTTCATCTGCAAGCGCACCACCCCCTCGGTCGCTGGCATCATCTACACATTCGGTGGTCAGTTCGTCAGCAAGATGTACTGGGGAACCAGCGAGACCCTCCTGCCCGTCTACCAGCAGGTCGAGAAGGCCGTGGAGAAGCACCCTGACGTTGATGTCGTCGTCAACTTTGCTTCCTCGCGAAGTGTCTACAGCTCTACCATGGAGCTGATGAACTACCCTCAAATCAAGACCATTGCCATCATTGCTGAGGGTGTGCCCGAGCGAGTAAGACCTTTCTTCCTTGAAAAGCAATCAGACCGTCGGGACGTGACTGACAAGTGATTCAGCGTGCGCGTGAGATCGCCCATGTTGCCCGCAAGAAGGGTGTCCAGATCATTGGACCTGCCACCGTCGGTGGTATCAAGCCTGGCAGCTTCAAGATCGGCAACACTGGTGGTATGATGGACAACATTGTTGCCTCCAAGCTCTACCGCAAGGGCTCCGTTGGTTACGTCTCCAAGTCTGGTGGTATGTCCAACGAGCTGAACAACATCATCTCGCAAAACACCGACGGTGTCTACGAGGGTATCGCCATCGGTGGTGACAGATACCCCGGTACCACCTTCATTGACCACATGCTCCGATACCAGGCCGACCCCTCGTGCAAGATCTTGGTCTTGCTTGGTGAGGTTGGTGGTGTTGAGGAGTACAAGGTCATTGAGGCCGTCAAGCAGGGCGTCATCACCAAGCCCATCGTTGCGTGGGCCATTGGTACTTGCGCCAGCATGTTCAAGACAGAGGTTCAGTTCGGTCACGCCGGTTCGTTCGCCAACTCCCAGCTTGAGACTGCCGCCATGAAGAACAAGAAGATGAAGGAGGCCGGCATCCACGTCCCGGACACCTTCGAGGAGCTCCCCGGCGTCCTCAAGCAGGTGTACGACAAGCTCGTTCAGCAGAAGGTCATTGTTCCCGAGCGTGAGCCCGTGGTCCCCAAGATCCCCATGGACTACTCGTGGGCCCAGGAGCTCGGTCTCATCCGAAAGCCTGCTGCCTTCATTTCCACCATCTCCGATGACCGTGGCCAGGAGCTCCTGTACGCCGGTATGCCCATCTCGGATGTCTTCAAGGAGGAGATCGGTATCGGTGGTGTCATGTCTCTGCTTTGGTTCCGTCGTCGCCTGCCCGACTACGCCTCCAAGTTCTTGGAAATGGTTCTCATGCTCACTGCCGACCACGGTCCCGCCGTGTCTGGTGCCATGAACACCATCATCACCACCCGTGCCGGCAAGGACCTGATCAGCTCCCTCGTTGCCGGTCTGCTGACCATCGGTTCTCGTTTCGGTGGTGCCCTTGACGGTGCCGCCCAGGAGTTCGCCCAGGCTGCCGACAAGGGTCTGAGCCCTCGTGAGTTTGTCGACACCATGCGCAAGCAGAATAAGCTCATCCCCGGTATTGGTCACCGTATCAAGTCGAGGAACAACCCCGATCTGCGTGTCGAGCTTGTCAAGGAGTACGTCTTGGCCAAGTTCCCCAGCCACAAGCTCCTCGACTACGCTCTGGCCGTCGAGACCGTCACCACCTCCAAGAAGGACAACCTGATCCTGAACGTCGATGGTTGCATTGCCGTGTGCTTCGTTGATCTCATGCGCAACTGCGGTGCTTTCAGCCCCGAGGAGGCTGAGGACTACATGAACATGGGTGTCCTGAACGGTCTGTTCGTGCTGGGCCGATCCATTGGTCTGATTGCCCACTACCTCGACCAGAAGAGACTGCGCACTGGTCTGTACAGACATCCTTGGGATGACATCACCTACCTGCTGCCCACCCTCGGCGCCCCCGGCCCCGTCGGTGAGGGCAGAGTCGAGGTCTCGGTCAAATAAAGGACGTGAGGCGTTGTATAAGAAGTTGAAACTTTTGCGAGGGAAAATGGGAACTCTGCTTACGCTTGGAACGGAATGAATGGGGAGCACGTGGCACTAGATTTTCTACGTGATGATCCTGTACGAGATGAGGAGATATAGCATATCTTTGTGCGAGGCCCGGTTTTGGCCTCGAGAGTAATAGACGAGTCAAGTTAAGAGAGTCGGACCTGGATGCTCGCTGTGCAGTCATTATGTGGACGAACGATGTACGTTGATGTGCGTAGTAACAACTGCGTCATGATGCCTAATGCCCGAGTCCCCAAAGCTACCTGGATGAGAAGAATTGGCTTTTGTGTTGCAGCGTATGCATCTCTAGTCCTGCAGAATGCTCTAGTTGAATGCATCATGCACCAGGCCATGAAGATTCAGAGGTTCACCTGTTGCAGAGAGCTGATGGCGTGAGATTAGGATGACTCTGGGCGTGTATGTAGCCAGCTGACTACAAGACTGGGTGCCATCGCTTCTCCTGATAAGCGATAAGCGGCCAAACCTCGGGGCTGGCCCAAAAGTTCGCGACTGGTCCCATCGCCAACATCGTCGGAGCGGCAAGCCTAGCACAGAGACATTGCTTTGAATTGGTGAGGCAGCTTGGAGGCGGCGGACTGGACGAACATTCCCTCAAGTCGGTGAGTTTGACTTCCTAGACGTGCATTGCTCAATTGGGGGTTAAGCCAGACGCATCCCGGATCTGGTGGAGCTGGGACATTGAGGACAGCGGCTCGCGAACTACACTGGCTAGTCTCCGGGTCCACGCCGACCTTGTGATGATTGGGTTGAGGAATTTCCGCTGACCAGAACATGTCGACAGGCACTTAAACGACTGCATTCTGACAACCAAAATCTCACTACGCGCGCGTGACTGTGAGAGAACCGTCGAAGCTCGCTCGTCCACGCCAAAGACTCCTCCTCCTCCTCCTCCTCGTGTAACCTCCCCGACCGTTCCTACCAAACTTTTCTTCGACGACCAAGACGTCACCATGTCCTTCTTCCGCGTGACCCTGCACCGCAGCGCCATCGGCCTGCCGGAGCGCACGCGCGGCGTCCTGGCCGCCCTGGGCCTGCGCAAGCGCACCCAGACCGTCTTCCACCCGGTCTCGCCGCAGTTCGCCGGCATGATCATGAAGGTCAAGGAGCTGGTCCGCGTCGAGGAGGTCGACCGCGCCCTCTCGCCCGCCGAGATGCGCGACGAGCGCCGCCCCGAGCGCGGCTTCTGGCTCGAGAAGCCCGCCCACCGGGCCTGAGGCATTGGAGAGGCCCTCCCGGGTGTTCTGGTTTACAGGAGAAATGATACGAAAATGGCGGAAGAGGCCGAGAGTAACTGAGCAGGGAGACGCTGCTTAGAGGCCGGGCTGCGACAGGCTCGACTCGATGGACATGTTGGGCCTAGGAGGCGATCAACATGAGGGGGAAGGGGCTCGGGGGATGGTGCCACATATGGGGTTGAAGGAAGGCCCTGCCGGTACTGGATCCGAACAAGTGGAGGAAGAAGAAGCACCCCAGTGTACGACTATCTGTGCATATTGTCATATATATACCACGCGGGAGGAGGTGTCGGGGGAGAAATATCCACCCCCCTTGTACAATCAACAAGTCTTAATCTTGCAAACCCCCAGCTGTTTCGCGCGTGGTAGGCCCCAGTTCAATTCAAGATCGGGGCTCTGCCGTACATGAGATGTATGAGTGAAGCGAATACTGAGCATCATCCTCCGGTTTATTGTCTTGCTACATGCCAAACTAGCCACCTTTCGAAAGGGCTATGTCTGGTCACTCCAACAGCCGCTCACCCTGCAAGCTCACCACCATCAGAGCCCGTGCTATACTGCTCATATGCTGTCGGGTATGGCAGTATTGCCGCCTCTGCATTACGTATGCTGTCACCCCATCCGAAGGGAGGGGATGAAGTAATGTGTCTGGTGTTGCTGGACTCACGTATGGCGTATGCCGCAATGAAATTTGGTCTTGCTATTGGATTCGAGGGGAACACATGCCTGTCTATACTGCAATCTCCAGCTGCGAGCCTTCTTGCCTGGCTAGATTTCTCGAAATCCAACTTGGAGCCAAACCACCGTGACTCACTTACGAATGATCTGGCCTGCTTCTCGAGAAGTCGGCCTGCGTGCGAGGGCCGTTGATTTTGTTCTGCTGTACAGGTTTCACGAGTTTCTAGTGCTGCTTGTCCAGTGTGGACAGAGCAACCCATTCATTGGAGAATCTGCGCCCAAGCGGAATAATGACCGTAGGTTGCATCACTGGACGTCCATATCACAAACGACGAGGTGGAAACCATGGCAGTCAGATGAAAAACAACCGTTTATTCAGACTGTTCATGAGTCTTTTTTGGGGTCCGCCTGTCTCCCGGCAAACCAGCCGGACCATTACCGTGAAATGTATCTCAAATTGCCGTCCTTGGCGAAAACATCCCCCTCCCTAGCAGTGTCCGTTTCCATAGTCAACCATATCTACCATTTGGTGCCTTCCTGAGCAGACAATGGGAAATGCACAGCTGCTCACCGTCTCTTCTCACAAATATCGGAACCAAGGCCGTTAGCCAATTCGCAACGGGAGACACCAAAGATATCGCCAGAGCAGCCCAAACATGACGAGGGACTTTCTGCTTGGAAATCTGCAACTCCATTTCACTGGTCGAGCCTTCCAAACGATGCGAATTGAGGCTGCCTATGGTACCGAAAACCAAGTGATCGTGTGTCGGGTTCAATGGCGAGCAGCCGGGAGGGCCATTATCATCGTACTCGAAAAAAACGAGCCGATCCACAAGTGTTATAGGTTTCCGAAACGCTTTACACAGAAGTGTTCATCTGTGCGAGAGTGTTTCCATGATGGCCGATTCATCCGGACCGTCATGCAGTTCATAGCGCGTGGGGTTTGAGCGAAGGCTGCGCTGGTCAATTCAGACGTCGCCGGGGTGTGCGACGGGTCCGGATCGAGTGTTCCTAATTCTTCGGCTTGTCGGGATAGTCAGCAGCGGGCGTCTCATATTCGCTCAGGAAGTATTCGGCAGCGTTCTTCTCCAGCCACTGGCAGAGCTTGGCAAGCTCCTCACGGAGGCGGTTCACGGACTGCTGGTCCATGTTGGTCTGAGCAACCAGCTCGGGAAGAGAAGCTACGGGTTGTTAGCTACGCGTTGAAAGCTGGCGCCGGGCGGGTACCTACTCATCAGGCGCATCAAGTGCTCAGCGCCGTAGGTGTCGCAAGCAGTCTTGCCAAAGAGCTCTGATGTGGAATCGTTCCACTTCTCGCGAATCTGAGCATACTGAGGACGCTCAAAACTGCATTCGGGTTAGCTTAAGGGCTCGGTTATGATGGTACCAGATCTTACCGGTACAGTAGAATTCTGCCAAGGCACTTGTCGAAGTACTCCCTCAGACCGGAGACAGTCTCCTCCAAGATATCAATAGCTGCAGAGCCCTCCTGGCGCTGGGCCTTCTCGTACTCGAGGTAGTCGTTGAGAAGCTTTGTGACGGGGTTGGGGTGCGGAAGGGGAACAAGCTGGTTGTTCTTGGTGATGTTCTCCCAGTCATCAACCAGCAGACCTTTCAGCAGATCGGGCACGTGAATCTTAATCGACGGGCGCTGGTGGAAGGCATCCTCCTGTAAGTCATCAATTAGCTCTTTGTGTTTCATGATGAACTCGACTGGTCCAAAAGTCAGTGTAGGAATGCGATCCAAAGAGCGCCACATATCGCGATCCAAGACTCCGGGCGCGAACACCGCTGAATAGTCCAACTTCGGACGCCAAGGTTTGTCAGAGGGTATTCCGGCCACGGGAATGTTGACATCATGAGCCATGTCCTTGTACCATCGTAATTTTTCTCGAGTCAAAGTGCCTGCTTTCTCGGCCTGGATGATTTTGGGATGAGGGGGTGCATCGTTGACGTGGGCGTTATAAGGGTCATCGTTTCGGCTTCGGACCAAGACTCCCCTTTTATTCACATAAATCTGGCCGTTGGTGGGCGGAAGATGCAGGAGATGGTCATTTCTGGCAGCCACAGCCGCATATCTGGCCTCCTTTGCCGCAAGCTTCTTGGTAATTGCTGCATCCGAAGGTTGCTTGATCGTTGTCTCGCCATGAGGCGGCTCTTCAAGAGACAAGGAGTGCGCCAATTTTCGCTTCTTCGTACGAGGTATCTCTAGCGTCTTAGAGGGTTTTGAGACTGGTGATCTCTGCCGAGCTTGGCGCTCAGGCCGACTCTCAAATTCTTTGAGTGCTGGGCTCTCACTGCTCGGTGCAGCATGACTATCACCTGTGCCAGTCGAACATGAGGTCGGGCTGCGGGTAGGGGGACCACTCTCTTGCAGGGACAAAGTCAAGGCCTGCTGTAACGCTTTGTCGAACCCAATCTCCTCCTTAATGAAGCTTGGAGCGCGACCTCGAGTTCTTCTCTTGTGAGAAGCTAGCATTAAGTCTGCCTGCTCGGTAGGATTGTCGGTGGCGTCAAATTTCTCTCTCCGGCGCTCGCTGCGAGTGATTCGCCTGGTGGTGCGAGTGTCCATTCTGTCTAGGACGGGCCAGTAAGGCAAGCACGATCTTCTCAGCTTTATGGCAAGATCGGTAGGTCCTCTACAAATCGACACCCAAGAGGTCGGGGATGGATCAATGAGCGGATATGCAGAAGTGCTCAGTTGTAGGAAGTCGCTTAGGCTGGCGCCTCGACAGTCGCTTCTATCAGGTATGAATAGATGGCAGCTGCAGCGAACAACGAAATGGTCCGGAATGCACGTGCGACCCAAGATTTGATCGATCCCTCTGAACGGCGACTTCTTCAATGAGAGGAGGCAACCAGTGAAAAGCAGCGGGGACAAGGTCAACAGTGTCAGGGCTATTGGTCGTGAATCCAGATCCACACGATCTCTTTCTGATAAAAGTGGAAGCTCGGCGTTCAGCGGTCGATGTGATTGCGCACGCCCAGAAGCGCAATACAACCCGAAAGTCGCAGACTTCGATCACAGTAAGTTGCAGGTGTTGGGTATTGTGCACGCGACCACGCATGCGGTTTTGTTGGCGGCCCTGGGCATACACAAGACTGCTTCAATCGAGTAGACCGTGCCCTTGTGTAGCGAGATGAGGCAGGTGAAAAAAAAGCGGCGTTGCAGATGAAGAGTAGCGCGCGTAGTGAGTGATAGATCCAAGCTTCGACGCCCTGGTCATTGCCGGTAATATGAAAGCGTGGAACAGACAATGCTGCCAGGGTATCGATCGGCTCCGTGTTGAGTAGAGACAGCCCAGCAGTCCGTTTTTGGGGCGGAAAGCGCTCCTGCAATATCGAAGACCTGTGGATCACGGGGTCTTGCTTGGGAATATCGCAGGAGTTGCGCAATATGGTGTGGGATCCGGGAACGTAATGGCGCGGTAGTTTTCTCAGGAGGGTGCAGAGGATAGTAGGGAAACACGCATCTGCTTGGGTGGCATCCAGTGAACGCAGATGGATGACAGCCTCTTTGCAACTGGGCGATCTGGTCAGACCGAGGCCTGAGTCTCAAAATTGTTACCGCGACTCGGACGACCTAGCTGCGTCTGGTAGCAGACAGTGTTCGTGCTGGATCACAAGCCTGAGGTTCGGTGGGGGAAGTTGGGGAGTTGATCAAAGGTGAGAACACTCAATGTTGTCGTGGGGTTTTGATGGCCGCTGCGGCAACGGTGTTCGACCTGCGTACCAGAATGACCGCTGCGCTGTTCGACGTAAATCAAGTAGCGAGGGGGTTTCTTTGTGAATTTGTTGAGGATGATGTGGTGCGCAGCGTCCGGCAACCCCTGAATCCTCGAGGTGAGGAGAAGGTGCTCGCGACTGGATGCGACGCAAACACACGATCATTCCAGAGGGGAAAAAATTTCCACAACCCAGAAAATGATCGAGCAAGTTGACTTGCCGGCGCGCTGCCCAACTCTGCGCCCATATCTTGAATCTCACCACATCCCGCCAAAACCCACCTGTGATACCGAAGGCAGGAGTCTGGACCGGTCGCCATCAATCGCCTACACCCTTGTCGTTCCAGACCAAGTGGTCTTGATATCATGACGCCGGACAGTGTGTTCAGGGGACATCATCGAGAATCAAATCTTTGGAGGGATCGCACTCCCACGAGCTGAAGTTGAAAGGTGGGGAAAGAAAAGGGGATGGGTACTTACACTCTCGAGCTCATAATCTCTACCTCTTCGCGGACCTCTACCGGCGTAGCTGTTCATAGCAGCACGCTCCTCACTGCCTCGCGCGGAGCTCATCTCGCTGTCGCCACCGCCGACGGCCTTGCCGATGGCCTTCTTCGCACTCTTGCTGCCACCGGCCGTCCGGAGGCGGGCGGCCTGCTGCAGCTGGGTGGCCAGGGCCTTGTTGTCGTCGGTGAACTTACGAATTCTGTCCTGGAGGACCCAGTCGTCCCACGAGGACTTCCAGCCCTTGTAGTGGACCTTGTACTGGGCGTCGTCGGCCTTGATGGTCGCGACGTTGGTGTTGGCGGGGTCTGCGGCACTGCGGATATCTGTGATCTTGGCCTCGTACATCAGGTCCCCGTGGAAGCAGAGGACCTTCTCGTCCTTAGCATAGATGGGGCCCGGTGCTTGCTTTGAGGGCGCCATTGTGTCTGCGTGGTGCTGAGCGAAGCGGGATGGTGAATAAAGTTTCCGTGCGAGAAGCTTCCTGTCGCCGAGCGGCAGACCGTGGGCAAGATACGTCCAGGCAAACACGCCAGGTCACTCGATGAGCGCAGCGTTTGTGGCAGTATCGTACAGCGGGTGGAGAGCGGGATGTTGCCTGTTGGCAGCTCCAGATATCAGATGGATCTCACAGACGAAGTGAGAATGAGATTGACTGATGAGACCTCCAGAGATGTGCTGGGATCTGCGGCTCTCGAAGCAGGTAGGGCAATGCTAACAAAGGTCGTTTTCTAATTCAACCATGAAATGGCAAATCACCCGGTTGTTGTTTGTGCGCCTACAGACAGCCAACGTAGATGCGTGTAAGCTGAGCCGGTGTTGCTTTCAATTCAAGAGGCCATTCATTCCAAAGTTCTGAGAAGTGGCGCTCGGACGCGTTCAAGTCAATTGCCCAAGGGACGCTAAAAGGGGTTTCGACCGTCGCGTCTGTCCTGCGCCCCAGCAGCCAGGAAAGAGTGACAACCGCGGGCATTCATTAAGAGCGACAATTATCGGGACGCCTCCATTTTTCGTCATCGCACGCCTCTCAGACACTACATACAACACAGTCGTTAGCTGTATGTACGTACGCACAACGATCGCGACTCCCTCTACAGGACAGAAAGCTGCGTCGGGATAGTACGTACGCAAGCAGGAGTTAGATATACCGTGAACTTACCTCAACCACCGCCTTTCTTGTCTGGTACAATCACCGCAAAGGCGACAATGGCCCCCACTGAGTCGGCGATTTTGCAGAATTACCTATTGGTGCCGGCGCGTCTGCCCGTGATCGTGTCTCTACAAGAGTTCACGTCGTACTTCCCCAAGTCGCAGCAGTCATCCCCGCAGGTCCGCACGCTCTACCGCGACCTGCAGCAGCAGCGCAATGCCGTAGTCGACTCTGTCGCGAGCAACATCAACGATGAAGTCCGGCGGGGCAAGGCGCTGCGTCGAGCGGTCGCCAAAGCGCGTCGAGAAGCTGAGACCGACGAAGGGATTGACGACGAGATAGAGATCGAGAGAAACGTAGGTCCTTTCGCTGTGTGCTTTCGTCACTACATCTACTAACGGCCTCTCTACACCAGCTCTTCGGGCCCACCTCGAACACTGTCAAATCCAAGAAGCACACCCTCTATAGTATTCTGCCCGAAATGGAAACCGCAAACAACGACCTCGAACAAGAGATACGGCGGCTTGAAGAAGAGGAGGCCGCCCTTCTGGAATCCGTCCAGCAAACCGTCGGCAACATGAGCGACCTTCGTTACGGCCGGCTTGCCAACCCCAAGCTCGCCAACGAGGTCGTCGATGGCCTCAAGGACGTCGAGGCAATATGCAAGCGCAAGACCTGAGAATTTGCGACTCAAAAGCCACTCACTGGCTTGGTTTATTACAACACTAATATGTGACTATGGCTACAAAGATTGCGACAGCGCCTGCGGATAGGAAAGCCCCCGAGAGACATGGTTTTATCCAAATGCCACACGATGCCCAATATGCGCCCATTGTGTCCCGGTTTCACTGAGGACAGGCTTTCGCTTTGCCTCGCATCCTCGGATCACTGAAGACTGCGCCGCTTCTCTACTGGCACCCTGGAAGACCTTCGATGATTTACCGAGCCTGAGCTTGGCCGGTAGCCGCGGGACGGGGACCAGCGCGGGCACCCTGTTGACCCATTCGGTTGCCCCTACGCATTTGTCAGTCTTTCTGTCTCGGCAACGGGAAACAAGGAAGCTCGGGTGTACTCACATCATAGTTCTGGACACCATAGAGACGACGACCATGAAGAGCCAGCTGGGAACGAGGTTGAAGAACCAGAGGACGTATCCTACGGGGGTCTGCACGCCGTTCTGAGCGAACCAACCGTTGATTGGGTGGAAGATACCATCGTGCAGCTTAGCGTTGGTCTTGTGTCCTTCCTTCTGCAGCTGGGCGAAGTCGTCGCTGGTAACAGTGGTCAGGTTGAAGCGCTTGGCGTAGAGGTTGATTTCGGCGGGGGGAGGCAGCATCTCGAAGATCCAGAGGGCACCGGTAGGGGCGGACCACGAGTTGCAGAGGACGGGCTCGTTCTCGCAGTTCAGCAGGGCAGTGTGAGGAGCGCCGGGGGTCAGCGCAAACTTGGCGGCAGTCTGGTTGAAGGCGGTCTCGACCTTCTCGCAGTGGCCTGTTGATAGCTAGTCAGCAACCAAATGTCATGTCTCATGTCCTCCGTCGGACGTCCACGTACCAAAGCAGGTCTTGTTTCCTCCGGTGATCAGCACCCAGGTCTCCTCGGGAGTCTCGGTCTGAGGAGTGACGTGGCTGTAGAGAACATCTCTCCAGTTGTTCAAGGTCAAGATGTCCATCTTCAGCGACCCGGCCTTGGCCTGGGCGGCGCCAATGGGGTCCGACTTGCTCGGGTTGGGGACATAGGACATGAACTTGTCCAGATAGTTCTGGAACTGAGCCTGGTATTCCGGCACATCCTGCGCGCTGGCGAGGAGAGGCAGGCCCAGGAGGGCTGAGGCTGCAGAGAAGCGCATGGTGGCTATGTGGCCTGTGTCTCTGGACGGGAGGACGAAGATCAAGCGGGAGCTATGACAGTCTACCAACCGGTATGATGTAAGTGGGAGGGGTTCAGGTAAGACAGGAAGACTAAGGGCAACGCGAGCTTGGGGATAAGAGAATCAAAAAGCAATTAATTAAATAGTCGGGAGCAACGGAGACCCTGGATGCCTGCAAGAAGCTATCTTTCGTTGGACACGGTCGAAGCAACAAAAAGTTGTTGATGGACAAGAGGACAGAGAAGACCCTGGAACCATTGGCAATTCCACTTACGACGGGGGAGGACGGGGGGAGGCCCAGTGTGCGCTAGAACCGGACTCGTCTGCCAAGCCTGCGGGACATAAATCCGTACACCCAAGGACACCCTTGTAGCTCCAGCGCCGTGGTTGGCCGGGGGAGCTGAGTGAGGGACCCAACCAAGAGAGGCACTGCAATAACTACAGTACTTTGGCGGTTGGCATTAATCAGGAGGGTGGATGCAGGTCGCCTGCTTGAACAGCTATAGTATTCAATACAGATTGGTATACCATTGATGAAACGGGGATGCAACAAGAGCGAATCATCCTGATTGGACCAACCAATTGCGACGCGTTTTGTTTAGTCCTCGTCGGATACGGACGTCGACAGCTCTCCGAATAAATCAACAATAAATTGACGCCCGTTTTTATTGCTCCGCCCAGAGCTTGGAGCTCCTCATCAGCTGGCCTTCGCGCTAACCGCACTTGGACGCGCCGCCAGCAAACCGCGAACTGGACATTGAAGTGAAGTCATCGCCGCTGGACTTATGAAGCAAATACCTGTATCTCTATGCCAGTGTCATGGTTTGTCTCCCTGGTCCCGAAATTGATCTTTGAGCATATGCTAACAATAGATTGCAGGCGCACGAGACTGCGAACCAAAAGCGCAAGCGCGGCCGCCCGTCGAACGCGTCGCAGGATACCACCAGCGCGTCGCGCACTCAAACCACCCTCACAAACAGCGGCACGATCGCCAATCCACGGTCGCAAGGTGGCCCCGAGGACGCCGACGAAGCTGCGCGTCCTCGGAAGCGTGGGAGGCCGGCAAGGACAGAAGCCGAGCCCGACGCACCAGAAGCAGAAGTAGAAGCTCCCGTGAAGAGAAAGCGAGGAAGACCATCGTTGTCGCAAAAGCCACAATACAGCGCCGAACCCGAGAACGCTGAGGAAGCTCCCGTCCCGGCGCCAAAGCCCAAGAAACGAGGGCGGCCTTCACATTCGCAGGAAGAAACTCCTGCAGACGATGTCGAGGATGCGGGTGCAGCTACCACGAACCGACTGCTGAAGAAGCGCGGGAGACCCTCAACCACACGTGTGCAAGAAGATGAACATGAGCGACGAGGCGATTCGTCACAGCCAAAGAAGCGCGGGCGGCGGCCAAGAGCGGTAGGAAAGGAGAATGAGGCAGCAGAGAATGAGGACGCAGCCGAGGCCGACGACGAACAGGAGGGAGACTCTAGCCTTCTCAGGAGAAGCGAAAGGGATCGACAATCCGTTGGAGCATGGTATAAGGGCACACAAGAGGAAGATCATGAACAAGAGGGGAGTCCAGAAACAGAAGAACGGTCTCGGAAGCCAAGGAGGAAGAAGGGGCGGCCTGTAGCCGATCCAGAGCTCGGCGCTGAAGCAGCGGAGCCAGACACACAACCGAAAAAGAAGAAGCGAGGTCGCCCTTCACTACAGAATGATGCCGCGCAAGACACAGCGGAGAAGTCGACTGAGAAGCCGAAAAAGAAGCGCGGTCGGCCGTCTCTCGAAAAAGACGGTCAGAACGGTCAAAAGCCAAATCACCGACAGCGGCAATCTGAGGACGAATTAGACCAAGATTCAGCTCCTGAGAGGGCACCACGCCGTAAAGGCAGGCCTCGCACTTCAGATACTAGTACACATCGGCCGTCGCAAGAGCATGCCGGATCCCGATCCCCCTCACCAGACCCAGCCCCCTATCGACATCTAACTACCCGCGTCCGTCGCATTCCGCGAGACACCATCACCAACAAGTGGTCGCCTCTGGATGCGACGTCAATAGACAGCGTCACAGAGCTGCTTCACTCGGCCTCGCGCCCCGTCCTCCTCCGCCTCAACAACCTCCAGAAGCACGCCCAAGCGACCGCGGCCCTCAACGCCATCAGCAACCGTCTGCGGTCGCGGCTCACTCGCGGCCTGCCGTTCCCGCCGGCCACCACCTCCCAGCGGCGCGAGGACGAGCTCGAGTTCGAGCGCACCGTGGACGGCATCCAGAGCCTGCAGGCCCAGCTGGACCCGCTGCTGCACGGCGTCTCGCTGCTACAGCGCGAGAAGGAGCGCGCCGAGAAGGAGCTCGAGCGCGAGTACAGGCTCCTGAACGCGCTCGGTGCCAACGCCCGGTCCGAGGCCCGGTCCAGACGGGACCAGCTGCGCAAGGTGCACACGCTGGTGCCGGAGCCGCCGAGCAGAGAGGACGCAGAGGCGAAGAGTGGTATCGGTGAGCTACAGGCTGTCGACAAGGCCGTCGGCAAGACCTTCATCGGCCTGGACGAAGACCAGGACCTCAAAGGCGCTGTGGAGCAGCTTGGAAACCATATTGAGAGTATGCGCGGCAACCTCCAGCAAGTCCAGGGCGTCCTGCCTGCGATTGCGGACAGCGGTGCTGCGTTGAGGTTGGCGTTGCTGCCACACTTGGATCAGGAGTCGTATGAGAGAGTGCTACTTGGCTAGCAAAAGGCAGATGTGCTCGTCGACGCATATTTACTGGCTTGCTATGAGTAATGAAGTAATGAAAATAAAGATGAATGACAGGGTCGTCTGTTGGCCCTCTGTCACTTACGTTTTGCATCGCCAATTTCCTGCTTGATTTCAGTCCCAGAAGTACAGGAAAAACCGTGGGTGGGAACGTTCTCTTTAACGCCATGTATCCAATCAATACATGCCGATGTATTCCGGTGGCTGCGTTATGGTAGCAAGGCAGACCTGCAGGCTGTCTCTGTAGGTGTCAGCACCGCCTCTCTGGCACCCATCCCCGTGATCTAGCTCTTTGAACCCAACAATTCGTCCACATTGGAGTCATTTTCTTCTTTTGGCATGCCTATACCATTCTGCGAGTCTATTAGAGGGACCGACAGCACTTTTTTGCGTACAGTGCTAACCAGCTGCCAACTGTTCAGGAGCAGCTCGATCTCAACGACCCCAAGTTCTGGAATGCGCCATAGCTGATTGCGGTGCAGCCTCACGGCCTTCGTAGTCGGAAGAAAGAACCAGCGCAACCACTCTGCGTGATCGCCATGTCGTTCAATCTCACTTACGGCGCTTTTGGTGACCTTATTACCACGATTCAGCTTATATGCCAACTAACGCAAGCGCTCAGTGAGAGCCGTGGTGCTCGTGGCGAGTTCCAGGAACTAGTGGTGGAGCTGCGAGAATTCCAAGGCCTGCTGCAGATGGTTCGTGAGAATCCGCGAGTACAATATTATGGAATGACCGTGCTGACTTGTCGTCTAATTTGTAGCTGCAGCTATTCTGGCAGCGCAAGAAACAGTGTCCCGAGCTCAACTGTCTTGTTAATCTTGTCCAGCCAGTTATTACGGACTGCCGTGAGCTGATCGAAGTATTCCTCGAGAAAGCGGTGACAAAATATGGCAGGAGTCTGCTGCGACACAAGGGCTCCAGACTCAACTTCCGCGATGCTTTCAAGATGATTCAATGGAATATGTGCGAGAAGGACGAAGTTAAGAAGCTGCACCACCAACTATCAAGCAAGAAGGCGACCATCTTGCTGGCTCAGCAACAAGCTCAGGGGTATGTATTTCTGAGGCCCTTGCGATGTATATAGCACGGAGATTTGCGTTGTACTAACACTATCTGGACTACAGTATCGCTGATGAGCAAGATCTTGCTATCATGTCCGAAAGGATCTCCGCTCTCATCGACGCGGAACAAGATGCAGAACAAGTGATCGGCCAGCGACTCTCTCAGTTGATTGACAAGATAGACGAGGAGGCTAGGACATCATCAAGGATTGAAGGAGTCGTGAATATGGTACGATCCACGATGTAAGTGCTCAAGTTGGAATTGCTCTTTGAAGACTACACCGCTAATAAACACCGTTCAAGTGCTTCAGTGAGCGACAATGTTGTGGCCATCCGGACCACGGTGACCAATATTGAGCAGGCTGTACTCAATCTGCCTAGCATGATAGCTCGACTCAGTCTTTATAGCAACAGCAACACGGTATTTATAGAAGATTCTTTTGGATGGAAGATACCGGTCCTTTTGGACACTCAACCCTCGTGGGAGGTAAGTGGGAAATGCACCTACCGCCTACATCCAACCTAGGCTAACTCAAGTAGACTGTACATTCTATCATCAGGGATCAGTTCACGAAGCAGAGGTACGCCGGTATCAACCTGATAAACGCGCAACGATATATCCTTCAACATAGCCAGACGGGAAGGGATGCCAGAACCGACCTGCCATTCTACCAAGTTGCTCGTCCAGGGCAGACATGGGACATGAGTATGATCTTTCACGACGTTTGGGATGATGCTCTTCGCAAGGAGAAGAAGAGCAATTGCCCAGCTTGTGGGTGTGTCAATGAGGTGGATGATCCAGATTTTGATATCAACTGGTATGTAAACCATCAACACCCACCTTAAGTCACGACCTGAGGACTTGACTTCTTACTGAGTGACAGTCGTAATAAACAGTGCCGGTACATGTACCGAAGAGTAGCCGATATTTCCGCTATAGATAAGGGTTTTCTCCTAAAACAGGTAGCTGCGTATCATTCGAACCATGCGAATTGCGTAGCAGATAGCACTATGGATTACGACAGCGATGAGGACGACTTTGTAACCAACGGCGAGGAGAGAGCTCTTCAGAAATGCTATCAGAAGGCGGAGTTCTCCAATGTCACAGTGGAAATCTTCAAGCGGGCCAGGCTCCTTAGTCGTTGGGAAAATCGCCTGGAGTCTCGCGCAGACAAACCCTTTTACGAATTTCGCGGCTTAAGTTTATGGGCTTTCACACATGAATTCGAGACCTACAGGTTTCAGATGGGAGTCTCCATTTGTCTGCAGCTCCTACACCATTCGGATTATATTAACAGCTGTATGACAGAAGGCGAAAGCTCGTTTTTGCAAGCAGTGATCTGTTTTATGGGTCGCAAACGCGCACAGTCGGTACCAACGATTGTTCTGTATTCCCAACAAAGGCGTGTTATGAAACGGGCTTTGGCCGTGCTCAAGCGACTCGATTGGGTTCGCGGCAGCTGCTGCATGCAACTAATTCTTGCACCGAAGACTCTGCAAATCTTTCCATCAATCGTCTCTGACGAACCACGTCTAGAAGCTTGGAGACTAGCCGGTGTCATAATGGAAGAACAACCATAAATTTGCAGGATTGGGTGTTCATAATGCCAAATCAAGGGTTGCTCACAGCGGTTGCTTAAAAAAAAAAAAAGCTGTGACTTGACAGCAATGCTATTATGTCGGCACCTGCAAGCACGACGAGACATTTCAATTGGATTTCCCCATATACCCCCTAAGTATCTTACAATGTTCGAATATTGTTCGAATGTTCATGTTCACACAGCGTCAGGGCCTCTATACGCCGTAACCTTGGACGATGCACCATGTGTAACCCAGCGATCCGTGTCATCACTGACGTTCTCCTCACTCCGGACCTGATAAGTGGTCTGCACAACGACATCGTTTGCCTTGGGCTTGAAGTTCAAGTCGTCCTTATCGATGATGAACTCCTCGCTGCCGCCAAAGCTACCCCTGCGCTTGCGGCCCATCTGGCTCTCGGTGATGCTGCCGGCCATCTCGTACGGGCCCCGACCCTCAGGCAGGGTTCTGCTGCGCCCGGCGCCCGTGGTAGACTTGCCGTGGCTCGGTGTGGTGATCTGCCCTGTCCTCCAGAAGTTCTTGCTGAAGAGAGGGCGCAGGATGGGGATGTTGACAGAGATGATACCGACGATGGTCTCGCGCACACCCCAACGGTTGATGTTGGTTCCGCTCGGGTTGGCGCCAAGGGTGAGTACAACGCGGATGATGGCGGCTGCAATGACGAAGAAACCGGAGCAAATGAGGAGACCGACGACAAGCTTCCTAAATGACCAAGGTGGTTAGTTGAGAACATCAATGCATCGAGAAAATGTTAGAAAGAAGACTCGGTAGTGAAAAATCCGTTCTTGGGATGACACAACGTCAATTTAGACTCACTTTTTCAAGGGGACTTGAAGTTGCCATAGAAGCGGAAGTGGGATGCACAAGATAGCAGCGTCAGTGCTGAGGCTTGGTTAGATTCCGAATTATTCGTAAGATTGCATGCGAGGTCTGAAGCTTACAGAACATTTAGGACGACGGTAACCAGAAAGTTTTGCATTCTGAAGGTGCACTTGACTAAAACGGATGTCAGTGTGTGAAAGCTTCAACCTGGCCCTGTTGTAAGACTTACGTCCTGGGTCTGGTACAACTCTGTGGCAGTTGTTAGCGTGGTGGATTTACCAGAGAAGAAATTGCGTTCTTCTTGTACTTACTGCCAGTTCTTATAAGTCGGGAAGCATCCGAAAGTGATCTTTTGACATGGTGAGCGTTGAATCAAATCGCAGCGTATGTGTTCGTCTTACTGTGAGGAATACGGCAATGTAAGACACGCCACATGCCCACATGAACCAGTTGACGAGGCGGGATTGCCAGAGACCCGTAGTGATGCGCTTGAAGAAACACAACATTGTGCCTTTCAGAGCCCACAATAGTGCTGTGTAGGAGTACCACGCTGTGATTTGCAATTTTGATCCGAGAGTGTATTGGGTGACCTCTTCATCCGAAAGAGCTGTTGAAACCACTTCGTTAGTATTGGGTTGAGGTCTATCTTGACGACGGGCTTTGACGTACTTCGCATGGTCTGAAATGCGGCTGCTTCCACGTTCGATCCTAGTAAATCTTGTGCTAGGTTAGCTTTATTCATATCAGGAGCTGTGATCTTCTAACTTACAGACGAGATGTACAGTTGCAGCATCGCAAGTATACATGATCATGACGATGAATGCAAAGAGATCATCGCCCTGAAGACCTCGAAACCCAACAGTCTTCAGGCGTACGCCCAGGCGAGCCACGAGAATGAACATTCCAATGGCGTAGAGCGTCCATACTTCGTCGAGGAACTTGAACGCGGTCAGTAACCGCGTCTATCTGGCTTGCCGCCGGGGTTTCCCAGCTGGGGTTTGGATTCCTTACGGACGGATCGCGCTCGAGGCCAGTGTCAGACATGGCGTACAATCACCTCTACAGGAACGAGAGCTTGATCAGACGCTGGTGCTATTAGCGACAGGCGTATAGACGTGCGTTGTGCGAATCTGGGGTTGCACAGTTCCCATGGGGCCCTTGCGTGATATATACCCACCTAGAACCCATAGGGCTGTGGAGATGTTGGTCATGGCTAGCATACTCGTACCTGTCAAGTCACAGATGGTGCAAAGCGGTGCTTGGTCGAGAACCTCTCGGGTAGAATTCCTAGCTGTCACCACAAAGAGCGGCGTAACGCCAAGTGCGATTGACTCCTGTCACTAGTCAGGGACCTGTACCATGATCGCTGGCAAGTCACCAATAGAAGAGAGCAAAGACGGGTTAGAAGCTGACCCTCAGCCCTTTCCTAAGACGTTGCCAGCCGGGAACATCCTGTATCGAATCCTTCGGGCCATGCAAGTCAAGGCCCCGAAGGCTTTGCGATATTAACTATGTGGAGACGACTTGTCGATCTTGCTGCATATTCTTAATCTAAGAAACACGATCTTGGTTTCACAGGGCCTAGGCGCGGAACTCGCCTAGTTTGGTGGTCCGCTGAGCTGGATCGTTGCGAGGCATGTTCTATATTTTGGCCTGAAGGCCATAAGAATACCACATCCCTATGTTGTGCTATTGCTCTGTCCTCATTGTTGAGTTTTTAGCCACTTTGATTTTGGACTGCACACCAGAAGAGGAGTGATTTCCTATTATATCCAGGGACCCATAGGTCTTTCACCAACTTTCCCCCCGTGTCTGCGTGAGCCTCAAAAGTCTCGTCTTTGGAGGGAAGGATTTAATCAAGGCGGCCGACCGGACAAAACTCCGTCGGGCTAAGCCCAATGGGAAGAGCTCCGGTCAGACGACGAGGAAAAAAGGTGTTTGTGTCAAGAACAAAAGGGGCGCTACTACGAAGTCCAGTAAGGAAGGGGCCTAGATGCTTTCCACTAAGTCCGGTGAAGTGCCAATCCGTCAGGATGGTTGACGCTAAGTCAACGCTGTGTTTGGCGTTGTGTAGCTCAGGTGGTCCAGAGGTGGTGCGGCCGCAGGTCTAAGCGGCTGCTAATTAAGTGTCGCTTGGTTCCCAAACCGGGACGGACGCCAATCCCCAAATCTGGGAACGAACTCTAAATCATGTAGACGATCTTGAGGGCTATCCCCAAACTGTTCGCCTGGCCATCCAGCACTGCATAGGGACGACGTCCCCGCAAATGACTCGGGAGCGAAGGTATAGCGCCACTGGCGTTAATACCCAACGGGCGGTGGCAACACTGGCAGGGGCGGGTGGTTGGATTCTTCCGGTCGGCTGCATCAAGCCGAACGGTAACATGCCAGCCGAGGAAGCATCACCACAATGCCCCTGATTACCCCTGGCTGCTGGTGGGCAGCAGGCTCATGGCTTCAAACTTAAGTCATGCATAGTTTCAGTGAGCCACTTAAGAAGCATCTCGAGCTGCGTCTTGTTCCTACACAGCATACCTAGTCCGGTTATATGCTCCTAGATATTCGTGATTGCGCCATTACTTGAAAAAAATTTCCTTGGGCAGGCCTAGCGTTGATAATGGTGGGAGAACCGGACACGATGTTTTGTCCGTGTTTGCCGGGTTACCGTTGACTATATGGCCGTGCCTTGCCAAAGAGAGCAGTGAATTGCTTCGCTAATTTAGGGGGTTCGGCCACTAACAGTGAATCTGCCATGGCAGCCTCAGAGTGCTCGCAACTGCATGTGACAAGGGGGCAAGGCAGTCAGTACCCATTAAGTTGGGCTTCGGGGGGCGACAGCCGATTTAATGCAGCATTTGTGTGTACTAAGTGCCAGTTCTGGACATACAAGTGTGCGACACGTATGATGCTCTAGTCAGGGGAGCTCCCAGATAATCGCACCAAGCTAGGAATTAGATGAGACTAATACGTTGGACCCAAATCAGAGGAGGGAACGTGTATCAGCTTCGAAGCCAGCCGCGAAGCGGTGATTGTCACGTTCCATTCTTGAGGATGTTGGAAGATGAACTCCTCGCAATTGGACCCTTGACAAAGGGAGGAGGAAGTAACTAGCAATGACGTCATGCATTAGGACAACGGAAGCCGCTAGAATTCAGGGACTGCTGAAATAAAACAGGGTAAGTAAGTGCTTCTTCCACTTTTCCATCCCATTTTCCCATGTTGGGGTGGAAGTTCTGCAATGTGGCTTTCATTCTCGGAGCTGTCAACTGCAGAGAGGTAGTCTCGGCCGAGACAACGCTAGGCATTGCCGAGATTTATACCCTAGTTACAAACTTTACAACTTCGAAACTGGATATGGAGCTACGATTTCCATACTCATTAGGTATGGTACAACCGCCCCCGTGGCTGAACCCTGTGAGCCATCCTGCCAACCCTCACTATAAGAAGCCCACATTGTTAGGTCAAGTTAGGATCATGGACCTAGTCCAAAGACCAAGTTGAAGACATAATCAGAAGTTGCACTCGTAAAGATTCACGTCAGACGGAGGAAGAGAAAACCAGTATTCTTCAGTATGTCCATAGCGACAAAACACAGCATATTCATAATCCAACCTACAATAGTACCTTGTGGACCATCCAGAAACACAAAAACAGATAAGTTCCCTTTTGCTTGCTTTTGATCCTATTGCTTCATTCCCTAATCATGGCTGAATCTAATCTCCGGGCATGCTTCCACTTGTAGCAGATCGTGATCTCAACTAGCTTTCCACTTCGAAAACATTCAGCAGCAAAGAGTGATATTCAAAGGAATGTCCATAAGTTCAATTTTATTCTCGGCCCGGAGCTTTGTTGTGTGCATTTTACCCATCAGGCAGGCTCACTTTTTGATGATCCTAATTACATATTCTGCATCCGCTAAATACCTCAAATACCTGGCCAATCGGAATGCACCAGTCTTATCACGTAAACCGCACAACAGGATCTACGACACCGATGATAGGCTACGACACGGGTGGCAGCGTTGCCGGCTTGGTATGAGTTGTTCAGCTGGTTATCATGGTAGACCAAACGAGCTTAGACCTATGGAAACTCGGCGGAAATGGACCTGCGGTAGCACACATAATCTCTAACCCAACTGCTTTATCTGGTTTCATTCATGGGAACTTTGGCCTTGTACGTTTGTAGTCCGACGAATACTTCTGCCAGCCAAAAGCTTCCACTGTCAGATGACCAATGGCTCCTCGCGACCACGCTAGGTATTACGCTAACAGAGCCCTTGAAATTCTATATTCCGGCATCCCTCGAGATACTAGTTCTTCCGATCGCAAACTTCGCCTTTTCCTCAGAACCCAACATTTCTGGCGACGCAATGTCGGTCTCTAAGTCTTTAGTGGTACCGGCCTCTGAATCCTCTGCCAAGCTTGCAGAAGACACAGACTCAACAGGAACATGGTCGCGAACAACCAGCCATGTAGGATATGCTGCGAGTCCTGCTGGCAGATTAGTATTTGATTATTGGAGACGGACTGTTTCGGAGATACATACCGAGAAGAATTGTAGTTACGGCCAGTGGCACACGACCACCAACCCATTTTTTGGTATTCAGGCCGAAGGCAACAGCCTGAGCGAAGCTCTCCTGGCCTCTCAGGATGCCGGAGAATCGAGTCAGCTCCGAGATGTTGTCGGTCTTGGTTGCCACAAGGTAATATAGCCAATTTTGCAGAGCCTGTCTGGCAAAGTCCCACAGCAGTAAAACGAAGAATCCTTCAACAAAACCGCTGTCCTCCCAATCATAAGCTGGGGGGTTAGCAGTGTATTTCTCCTGGATGACCCATCCGTATACCCAAGCAATGATATGCCAAGCAACGACATACCAGTACCCATACACAATACGCTTCTTGACCGATAGTGACTTGTAGTCCAGTAGCGTGCTAATCATCTGCGATGACAACAATGTTCCAAAGTTGCTGACAAATCCAATGAGTGCTCGAGCTCTGACTCCAAAGTAATATGTTTGAAAGTTGCCAGAGTACTGATTGAAGTAGGCGGCCCAAAAGATTGGTAACAGTAACAGGATGTCCTTTCGCTTGCTCGCCTCCCAGAGCGCCTTGAACTCAGCCTTGAATGACTTTTCAGCCTTTATTACCACCTTACTCCCATCGGCGCGTTGGACCTTTTCCGGTGGCGAAAGTGCGAGGGCCATCGGCGCTGCCACGCACTGCAGGGCGACAAAGATAAGGTACGTATGAGAGTCCACCTTGCCCTTCGTTTTCGCTGCGGCGTTGTTGTTGAGCGCAAGGACGATGGCACCACCGACAAGAGGGCCACCAGTCCGGAACCACAGCCAGATATTCATGTATCGGCCACGTTTGCCAGGCTCGGGATACCCCAGGGCAACAGCACCTTCACTGGCCCAAAACAAGCCTGCACTGAAGCCGCATGCCACTGCACCCACGAGCACCAGCCACACATTGCCGTAGCGATTGTTTGTATAAAGACCGGCAGAATAGATGGGGTATCCAACGGCGCCAAGAAAAAGGGTCCAGGAAAGCCCAATGCGATTCGCCAGGGGCGCGCCGAAAAGGCAAAGAAACCCCATGATCGCAAAAACCAGCGCATTGGCGGCGTTCACGAGGAACGGCTCCTGCGCGCCACCAGCGCCGAGTGAGTTCATTGCATTCCATAAACCGGGCGCCAGAAAGCCGACGCCGCCGATGACAAAGGCGTTGAAGAGAGTTGTATGGTACCATACTCTCTTTTGCGGGGCCGCGTTCGGCGCCGGCGCCGTTGAGACTTCGGCTGTAGACATTTGTGCTCTGCGAAACAACTCAAGAACACGCAAAAAACGATGAAATGAGATCAACTACATGTACAGTCTCCCACTCCAGAAGCAGCGCCCTGGATGACTTTATTTCATGGAAAACGACCCTTTTGTTGGGTAAAGATTTTCTGCACCATGCCTTTGCCAAGACTAGACGATGGGCCTCATCGATGGCGACATCGCGACCCCTGTTGGCAAACCCACTTCTGACACTGAATACAGGTCCGTTAATGGCTAGCCCGACCAACTCCGACGCTTACCTGTGGTGTTGAAGGAAGCAACATCCGAACAAGTGTGCATTAGGCACATGTCCGTTCCGTATTCCGTGCAACGTTTCTAGCCTCCAGCCCATGATTATCTTCTAGCCTCAATCACGCCATACCTCAGATTATAGTCTGACACAAATCAATCTTTACAACGCACCAAGTTCGATTATCGACGCACATGGCACAGAAGTTACCTGAGTATAAAGCATGATTGCTCTCCCAGAAGCCGCATATTCAAGGGAGCCTGGTGGCGGCTATTTTCACCTATCGGGATTTCAAGCTCTTATAGCAGTCAAACAGATTAACTTGTGATTGTCGAACAGAAACAGGTGGTCAGAGGGCTCCTGGATACATCATAGTTTATTGGACGTTAACAAAGATAGATACGTCGTGACTATGTAGTTATAACTATGGAAATGACGTACGTCTGTTATGTCGCGCGGTTTGATGGGTGTGCAGGACTAGTGAGTCAGTCTAAAGACTCAATAATGATATGTAGAGTTCCTCCGAATCTGGCCACCTGAACTTAGAAGCCGACGACTGGCTTTGGCTGCCCGGATGATATCTCAGTAAAATCTTGCGCACTGAGGTAGTTGCTTTGTTTCTTTGTATCTACCTCAGACATTGGTACTTACTAAGCCGCTTTCGGTGAAATACTGGAGGTATATTACCCATGCTATGCATCGTCCTTTGTTAGCGGAGCAATCAATGGAAGTAAAGCTGAGGCTGGTATTGAACAGCGTCCGTTACATGTTATGAACACACAAGGCTTAGATGCTATGCCAATAAATCAGATTGCGGAGCACGTAGTTCTTATGAGATTCTGTCACCTGCGTGCCATATGTGCCCATTTTACGATACACCGAGATGGCCAAGTCACAATCGAAGACACCTGTGACATTTGATTCCAGTGCTATGACAAAGGATGCTACCAGAACCTCCTCCTCAAAGCTATATGGAAAGACACTTCTGGGAAGGAGATCCAAAATTGGGTTCGAACTCCTTAGAAAAGAGAGTACGAAAAGTAAACCACCTCCAGAGCGTAATCGAATACAGACAACACCTCCCCTTGTTATTGTTAGAAGAGTTTCACTCTCCAGTGATCAAGATGGACTTGTTCGATGGAGAAGCGAGTTGGAGTACATTCGTCACCTTTCCGACGTGTTGGATGGCCACGTAAGCACGAATTTCCAAGAGCCTTACTCGTGGAATGCTCATGTCATTCGTAGGAACGCACCTTGAGTTTTGAAGCAGTCCAAACGAGCAATGATGGGTCTCAAATCGAAATGCTGATGAAACCGGTGGCCGGAAACCTATACCAGCTCAAATGCACGCTGGGCATTGACTTGGGTTATCTGATCGACTCGACATGTACGTCGATGCTACAGGCCCTTGACTACCTCGCTACAAACGATTTGGTACATCGTGAACTTAGGCCTGAGAACATTGTATACGAGGAGAATGGCCACGGAGATGTTGTATTAAAACTGGCAAATTTCGGGTTGCGCATCAACACAAGCATGGATACCTCAGCCTCGGTTATAGATCCATTCCAAGCCCCCGAAATTATCTATGGAAGAAGACCGACACACGCTGCTGATATGTGGTCGCTCTTTGCTACACTGAGCGACGTGGCTAACTTATACAATCCGAAAGCTTATTCCGAATACAATGAAGCCTGGAGATCCTTACTTACCATTGCTACGACATGTCCAGAGCACGGAGAATTGGACTTGAGATGCCTACGAGAATCCATAATCTGGGATAAAAGGTATCGCGCAACTGCCGCGCAGATGCTGATCACGCTCTATGGAGGCGCTGGGATTTCTACACAGGGTGAAATACCCATGATGATGTCATGGGACACATGGATAGCGGAAGCTGGTGGAAATTTGGCAGTCGAAGATTTGTTTGGTGGAACAGCAGTTGCACTGAGCTGCCTCAATAGTGATGCTCAGGCCATGCCATTGAATGGCAGACGGCCATCAAATTCTCAGACTACTTTGCGCGGAGCACCTCAACCATCATCCGAACATCAATCTGGTAAGAGCGGGTCACTTAACAGTACGATGCGGCTGCCTGACGATATTGTTGATATATTTACGGCGGGTGCTCTCGTTGACTTGGACGATTGCGAGGACATTACTTCAGGTCCAAATATACGAGAGGACGTTGAGACGGAACTGAGGCGAACCGTCGAATCAGAGTCAAGATTCTTGCTCGAACCGGAAATCAGGGACAAAATTGAGGCTGAGATGAGGCAATCGGTAGAGAAGCAAGTGAATCAGGTCACTGAACCCCCAATAAGGAACACAGATCAGCCAGAGATAGCAGAGGAAATGAAGGTGCAACTGAGAAAATCGATCGAGGATGAGTTAAGGCCACGCATTGAAGCAGACGTGCGAGAATCCCTTGAGTCCCACATCACCAAGTCCGTGGAAGTCCGGGTAAGGGAAGAGCTTCAATCTGGTGTCAAAAGAGAAAACCGAGATCAGGAGGCTGTTGAGATGCAGCTGAGGCAAGCCAATGAGGCGAGAATAGCAGCTGAGGCACAGTTGAAGACTGCCATTGTTGCAAGAGATGCCGCTGAGAGACAATGCCGAGAAGCTATTGAAGCAGAGAAGGAACAGTATAGGGAAGCCAAAGATGCCAACACAGCAAGGTCAAAAGCAGCGGCTGAGAGAGTAGTGGCGATCGAAGCACAGTTGAGAGAAGCCCTCGAGGTCAGAGATGCCACTTCAGCACAGAAAGCAGCGGCATTGAAAGCCCGAGATGCCAGTTTGCTGCAGGTAGAGGAGGCTATCGATGCCAGAGATGCCAGTAGGGCCCAAATCAAGGACTTGCTAGAAGCCAAGAAGATCATGGATTCGCGGCTCAAAGAGACTGCCGAGGCGAAGCGGGTCATCGAGGAACAGGCGAGGAAGGCCCTCAATGATAAAGATATTATAAAGGCGCACTGGAAGAAGGCCATGAAGGAGAGGGACTCGTTCAAAGCACAAGCGCAGGATTTGGCGGCGGCGAGGGAAGGGAGGGCGTCTAAACCGCAGAATATGGTGCCGCAGGCCGCATCCTGGATCGGAGACCCGCAACAACATTTCGTCGACTACTCATTGAACCCATTGATGCAGGAACGCTTGCGGCTTTTCTCTGGTTCAGGGGATCCGAGTGACAAGGAGAAGAGAAACTTGTTCGCCCCAAGGGTGCCGAATGCCCCTTTCGAGCAACAGCGCAAAGTATTTGTTGGTAGTGCCGATCCAGCGATCGGCGAGTGGCGGAAGCGGTTTGAGAATCCGTGGATGACTAGTCCTTCGAAGAAACGGCGGAAAGCTTTCTGAATATTTTCATGGAGTGACTTTCGCATTCTAAAGCTGATTCGAAAAGCGTAGGACTTTGATGGGAACCCATGCTCTCCTGCACATGCATGTACATAATTCTTCAATAGGTCTCCACTAGACTATACAAACGCAAATTTGCAACTGAGAGGATTCTCAAACGCATGCTCTTGGTAACTGAAGCTAATCTGAAGTCGTACGACATGAGACTTTCGTCATCTATTCTAGTCATAATCCGGCGCTCTCCTTGACTCGATCTTCATGCCGTCTCCAATCTTCCAACCGGCGTTGGAGCTCATCTTCCTCCTCAGCACTGATGCGATAGTCCTCTTCTAACGACATCGGGAACTCACTGCGAGACTTCTTGTGCCTCGCCTCGTAGCACCTGTCGGTCACTGTGGTCCGGCGCATGACGGCATCCTTGAGTCGCCGGTCTGCCCAATGACGACGTTCGACTTTGACGTCCGGCGGTAAGTCGAAGTTGGAAAAGTCAATCTTCTTGAGCTGTTTCCGATACTCCGCCAGCTCGAGCTCGTAGTTGCGCCGCAATTTTGTGTAGGCCTCGTAGCGCCGGGCAATCGAATCCTCGATCTCCGGGCTCAAGGTGAACCCTGGGTCAGGCTGATCGAGAGTATTCTTGAGGCGCTGGTGCTCTTTCTCGTATGCCTCTTCGTTTTCTGCGCTAGAGATGTAGTCCTGTCGCGTTCGCTTAAGGATGGCTTTCCTAAACCGGCAATCTAGGTAGAAAGCATTGGCTAATGCCGTATTCCTTAGGGTGTAGTCTAGGCCGCAGGGAAATTCAAATTCATCAAAATTGATCTGCCTGAGACCCTGGCCTTCTCCTTTTGATGTTAATTGGGTTATGGCATCATCACACCATGATGGTGGCATTGGCCGTTTAGGCTTCGCGCTCATACATGTCACTTCCACCCGTCCAAATAGCCCTGGAGGTGGAGGCGGCTTCGGAAGTCTGAGAAGAGCTGGCAACATATCCGAGAGAATGGTTTCGCTGTTCTTGTTGCTGTCGGTACTAACGGCTGCAGACCAGGCCATCTTCCACTTGCTGGCAGAGCTCTCCCAAGTACCAGGCTCACGGGTGCCGACACCTTCCTGCGTCCACCTCTGGACCCTAGCGTCAACGCTATCCTGCGGAATCGAGGGGCGGCTCTCGAGTACGAAATCCCTCAGCGGCATCTCATGGCCCCAAGTCATGCCGGGCGTCGGGTTCCAGCTCCGGAGCCAGATCCGCCGCTTGATCCAGCAGTCCTTGACATTCCTGTAGGCCGCAGAGCTGATGGCATCGGCTGGCGCAAGGTGCTGCCGCTTGAGCCACTCGCTCTCTCGGGCCACCTGGTACATGAACAGGTGGTATGGGCGAGACTCGTGCTCCCTGACGATCGGGATCTTCTCTTTCTTGGTCCGCGTCAGCCTTTGCCTCTTGATTGATCTTAGAGGAAAGCCTTGGAGTTGTCTTTTCTTCAAGCCCTTCGCATCATCCTCTATATTCTCATAGAAGTCCTTCCAGCCCCCGGTGATTCGGTACTCTTCTAGGCGTTTGGACCTCTTGTCCCACAATATATCCCATATACCCTGCTCGGCCCAATGGCCCCTGATCTGCTCTTGAGCCTCTGCCTCCAGCCTTCTCACCACTCCGTTGTCGGCTTGCCAATGACTATCTGCTCACGGGCGATTAATGATGTTAATATATAACCCAGAGACGATAGCGAATAAGCTTGCCTTGTAACTCCTTCTTGACCACAAGCGGATCGAATTTCCATAGACGTGGCAGCGTTTCTTCCACTAAATCCCGGAACTGGTAGGCGGGAAGGGATCGATAGTAGTCATACTCAATCTCAAGGCGTTCCAGCCGATCTGGATCCTCTTTTGTTGACAACTCTGTGGACATGCTCACCACGCAGCGAGTCTTATCCCATGGTTTCAAAGCATTGCTCCTAAGATAATGACCTTCACAACATGATCGTCATCTTGAACTAGCTGCGTAAGGTGAGTGATCTTCTTTGAGGGCCATGGAGAATACCTTTGTCATTATGTAGACCAACTAGACGTAGCATGCTGTTTGCGGATGTGCGCAATGAAGATACAAAGAACGCAATATCAGTCACCCACGATCTAGATACCATGCGCTGGCCGCCAACGCGCTTTTGATATCTACGTCATGTTTCGGACAATACAACAATATATGTATTCTAACAAGGTGGCATGAGGGCGACTACTTGTCGATCGACCTGTTGGAGAAATGTAACTAAAGAGGCCAAGGCAAAGATAAAGGTAGAAGAAAAGCAGATTGGATTGCATGTCACTATCACATGTTCGCGCAAGTAGGACGACTATTGTTGCACCACAAAAATGTTTCCATTCAAAAGGTTTCCCTACATACAAGAATTGAATATACGAAGCAACCCGGCCATCCAGACCAGGCAGCCTCGATATGCTTTGAATAACCCAAGAAAATATTCGCTTGCTGGCCCAGATCTATAGAAGGATGCCCGGTGGTGTTGTCGTATGGTGGTATGGTGCGTATCATGTCTCGTAGCCATAAGTTGTATGTGATACACGCTGCCGTCTTCCCCACACCCGATCAGGGGGGCCGATTTTCTCTACCCCTTCAAAACTAAGACCCAAACATTACGTACAAGAATTAGATATCCATTGTAAGCAATGTCGACTTTTAGTTACGGACGCGGAAGAGGCCGGTAGGAACGGCGGTGGGGGTAGGGTAGGTGCCGTTGACGGGGCCGACGGGGTAGGGGACAACGGTGGCGGTGGCAGTGGCGGTAACGACGCCAGAGTCCTCGGTCTCAGTGGGGCAGTCGTCGCCGTCCTCACCGTCGTCAGAGCCCTCATCGGCATCGTCGCTGCTGCCAGAGCTGCCGGAACCGGAGTTGCCGGAACCAGTAGAGCCAGAGTTGCCGGAGCCGGTGGAGCCAGAGTTGCCAGAAGCACCGGTGGCAGCAGCGGAGGGAGCAGTCTGGGTCACGTAGACAGTGCTAGCGGGAGCAGTGACAGTGACGGTGACGGCCTCAGGGCAGGTCTCAGAGTCGGAGCCAGATCCGCTGCCGGAGCTGCCGTTGTTGTCAGAGTTGCCGCTGGAGCCAGTGGATCCAGAGTTGCCAGAGGCACCGGTGGGGTAGGTGGTAGCAGTGGAGGATCGGGCAACGGTGACAGTGCGGGTTCCAGTCGAGGTGGAAGTAGTGGTGGTGGTACCCTCAGCGCTGGAGCCCTCAGAGCCGGAGCCGTTGCCGGAGCCGCCGACGGGAGAGTTGCTCTCAGCGGTGGTCGAGCCAGACTTGGTAAGAGTCTATAAGGTGTCAGATAATTTTGTTAGATTAACGGCAAGAGTACATATTCAACTTACCACGGTGACCTGCTGGGTGTAGGTGGAGTGAATGGTAGTCACGACAACGGACTTGGAGCTCTCGGGGCCGACGGTCATGGTGAGAGGAACGTCGGTGGTGCGGACCGAAGCGGTCACGGTGACACCGGAGTTGCCAGAGCTGACAGTGGGAGTAACGTCGTGGGTGGTGCCGGGGATCAGACCGCTGCTGTGGGATCCAACGACGGCCGAAGAGACAGACTCGGCAGCAGTGACGGGGCACACAGTGGTGGTCAAGTCAATGACCTGGGTGACCTCGGCGGTGGTCAGCTCAGAGGCGGGCATGGTAGCGTAGGCCTCGGTGTTGTTGCGGCCAGGGCAGTTGGTGACGGTGGGTGCGCACGAGGTGACGGTGTGGACCTGAGTGAGCTGGACGGTCAAAGTCGTCTGCGTGGGAGCAGTCGAGTTGTCACGGCGGTAGTAAGGGCGAGGAGCGTGGAAGTGACGGGGGTGGTTGTAGGAGGCGGAGGCAACGCCGGCCAAGAGGCCCATGGCAACAGTGGTGGACTTCATTTTGATGATTTGAGCGGGTTGTCTTCTGGGTGAGAGATGTTGTGCTTTTGGTCTATTTGACTCTTTTGAGGTCGATCTCTGAGAGAGTGTAGTTCGTCGTCGGTGAGTGAATGAATGCTTGCAAGATGCAATGTAAATGAGCGAAAGTCGATTCCGCGAAAGGCTGAGAAGTGTACTTCGAATTGAAACTGCAGACTAAGCGCAGGAAGCGAGGGAAAGACCGACAACGGTTGGAAAAGAGAGACTGAGATGGACTCGAAAAGAGAAAGACTTAAAGGTGAGGAGGGAGGAGAGAGAAAAGAGGGTATACTCAGTATGGGCAGCAGGCCTTTTTACGAACCCGCCAGGACGGTGGTCCTTGGACGGACTAGAACACAGCCTCCACCCCATAACGGCCTATCTTCATCAATCAAGGACTGCCCAGACCCACCGGCAGGGTCCCTTGCCGACCATCATTGCAGGACCACAACTCCTCCTCGGCCTTGGTGGTGGCATGGGCCAGGTAGGGTAGGATGAATGAGAGGGGCAAGACGAATCAACCGCCGCCAACCATGCACCTTGGCGTTGGCTGCCCCTGAGGCCCCGCCAGCTAAGGACCCCGGTCGCCCTCGTAGATGCAGGTACACCATCGTGAGACGGAAAAAGAGGCCAATAGGATCTGGGGAGGGACCAAACGAGATCTCGCTGGCTTCGGGAACCAGTGGAAGCCTGACGCACTCGCGCAGGTCTCTCACCCCCCCGGGGCTGACCGCCAGCTTTTGCCAGCACACACACAGACTCCGAGCGCCTGTATCCCGCGCGCCATTGATGTGACCTCCAGAGCAGCTCGAGAGGTGCCGAGTGTCAGGTTGGCGAACAGACACACATGAGTGCGATGAGATAATCAACGGTGATCTCGCGCGGCAATTGCCAATCTGGGCCGCCCTGGAGAGTTCATTGTTTGCAGGCGGACAAGCAGGTTTCCCGGACCAAGAGCCAAGCGGTGCCGTCGGCGGTCGCGAAAGCAAATCTGATGGACTTTCCTATTCTCGGGGCTTACTACGGTGTTCCCTGCGACTAATAAGCGTAAGTGCTAAAGTTGGCGGGTTTGCTTTGGTGCAACCGCTGGAATGGATCCTGTTCCTCGGTTCCCTCTTTTAGTGGACAGGTCTGCAGATAACGGTGCAAAAATAGGCTACACTTTTCAATGCGGTCTGGCAATCCAGGGCGACGACCTCATCATACCTGCCCATGATTAGCACATACCTAGACAGCGCATGTGTTTGTGATGACGAAACCGTACAGTACAGTTATCTCTGGGTTGTGCGCCATTCTGACGCCCATGATCCAACCGTTTGCTGTCTGAGACTGACTGCCGCTGAAGGTAGCTTAAACCAGCCGCATCAGACGGTTGGGCGCCACCGTCTCCCCTTGGGCCAACCCATCCATTTAGACTACTTGTAGATTTGCAACGGCGCCAACGCGGAAAGATCCTGAGCCCATCAAAGGCCCTCTGCAGGAACCAGACGCTGTGATTTGTTTTTCTGCAAGCGCAAGCCATTTCTTCAGTCGTCTACCGTGTTGCACATGGCCCACGGCGATCATCGCAATCTCACATCCTACTTGCTGTTGCTTGCCGCTGAGCCGTGGTGACAGCGGCCCAGCAGATCACGATCCCCAGTGCGTCACGGTCCCGTAGAAACATGGCACCCAGAGATCAATCCAGCTCGGCGACCACGCAACACTTGGAGGCGGTGCCTTGCGGCATTTTGACGCTTTGCAATGCCATAAAGACTGACTCAACCATCACTATACTTTATCTTGCAGCGTATTACAAAAGCCCGCTCTCCCGAGTACGAATGCTGTCGCATGAAAACATAGCCACGGAGCTGTACCACAACTTGTTGGTGATCTAACGGCCAAAAAGTCCACAGTCTTCGTCCCATCATCTCTCTCATCACGTCGGATTGCGCCCGAATGCCTTAATGAAGCCCATTGAAACCGCACCCTGCCCTGGTTCTCCAACCTTAATTGATGGGCGGCACTCCGTAGACAGCGCCCTCTTCAACGACCGCTCCCCAGCTCCCCCAGGGCCCCCAGGCGGGCACTCCCAGAATCTTTCCAGAGAATTTGCTAGAACTGGGAGAATCCAGGAACTGGCGGATACCCCTGTCGCCGAAAAGGGGGCTCACCGTTTCACATGGCCGCCGGCGTGGTAGGGACTCTACGTGATTGGCCACGCCAGATATATCCATGCAAGCGATCCCAGCGGTTGACCCGGGCCTAGGGCCTAGGCTTGCTATCTGCCCAGGTTGCCAGGCTCGCCTTTCCCTGGCGGATCTTGTGGCTTGGTCTTCTCAAACATAATTCTCCGAACCTCTGCGTTTCTTTATGCTTGTGCTGAAGTGCCAGAGTGCCAGTGCCTGGAGGACCCGGGATCCCATCTTCGCTGTTGTGTGCCGCCCCTTGCTGGCCAGCGCCGCCAGCGCCAGCCCGCTGTCGCAGAATGATTGCGCGCCGCTTCCTCCTCACAAAGACAACCTGCCCGCGCCGGCGACCAAGCATACAATCCTGGTCTTGGCTCCTTGGACATGCTTGCAGGGTGCCTCGTCACCTCCGCTCCGTAAGATGAGATGGCATGATGACGCATGGATTCGCAATTGAGGCTTTGTCATGAGCTTCTCCACGTGAAATGAGATGCCGTCGACTCGTCCTGCTTCGTCGCAAGCAAGATGGGACCAACACGAAGCAAAGATGAAGGACCCCGCCTCGGTGATGAGTGCCAATTTCGCGATATTGAGTTCGATTTCTCTCAGTTAACAGGTATCAATTAATCGTAAACACTCTATCTAGTACCTTATTTGGTGGGCTGTCTGTGTAAAGATGCCTTCATCTGATCTACAAACAATCAATCCTGTTGAATGCTTAGATGCTTAGCACCAGTGGCATGTCTAGCTTCCCCCGCGAGAGCCTCACACCACCAATATAGATGAAGCCTCAGCCCTCACATGGTGCACACATCGTCTGACTTTCCTTAGTCTTGCAGTTTATCGGACACTTGACAGCATAACTGGGCCTGTCACCGAGATCTGTAACACCAAGAATTGCAGAGCCTCATAGTTTCATTCACTAATGAGGTGTGAGTTCGCATTTCTATTTAAATGCATACTGCCCAGTTGAAGCGGGCTAATCTACATCGACACAATTTGGTCGCTTCTGGCACCTCGTGCCCAAATATCAAATAACGCCTTTCACTCCTGGGTCCGGTTGATGGACCTCATGATATCTTTCCCTTCCCTTAATATGCTTCAGTGTTGAATGCTCCGTTCCTGTCTTTCCTGTAGAACTTTTGATCCTTTTTGAACCATGCCTGTTGAACGCCGATGTTGAAATCGAAGCAAAATACCCATTCTATGGGTAACAATGCAGTTCCACGGAAATGACAAGAAAAATTACCCACAACTCCACGTCGCAAACCGATGTAGATTCATGAAACATCGGTCACGTATGCATGCTCGCGCACGCCAATGACTTATTTGGCATACTTGGCACGGTAGAACTTGGCAGCGTTGACCATGTTGACCAACTGCTCCTTGGTCTCCTTCCACTGACGGGTCTTGAGACCACAGTCAGGGTTGATCCAGAGCTGCTCAGGCTTCAGGTACTGCAGCATCTCCTCGATGCGGTCCTTGATCTCCTGCTCGGTGGGAACACGAGGGGAGTGGATGTCGTAGACACCGGGACCAATGTGTCGGGGGTAGGCAGAGTCAACAAAGACGCCGAGAAGCTTGGCATCAGACTTGCTGTTCTCAATGGACAGCACATCGGCATCAAGAGCGGCGATGGCGTGGAAGAAGTCCTGGAACTCAGAGTAACAGAAGTGAGAGTGGATCTGAGTGGCGTCCTCAACGCCAACAGTTGAGAGACGGAAGGCCTTGACAGCCCAGTCGAGGTAAGCCTCGCGCTCCTTGCCAGCACGGAGAGGCAGACCCTCACGCAGAGCGGGCTCATCGACCTGGATGACGTCGATGCCAGCCTTCTCAAGGTCGACGACCTCGTCACGGAGAGCAAGAGCAAGCTGCTCAGCCTGGACGGACTGGTGGACGTCATCACGGGGGAACGACCATCTCAGGCAAGTGACGGGGCCAGTCAACATACCCTTCATGGGCTTCTTGGAGACAGAGACAGCGTACTTGGACTCCTTGACGGTCATGGGGGCAGGGCGGGAGATGTCACCGACGATGATGGGAGGTCGGACGCATCGGGAACCGTAGCTCTGAACCCAAGCGTGGGTGGTGAAAGTGTATCCGGTGAGACGCTCACCGAAGTACTGAACCATGTCGTTTCGCTCAGGCTCACCGTGGACGTAAACATCCAGGTCAAGCTCTTCTTGGATCTTAACGTTCATGTCAATCTCCTGCTCAATGAACTTGTCGTACTGGGCCTCAGTAATCTCGCCCTTGGTGAACTTGGCACGCTGCAGACGGATCTCCTTGGTCTGAGGGAAAGAACCGATGGTGGTAGTGGGGAAAAGGGGCAGGTTGAGCTTCTTCTCCTGCTGGGAAATTCTGGTAGGGAACTCGGACTTGCGGTTGTAGTCAGCCTCGACGATCTTGGACTGTCTCTCCTTGACCTTGGGGTCGTTGGTGCGGCTGGAGGTAGCACGGGCCTGGATGGACTTGGCGTTGGCCTCCAGAGCCTCGCGAACAGAGGCGGGGCCCTCAGTGACGGCCTTGGAGATGGTGGCAATCTCGACAGCCTTCTCAGAGGCAAACGAGAACCAGTCGGCGATCTCGGGGTCCAGCTTCTTCTCGCTGGCAAGAGTGTGAGGAGTGTGGAGCAGAGAGCTGGAGGTGGCAGCGATGACACGCTCCTTGCCAATCTTCTGCACGGCGGTCTCGACAACCTCGATGGCGCGCTTGAGGTTGGTCTTCCAGATGTTGCGGCCGTCAACGACACCAGCCGAGAGGATGGTCTTGGAGCCGATGTGGGACAAGACAGTGTCCAGCTGCTCAGGGTTTCTCACGAGATCAATGTGAACAGCGTAGATGTCCTTGGGGACGAGGTCAATGTTGTGGACGATGTCACCGAAGTAGGTGGTGAAGGCCAGCTTGGGGATCTTGTCACCGAGGCCAGCAAACTTCTCGTAGGTAGGCTTGAAAGCGGCCTTGGTCTTGCTGGGCAGGTCCAGGACGAGAACGGGCTCGTCGATCTGAACGGTCTCGGCGCCAGCCTCCTTCAGCTTGGCAAGGAGCTCAACGTAGACAGGGACGAGCTTCTCCAAAAGGTCGAGGGGCTCGACCTTCTGGCCACGGTCTGCCTTACCCAAGTGCAGGAAGGAGACGGGGCCCAAGAGGACGGGTCTGGTGTTGATGCCAGCCTCCTTGGCCTCAAGGAACTCCTCGACAGCCTTGGGGCTGGCGGTGAGCTTGAAGGTCTGGTTGTCCTGCAGAGTGGGCTTGACGTAGTGGTAGTTCGAGTCGAACCACTTGACCATCTCCAAGCTGGGCACGTCGACACCACCCTTCTGGTGTCCACGACCCATGGCAAAGTATTCATCGACGCGGTCGAGGTTCGAGCTGCTGTAGCGCTCGGGGACAGCCTAAGGAGGATGTCAGCACACTATACCCAAATCAGAGGTGGCCGGGGAGAATGTGACTTACACCGAAGTCCTGGATGTGTGAGAGGACCTGGTCGTAGAGAGCAAAGTCGTTGCTGGGGATGACGTCGACGCCGGCGTCCTTCTGGATCTTCCAGTGAGCCAGACGCAGGCGCTTGGCCTCAGCGAGGAGCTCCTCCTGGGAGATCTTGCCGCCCCAGTCTGCGTGGCGGGTCAGCATGTGCGAGTCTAGGGGTATACTCGGGTCCAAGCATATGTTTTACTTACAAGCCTCAGTTGCCTTCTTGAGGTCACGGTTCACACCCATGCGGGGGAAACCCAAGATCGCGGACTGAACCATCTTGCCAGTGACTCGCAAAGTCTGTGTGATGCGGGGTATTCTTGCTTTCATGTCAGCACAACAGTCCGGGGCAGCGGCTGGGGAGTGTGGTTGGCATACAGGAAGGGTAGAGTACTGATCCCAATTCCACTCAAGTAAGGGTATCGAGGGGAGGGGACAGGTGGGAGATGGAATGAAAGAGAAAAGAAGGAGTCAAAAGCTTCGGAGGATTCGAGGAGGGACAAATTTTTATGGGAGGGATGCGAGATTGGGCGATGAGCGAGTCGGGCGGTGAGGGGTCCTGTCTTGTGAATGGTGTCTAAGACCAGGTCAGCTAGCTGCACCTGCAGGTCGATCTTGGAGGGGTCCAACACGCTAGAGTGAAAATAGCTGCGCGCCTCCGGTTCTCGAGGGGACCTGAGTAAGGAATAAAATCGACTGCGCTGGAAGCATTCTGGGCAGAGCTACCTACCAAGTATTCAAGACCAAGACCAGTTGGTTGCATCAACACATCTCTCCGTCGTGATCTTGGGTCTTGTCCAACGGTGACGACCGACGCCAATCGGAGCTCTCACCCCCCAAATACGCCGAGTCGCCCTGCCCGGCTGTCGACGAACTTCGACAGACAAAGCTACCAAGCTCACTGCCAAGCCAGGGTATTCCGAGAGCGGGGGATCTAGGAGGGATCCCCGTAAGTCTCGGCCTTCTGCTGAACCGTGCTCGAGTATTGCGTGGAGGCTACGATGGCGCCATTTCACAACCTGTCTAGCAAATCAGACCGTCTCCTATCACTGCGGTTGCCCCTTGGCCAGCACCCATAACCCATAGACCATGGTCCGAGACAGGAGGCTGGTACTGCACACACGTGGGCTGCTAAAAATTTCATTCTCTTTGCTTCGAAGCGCTATTATGGAAATATCCTGATGCCCGTTATCTGTCTAAAATGGTTGGATCCTAAGACTGGCGAGATCATTGCATCAGAGCTTGAAAATTTCCTCCGAATCGCAAAGCTGCAGTGCCCACCAACCTCCAACATTCCCCTTGCTTGATCCGCCCGGCCGTTGACTGTAGCTGCGTATTGCACGTACACCTATGATAAGGCGGACAACCTCTGCTACTTTGGAGCATTAAACAAACACAACGTAGCTCATCCACAAAGCAATGATGGACATGTCTTTGCCGACATCCGACAGTAGCCGGCCGCGGGCACCGGCCCGTCATTCTGGTGACTGCAGGTGGGACCACACGCCAAATAATCACTCTAGACCTAGTATACGGGCACACGGTATCGTCACAGACCTGGCTTTATGATTGGCTTGCATGCATGACAATGCCGCTTATTATGTGATGCCACATTGGTCGCCCGAGACTGCACCCCTCGGTGGTCTTTTCTTCACTTGTTATGCCGCGAAATTTTCGTAGTTGAGCAGGTGAATGAACAACATGGCTTCGAATAGCTCTGCGCGCTGCCTGTGTCAGGGACCACGGAAGTGTTCAAAAGTGGCAGCTGCCAATGTACACTGCTGTGTACGCGCCTGTGGGTGGATTAGTAGGTACATAGGTAGTTTGCCCGTGGTTTCCATGATGACCTGGCCATGCGTCTGTTTCCATGGACCTGGACAGAGCAGGAGCGAGCTGATCACTGTTGTGATCTGATCATGTGCACTCAGCATGTCAGACCTGTACACTGACCGAGGTCTTTGGCTGCCGTCCTTTCTTCTGGGTACACCTGGATCATCTGGTTCTCGTTGGGCTTGACCAGCCGTTGCTTCGTGAATAAGACGTCGTTGACTTCGCAAATCGCGTTCCAGGACTAGGATCAGGACAAGGGCTCAGCGCACGGTCGTGTCGAGTATAGCAGATATGCAAGCTCTTTGCTGTCATCTTGGCCGTAGAGCTCATGCTGAGCACAGACTCTCGACCTCAAATGCCCAGCTCCCTATTCGACCTGCCCGGGCACGACTATCCAGGCCATTACACCAACCGTCTGGTGTTGCGACGGCAACAATGCCGTTCGAGGCTACGCAAGCACCTTCGCACATGGCTTCTTCCATCTATCAGGCCAACATGGATCTCGCAGCTTTCGAAGTTGAGGACTCGGATAATGAAGACCGATCTGATATGTCCAAAGGCCCAGGCCCAAATACTTTGGGGGCTTTGAAGACGAAGCTTGTCCGTCGTTTATCACAAAAGTCGAATTCGAAACGACACTCACAGCAATCTGTCGGCCATAGTGACGAGGAACTCGCACGGCGCGCCGAGTTGAAACGACTAAGGCACAAGAGAATCCAAGAGGAGCTCGAGTCTGAACAAGAAGCTGAGACGCAGAATCGCAATCTCAGTGACTACCAGAAGGATTCCTCATCTCCCACAGAGCTACCGTATGGAGGACCCCGCGATACTATAGAGTTCTCCGTGTCTGAGGCCGAAGAACTCAAGTCTGATGTCTCATCGATATTCGCCCAGGAGATGGTTGCTCTGGCAATGCCAATCATCACAGAGACCAAGCCCATACGCCGCCGCAGGAGCTTCCCAGAACCTGATGTTCAGTCCTCCGAACTTTCCACTGGAGGACTAGATACGACCCTTCGAGAATGTGGTTCTCTGCCGCAGATGCCAACGCCGCCTCAGCTTGAACCCGTGCATCTCTCCAGTGTTCGTGGATCGGGTTCTGATTCAACGGGCTCGCGGCGTCTTTCATACAGTGCGGGACAGCTCGCGCAGTACATCCAGACAACACCAGATGCTATCTCTCACAGAGAGAAGCCTCCCTCATTTGGTTCTGTGTACAGAAGCAGTCCCGTACCTAGCACTACGGACGGTCAAATTCGGATTCACTCCCAGGGAAGTGACCGAGAATCAAAACCTGTATTTGACGATGACTTTGTGCATGAAGCAAGCATTCTAGTCGAGTCATTAGGATCGCGCAACAAACAAGAACTTATTCCGGCAGCCGGTGCCGAAGAAGAGGAGATCAAGTCGAAACCTGTCGAATCTTCCAAAAACGATGACTCTGATCAGTCCTCTCCCCTCGAGTTATGGCTCCGTGTCTCACATACGCTCCAGTCTTTGGCACATTCGTCTGCCCGTCGTAATAGCGACAGCGCTCTTGAAGGTCGTCTCAATAACTCCACAGTTACTGGGCTAGAGTCAGAAAGCATGATAACACGAATTCGGCAAGCATCATCATCATCGGGCCCTAGGCTCGAGTCAACTTCGCTATATGTACCAGGCATTTCACTTGCGGGTGAAGAAACCCAGTTGACTCCCACGGCAGTCTTTCACTCACCCAAGGTGCAAGAAATACGTGGTGTTGTTTCTCTGGAAGCCAATCATCTTTCAACGGGTTCTGCTCAGGTATCTTCATCATCTCGCTACACCACTCGGCCAAGTAGTACCGAGATTTTGCCTCGAACATCCAAAGTAGATATTCAGGAATATCTGAGAGGATGTACAAGTACGCAAACAGTCTCTTTAAACAGTATGCTTCCAAAGTCCCGTGATAAGCTGGCAACTAATAGTTTCGCAAGAACTTCTCGGTCCAAATGGTATGGTTGACGCAGAAGATTCCGAAACAAGCTCCTACCGAACAGCACCAAATTCAGCCTCAACTCCTGAATTCAGGGTCTTTCAGGAGGCGATTTCTCGTCGACTGACTTCCAACTCCTCAGTTGCGTCAGAAACAGTCAGTTTCAAACAAAGAGAAGAAGAACTGAGATCGGTGGCAACGAGATTTGCGCCATCTAGAGAGAAACGCAATCCCAGTGGCTCCATAGTTAGCAAGTTTCGAGAGGAGTTCAACCAGCCGCAGAAGCTGGCACCTACCAGAAAAGCGTCGATACTGGCCAAGCTTCTCCCCAAGGTGGGAAAACATCGAACAATGCTTGCCAAGTCGGAACCGCATCTAGATGGCAGCCATCGAAACTGTGTGGCAGATGCTATTACTGCTAGCAGTCTTGCTACACTGAACCCGCATGCTGATGCTGTGAAGCAAGCAATTCCTCAAGCAGAACACAAACCGCATTTGGTTGACAGCGCTACAGATCTCTGGCAACGGGCCGTTAGACTTGAAGCAGATCGACGTGAAACTCTTCAAAGGGATTTAGACAGATCCCGACGTCGTCGTATCCATACTCGGGGCACCTCTGATAAATTTGGAGAAGGACTATCGTCCCATGGGCGCGATACTAGCTCTGTGTATAGTCAGAGCCGCTTGGAAGATAGAAACGCTTTGCGATCGCCAAGATCACGGCCTGCAACCGATCATGAGCAAGAGAATGAAGCCTGGGAAGATTATCCTCAGGCTTCACCCCAAATTTTGAAACAGCAGCACCAGCGGCATGCCCAGTCTGAAGTGCCAGTACATCATCCGGTTTCCGAACTTACCGCTCACGTCTACACACCGGGCAGATACCGTATCATCCCGGAATCGTGGGCTAAATGGCCATCACACACTCGTGATGAACGGACTGGAGCGGCAGGGCCAGAAGATTCAGTCACTCCCAAGGACTTTGCTCGAACTGGTAACACGACTATTGGCACACTATCTTGGGTCACAGACAAGGAAGAGCGAAGCCCAACGCTGAGCGCAGCGCAGAAGCCCGAATCTCGGCCCTCTATGTCTAGCACGATAGGGAAAGTAGTGAAGGCTAGTATCGCCAGGATGCTTCCAGGAAGAGTCTCGTCGTCTCGTGGGCTAGACCGCGACCTGTTGGATCATACTGAGCGACGGGGCTCTTCTGCGTATCTCGAATACCCTGAACTTGAGCTTGTGCCTCGGCGCGGGGGTTATCAGGAACTTGAAGCTCTTGGGAAACAGATCGATCATATTAAACGTCCGTCAGTTTCCTCCATCGAAAGATCGGGATGCGCTAGTGGGGCTTCTTCAAAAACCCCTCTGAGCGTCCGACTTGCCCAAGAAGTCCATATGTTCCAGCACGATGAAGACAGTGATCCCCGAGACAATGGTGTGATGCCAACTCCGCCAAATCCCCAACCAAATACGCCGTTCGGAAAACGATCGGCATCTCGGGCTATATCTGGTGCCTCGCAACAGTATGGTACGCCAATGACCCACGTATCGTATGAAGACTGTGTTCCCACACACATGCTCGATGAGAATGACTTGGTCAAGAGCAGCGCCACGATGATGGTTAAAAGATCGAAGTCAAACGCTGAGCCCAGAGTTTCGGGCCAACCGCAGAAGTATGGCACCTGGAATGGCAGAGCCACATCATTGTCTATGAGGCGAATGAAGCGGACAGAGCGCCGTGGCTCCAATCTTGAGAATACTTTAACACGAGAGAGAGACGACATTAAAAGAGGTGCCCTTGTCGTCTCAGCCCAGTGAGTCATAGGCACGACACGCTGGAAAAGGGCAGAGGCTGCTGGCAGCTAATGTCGCCGGCCAAAACATTGGGACGATTAGATGCTACGTTATTATCACAAGTTGGCGCCGTCATTATATAATGTTTATTACGTGTAAATATTGCTTTTAGGCATTTTGGAGTGCTAGGTCAGGAACGTATACCTCCCACCGGGCCCTAGCATGTACCATATAGTGCCTCGACTTGAGTACTCCTTCTCCACACATTAGTGACAAGCACTGGAGTGCTCAGGGGTTGACCTTGTCAGTGGCACCTGCTACACCCGGGCTGTTAATAAGACCAAGCCTTAGAAGTTGCATTCGCATTTGACGCCTTGCCTGTGCTGAATATGACTAATCACTTGTTCACTAAGCTTACTGGCTCAGCTGGCCTTATATAGGGCTGTGTACGCGCAAAGTTTTATCGTTCCTATCGTATTTTCGGCATGCTACACTCTCCTATAGTAGAATGGCTAAAGAATCTGATGCTACTTATACGCCAGACAGTCGCGTTGCGACTCCTCAATAAGCCTTTCAACTCTTTTCCATGCCTTAGACGCGTAATATCTCTCGGAAAGGCGTTGCGCGAAGCCAGGAGACGCCTCACGTATGTGGAATTGTGCGACGACATTTGCGCACAAAGCGTGCCTCGTACGTCATGAAGAAGACATACAGGCAAGAAGTCTTATGCACGTGGGAGGTGTGCGGAAACCTTCGCGCGAAAAGACCATCTCGTACCTCTTGAAACAGAACATGCAGGGGAGTAGCCTCACGTATGTGGGAACGTGTGGAAAGGGCTTCGCGGCTTCATGGAGAATAAAATGTCAAGGTCGTCGGGGGAAGCCTTGCGATATCCGCGACAGGTACGTCCAGCAACATTAGGGACACAGCAGCACGAGAGAACAGACACACAAGCTTCAATCGTGTCTAGGAAACGGATCGTTGAAAGGCAAACTCTGTGGCTACGCCTGCTCTAACGTGATATTCGCTTTGAGTTAATTAAAGATCAGTCGCAGTTGCGGTCAACCCATCAGCAAAGAAGGATCTCTCATCAGACAGCTGAGGATTTTGGGATCCTAAAAGACCCGGGGAATCCTCTCAGAGACCCACATTGTGAGCTGGAGGGATGTCAGGACCCTGGGAATGAGCAGCAAGTATGGCACTTTACTTGTGTAGCCTATTTTGTGCAAATATCTGGCTGACTACTCTGGTCATCGGCCGCTCAGGCTCCCCATCTACCAGGCGATGACTTTCTGGACCCGAGGAGCAACCACCATCGCGGTGCCATCCCTCGCGATGACTTGTCAGCGAGCTTCGCCGTTGGCGCGAAAACGGGGCCAAACTCGTTCCAGGCTATAGCGCCGCTTCTATTCCCAAAGACACACAAAGATACGATTGCTGCTTGCGAGCGCGGGGCTGCTGGGCGGCCGATCGTTCGAAAGCGGAAGTGCGATTTGGTGAGGTCACTATTTAGGGGGACTCTATGGCTATATGCCTGGTTGCGGCACGATAGGGGCGCATGTGAATACTGCGAGCTATTAATAACTAATACTCCATGAATCTGAATGTTTCATTCAGGTGCTTCTAAAGTAGGTCTGCCAACACCCGGCCTGCAGGATCGCTTACATGCTGCTGCCAAGCTTTTTGGAACCAGGATAGCCACCCCGAGCCTACTTAGAAGAAGCCTTGTTGGAATAGTCGCACGAGGATTTTCCGCAACCACGCTCAAGCTGAGCCTCTTGATGGATCCTTCACAATTTGGGGGTGGAAGTATAAGCAGCCACACAGGGCTCGAATAGTCCCACGATGACCTCAAATATAGTCTTCAATTTTGGCCGCAAGGCTATGCCTATTCACAGGATTTCTGGTTGAAGCTGTGTATCTTAAAATTAGACATGATGACCAAAGCTGAGAAGCAATGTCTCCATGTGTATGTTATATAAGTGGTGGGACTCTCATGGAAACGGTCTACATCAATCTCCATCACCTCAACTGCTTCATCAATTCAAAGATCTATAAGCGCCTAATCAATGAAGCTTGTCTCCGTTTTGACGCTGCTTTGCGGCAGTACCGCATTGGCCTCGGGATTAGCTTTGACTCCTAGAGCACCTAAATGTCCACAGAAGGATGGCGAAAAAGATGATCAAGTCATCGCACATTACAAGACGACGGGTCAATGTTTTAGCTATATCGGCGCTGGAAACCGTGACAAGAGCTTGGCGCCCTGCTCTGGTCCCGATGGCTATTGCCAGAAGGTGAAGAAGTCAACAACTGGAGTAGAAGGGGTAAGTCAATTCCTCATCAACCTCAACTTATTGCTAGAGCGACAAGTTGGAAATTTGAAAATTTCTTCAGTGTTTCTAATTCATGTATTGCAGTGCAAGCTTTTCATCCCCACAGGCGTCACGATCGACCCAAGCCTTTATTTCAAGGATGAGGACTGTAATCAATGGTATCCGGGAGAGTGCATGTGCGAATGCGAGTTATGCGAGGACATTGCCAAAATAGTTATTGAGGGTCTTGCACAGCTAGACAACATAATTTGCGCCGTCATGCTCTCCTCCTTCAAAGCAATTATAGATGTTGGTCTGCTGTTTGTCCCGGGAGGACAAGCGACTTCGGCCGTCAAAGCTGCAGTGCAAGGCGCCAAGTCCTTCTATGAGAACGGAGAAGAGGCTTCATCATTCTTTGGTAACTGGATTGGCCCGGCATGCGGAGTTCCAGACTTCGACTTTGACATCACTCAGGTCTTTGGGGCTCTAGTCGGTGCTCCTGATTCCATGTCGCGTGGAAAGCCTGTTGGTTGCAAGAAGAAGTCCGGATGCCGCAACCTTGACCCAGTACCTGATCCGACAAAGGTGCCGGACAAGCCCACGGTTAAGCCTACCGACAAGCCCACGGATAAGCCCACCGACAAGCCCACGACGACCAAGGCGCCTCAGACTACAACAAGCAGCACAACTTCCTCGTCGACCTCATCTAGTACCACCGGTGCTGCATGTGCCTACTGTGGCGAGTTCAATAAGAAGGCAGCTCGCGATGACAAATATCAAGTCATGTACGCCCGGGCGGGTCAACCCAACAACGATCCAGTCTGCGTCAAGCCCCCCGCAGAAGACGTTCCCAGCAAGAGAAGTCTCTCTGATGTCACTGGCGAACAACTATTCTCGCGATCATTACTCCTGCACGAACGTGCCCTCACCGAGAAGAACTCCAAGGTCGATACCACATTGGGCAAAGCGAACCAATACAAGTGGACTTGTTCTGTTGGCAAATACGCACCAAGCAGCGACGCGGCAAAAATCGCAGATATCACCAAGTACTGGACGTTTAAAGATCCTCAAAACACCAAAAAGTGTAGTGTGGAGGTAGAAAAAGTATCGACAGGGACATCCACGGACTTCGAGAGTAAGTAGCCCCAGTTTCCGGGTTGCAACAGTCGCATGTCAGACTAACAAGGGCGCAGCCGACCACGTTTTCGAAGCTCAAACCTTGGCGAACTTCATAAAGTGGCTGGCTGATGAGGATCCCGGTAAGATTGGGACGACATACGACAAGCCGAAAGCTCTCTGGGTCGAGGAAACGCTCTTGGGAGATGGGAAGACGCCATTCAAAATTGTCAGCCCCGGCAAAACGAACCCTGGTGAACTCTTCACGCCGTCTACTGGTGAGATACCGGTCGTCCTGATGGCTTACGGCTTTGGAAGATCCGACGGGGTCAAGAGTGTGTCGGGAAGCCAAGATGTAGAGCGAATACCGGCGGACCGAGGCAACAAGAACCTTGTTTTGCTACATGGAAACATCAACGGGCCAAAGGGGATATATTTCAAGAAGAACAAGCCCGATATTGCCTGGAAAACTCACACAACTCAACTGAAGAGCCGCCTTGAAGTGCGGAGGGTAAGCACACAGTAAATCCCTGAACAGAAACTCACAGACGCGGGCTGACTGAAGAGTAACGTAGGGTGTGGGGCCTTTCCAGTACCTAGGAGCCGCCGACGGTACTACAGATACCATGTGGAAGAAATGGGCACGCGTATCCAACTGGATAGATCTGACATGCCACGAATTCGACAAGCAATACAAATGGGGTTCGAGGACCGACGAGCCCAAGAACTCGGCAGGGACGGCCTCGCTCCGATCATTGTGGGCATTCTTTATCGACAAGGAGCTCGGCGAGATCGAGGACAAGGCCGCGACCTGGGCCACCGACGCCAAAGTGAACTTTGACAAGAAGTGGGACCTGAAAACCCTGACTAAGGACGAGAAGGACTGGAGAGACGACGCGTTCGGCACCACCGGCTTCGCCACTCCGGCCAAGATGAAGTTCCCTCGGCCAGCCGGTCTCCCTGCCGGTGCATCGGCTTATGGTGCCTATGGTTGGAATGACGTGACCTTTGATGCTAGCAACCAAAACCCGAACATCGGCACCCCTACCAAGATTACTTAGGCAGTACTTGGATTTGTGGTCGGTTTGGCGTTCTGGATGGTGACCGGTAGAGTGACTACTTGTAGTCATGCGGGACATACGGGGGCAAGAAGATGTGTAGGATTATTTTCTTCGATCTGGTATTGATTTATGTATACCAATTTCATTTCAAAGCTATTCAGTACGGTTATATTGCCCTTCCCGACGTGTAATGTTGTCTTCGAAACTCGATCCAGGCAGCTCCCCTGAGCAGTGTTTCTTATTAGATACTTCATTAAAAGGCACTCCTCAAGTTAGCCAACACCTGTCCCAGCTCAGTTCGAGTGTATCGAAACGCACTTGTCTCCGGCTCTTGGTGGTCCTGACCATACTCCCGTGCAAGTAGTTCGAGATAACTAGGGCGCACATCCCAATACACAGCTAGGAAGCCGCCCTCGTCTGTGTCCCAGAGTGCTTGGGGCCGGTCGATGATGACAATAGCCCGTTGCCACTGCTCATGAGAATTGAGTCGTGGGATATTAAAGTCCGCAGCTCCAGCGGTGTTTCGCGAAGCAATTTCGGCCAAGACGTGGGTCTTGCACTTGGCGATTCTCTCTTCGTCGGACGCATCAGCGGCGAGCGGCATGCCCCATACATCGATGCGATCAGGCTCCCCGCGGCCATGTGTTTCGCGCTCCTCCCGGGTCTCCCTGTGCAGCGTCTCGGCCAGGATTTTGAGGTGATCCGGATTGTCGGACTGTGACGTTGTGTCGTAAAGCTGGAAGGACCATGGAGGACGCTTATCGGAAATCGAAAAATCTGATGCTGCCCATCCCTGCGGGATCTTGATAATCTCGTCTCGTATCCAGGCGGTAAAGCAGGATGTGCCATCGTGGCTCGGTGCTTCCTCAACCACATATTGCTCGCGGATTTGGACAGGCGGCAGGCCGCCTGTCGATGGTCTTCGTGCTGCGGCGTGAGACATTTGGGACAAAGTTTGGCTGATGTGAGCTTGGGGAGGAGGGGAAGGAAAATGAGAAGGATTTATTCCGTGCTGTGCCTTATTATGTGTTCTGATGCTCACTGATAACTCACTAATGTCTCATCGACTCCAAAATAGATGTCACTCCAACGACGCCTTAAAACGCAGGGTTGGCCCACCGAATTTCGTGCCAAGAACAATTACTCCACACCACCTACGCAGGTATAAACTAAGCCACCTCTATGCCCCCTCCAAGTGCACAGCCGCTTTCGGGCCTACGACAGCGCATTGGGGCTGCGACCTGTTCAAAAACAATGCGACCATTAAGTATACAATGCCCGGGAATAAACACACTTCCACTATCAAGACCGTGAAAAGCGGCGGCGATTTTCAACGTCGATAAGTATCACTCCTAGTATCACTCCTGGCTCTCCATCCGTGATCATCCGCCCATTGCTCACTCTAACAATCACGTAACCCGCTTGCCTGCTGTTAGCCTTCTTCGGCGGTTGTCCTTATTCCTGTCTTCCCCATTGGGCGTGCGGTGGGAACCAACAACCTATGATTGATCCTTCTCATATGTAAAACCAGGGTCTGTCCTTGTTGTTTAGTCTACCAGTATCTTGTAGCACCTATTAATGTTGCATTGTACGCAGGAGCTGTACGTATATGGCATGCTTGGTTGTGGAAACCAGAGAACCCACTGATTTCTGACCAGAAGCATTGCCAATAGTCGCCCGAAGGGGTAGACCAAACAGCGTGCCGGCCGCGAAGCCAAAGACGGTCGAGACAGGTGTCCCACCTCCTGAAGATAAACCAAACCCGACGACCCGCCTTCATGCGTCGTGACCGCAAGAGAGGCTATATTAGTAACATAAACTTGATTAAGGTATTACAGTCTATAAGTATCATTACTGAAATTAAATAAACTCCCGGTTAATATACTTGGCCTTTACATATACATACCCCTTCTCTTTTCAAAACTCGCATAACACTTTAATTCTCTCTTAAAATTTCAGCCGGCGGTCCAAATCGCACCAGGCGCCCATCTTCCATAACTCCTACCATATCTGAGCTCTTAATGGAGCTTACCCTGTGGGCGACCGTTACAATGGTGAATTCACGAAACTCGTTCCGGATTAGGGTCTGAATCTTTGCATCCGTTCCAACGTCTAGGTTGCTAGTTGCTTCGTCTAGAAGTAGGATGCTGTGCCGCGCTGTTGGTTGAGTTCTTTGGATGCCATCGTTGGCTGAGAATGCTGTCGTGTTACCACTGCGACGAGGAGCGTCCTGGGCCGCACCGGAATCCATGGGTCCTGGTGCACTCGCAATATCCTTCCGAATGATGGCCCTGGCGATAGCGAACAGCTGACCTTCGCCCTGCGAGAGCGGCTGCGACGTCATGTCGCCATCGAGACCTCCCCGAGCCTCAATCGCCTCCCAGAGTCCCACTCTAGAGATGGCCGATAGAATCAACTCATCGTGGGACTTGTCGTCGATACTTCCCGACTCGCTGTCGCGGCATACCGTGGCGTGGTAGGGATCGGCGTTGAAGCGGATGGTGCCGCCAAGTGTGAGCCCTTCCTGCGGGATGGACAAGATACGCGACCTAAGAGCTGTGCGAGATACCGTGGTGATTGGTGTGTCGTCGATTAGGATCCGCCCTACACGTGCATCGCCCATTGTGGAGTGTTCCGGTGGCACAACGTCAACAAGACGAAGAAGGGCCGCGATCAGCGTGCTTTTACCACTGTGGAGTATAGCCCATATGACTTAGCTTGAAACATTCACGATAGATGGCACGAGTATAAGAGATCACTAACCTTCCGGTCCGACCGAGTATCCCGACCTTCTGCCCTGGCTTCACACATAACGAAATGTCCCGCAAGGCCATATCTTTACCACTGAGAATGATTGTCAGATGTACTATAAGCCGAATCATGGGGGAATGGCTGGTGCTACTTACTCATAAGACGCGCACACGTGCTGGAATTCGATGGAGCCTTTGCTGGGCCAACCGGTCTGTGGTTCTTGCACCTTGCCGTCATTTGCGTCTTCCGGAGGGATAGCGTCCTCTAGATTTTTGGTCCTCGCAATCGCCCCGAGCGATGTCTCCATCTGTGTCCAGCTCAGCATCAGGTCTTGAAGAGACTGGCTGAATGATAGAACAGCAGTCAGCGCCACTCCCAACGAGCCGCTACTAGTTGTGGCGCGGACCGTAAATGCCAGAACCATCAGGACTGTGGCCATCGCGGCGACCATCAGGTCTAGCACAAGTATCAACCAGCGCTGGATGCAGAAGAGAAGGTAGTAGGGCTTCTGTGATTGGTCAAGATGCTTGAGATTTGCTTCGGTGAAGTCGGCCTGCCAATGGAATGCGCGAATGCTAGCCAGACCTTCTATCGTCTCAACAAAGTGAGTAAACAAAGGGCTTTTAGCTTCTAGATCGAGGAAACGTAGCTGTCTCGACGTGCGAAGGTAGAATTTCTGGATCAAATACAATGTAATTCCCGCCACAGGCACGCATATTGCCATATAGCTCGATCCTAGACAGACGAAGATGAGCTGGGCAATACACTGCATCAAAGCTGGCAAACGGGTTAGCGGGGTTCCTTGTGGACTTTTGGCAGTAGCGCATACCAAGAACCGTTCCGAAGGCGACTGTAGGAAGGACAGCATCAACCAAAGTCATGTCCTGGCTGAAGCGGTTGAGTGTTACGCCAGAATCAATGCTGGAGAAGAATTGCATTGGTGCGCGCATAACTACACGCAAAAGAATTTTGTGCAGTTCCGCGCCGGACTTTGGAACTATACTAATCATGATTTGCCTGTAAAATGAGCACCAGGCTTATAGGATATGGAAAATCATTGGGAGCAGCTTACTCACCATATCATGGCGCCTTGGCTGGAAGATGCCACTACTACCAACATGAAGTAAAGTCCAAGAAAGGCCGAAAACCTAGAAACCGGGTCATCCGTATACCACTCGAGCCAGAATCTGGGAAAATTAGACGTGAAAGTGAAGACAGCTAGAATTAGGCAGGCACCCAGAGTGCGTGGCAAACCAATAGCACGGTAATAGTACAAATATACAGACATATCGCCGGTTCGCCGTGCCAGATCTTCGAAGTCTTCCTGAGTAGCTCCCGTCACGGCATTATTGGCCGTGAGGGATGAGTACTTTTGTGGGACTCGCGTTACATTAACTTCTTTCTGCTCGTCTTTCGAGTTTTCGGGGCTGGGAGGCAAAATGTCCGATATCAGCTCGCTTTTAGCACGAGCTTTGGCTGTCTTGGTCTCGGGATCAAAAACAAGGACGTTGTCGGCCATAGAGGTGTGACGCACTGGCGAAAATTAATTCCGCCTTGACTCCTCGGTTTTGGTTAGGGCGGACTTACTTGAGTGAGTGACAAGGACTGTGGTGCACTGCAGCTTGTGTACAAGGCCTTGGTCCGAAAAAAGCCTGTAAATAACGTTCTCTTCCGTGTCCCGATCTAGAGCACTGAAGATGTCGTCCAGAAGAAGTAGGCTCTTACGTGCGTAGATAGCTCGTGCCAAAGCCTGTACGGTCAGATTAATGTGCTCATTATGCTCGAGATTTACGTCGTATACACACCAGTCGTTGTCTCTGCCCGCCACTCAAGATTGCGCCCCGGCTCCCAATTATTGTCTGGTCTCCATGTGAAAACTGCTGTACGTCACGTTTTAAGTCACACGCCTCCAACACGGTTTCATACCAGGCTTCTTCGTATTCAGTTGGCCCACACAGAACAGTGCGGAAAGAACTATTGGGGAGCCATGGGGTTTGTGAACAATAGGCAACAGAGCGCGTTCCGATGGTAAGGGACCCTCGCTCAGGGGTGATTTCTCCGACCAGAGCCTTTAAGAAAGTGGACTTTCCAGACCCTACAGGGCCAATGACCATGGTTAGTTTAGCCTCGGGTATGCCAAAACTCGCATTTTTGAGGAGCAGCTCGGCGTTTTTGTAAGGACGCAAATCCACTGCTTCGAATTTGATGAGATGCCCGCTCTCATCCCGTTTGATCCCCTCGCCGAGTTTCACCATCACATGCTGGTATGGACTTGATTTGGAGCCGTTTTCTGAGGACTTTCTCGAAGAGTGCTCATCGTTACGGCTAATCTTGGGCGAGAGGAGAAACTTTTGTATGCGGTCTACACAGCCTTCTGCGGCTCTCAGTGCAGGAATGGAACTCAGAAGGTGTACCGCCGGACTGGTGATCAAGGATATGATGGCGAGTGAGCTAAATGCGGTGACGACGGAGAGTTGGCCGCTGTTATCGACCCGAGATCGTATTGCGTAGGCAGCGAATATAACTAAAGGTGCCAGAACTTGCGGCATTGAGGCTGGAAGAGCCAGAATTCATAAGTAATCTGAAATGACAGTGAAATATGGATTTCAGAATACGTACCAATCATGTTGACCCATACGATCATCCAGCGGAACGGTTTGGATAGATGGAGTTCTCTCAGACGTTGCATCTGCAGCATCTCCTCAACAAGATTCGCCAGTCCCATCATCCGCACTGCCTTCATGTTCCGAAGGACCGAAGAGATGTTTGCTACCCTACTCTGAATGGATTTGATCCATGGTAGCTGCCTAGGACCCATGTATCTTGCGAGCCAGGTCTGCCAAGTGAAGCAAGCTGTATTACAAGATCAGAGACAAGCTATGAGATGAAACGAGTCTAAGCTGTTTATGGCTCACCTGCTGCCACAATCACTGGTGCTATGGAGATAGCGCCAATCTGCCTCGCCAAGAGCCATATTCCAATCGCTATCTCAAGAACTCGGGCCCATGTCTCATGCAAAAGTTCCAGACCACTAACAGTACGTTCGACATCGGTGCTCATGAGCGTAACTGTCTTGGCATCGTCGAGTGTTCCTGGGAAAGATTCCAGTGAGGTGACGTATATCAAGGAAACAGTGGCAGCTCGAACCATGGTCAAGGATCTGTAAAGCTTGTGCTGATATACGGCGGTAGAAATATGTAGCATGGGTCAGGTCATGACTATTGCAGTCAAGATGAGCCAAGAATTGGACTTACTGCAATACCGAGATACACCAAGGCAGTAGCTCCAATAATGCCGTATCTATCATTGGCTGTTTGTTCATTCACTGGTTCTTCTAGTAAGCTGACTGCTCGTTGAATCAGAAATGGTTGTGCATAGTTGAAAGCCACTAGACATAGTCGTGGAAGGACTACTGTTAGTAATGGGCGTCGTAGGGCCGAGGCGAGTGCAGACGCCAAAGCAAAGCGTCCCTTGTCAGAGTCTAGAACGTGTAAGAGTTAGCGTTGGAGGAGCACGCAATGATCAAAAAGGGAAATTCGATCCACGTACGCCTTGTCCACGCATGAAGAATCAGCGACTGCATCGAAGCAGATTTCAATTCAACGTCGATATCACATATTGAATCCAGCGTCAATCCAACGCGGTACCCTTGAAAAAAGGTCGAGCGGAGCCACCAGAAGAAACTACGGTTGAGAATGCCGCTGAGTGTCTCAGGAGGGAATCGGCGGTAAGGCTCTTTGAGATAAGAGCGTTTGTTCCGGGTCTGGAGACCCAGCAAGGCCAACTTCAGCGCTAATGCCGCAGAGAGCACGCTCGCAATGGCGGTCGACGGTCCCCGAAGGAAAATGGTGCGCACTTGGACGGCATCAAAGAGTGCCGAGATGCCCAAGTAGACGCTGACCAAGGAGGATGGTCTCCAAGATCGGCCGTGTTCCAGCAGGACCAGGGCAGATACTGCCACAGTGGCAACGAGAGAAACGACTCCGTAGGGGATAGCAGTCCTCAGCGGGACGCCACTCCGGTTCAACCTCGACCAGAGAACTAGTAAAGCAACATGCAGGCCAACCAATATCGTGCTGATAACCTGCAGCCGAGTGTCAGCACGGTGGAAAAAACGTATAGGACCAAGCTCACAGCTTTCCCAGCAAGAGTCTTGCTTGGGTGAGTTTTAGGCATCCAGCTCCATATTTTACGCAGCTGTACTGGAAGTATAACCAGCAGAATGGCGCACGGCACGATGGACAGGATGCTATGCTCAAAGGTCAGAGTAAAGTCGAACGTGGTGCCAGGCTCTGGGCACGAAAAGGCCGGGCCAAATGAGTCGTCTGACGAGCAATTGGCAGTCATTTCGTTGTTGAGCTCGGCCAAACAGGGCGGATGGTCTTGTGTTCGTTATGTGAGCAGCATCAAGCAGCACATGCGTTTGACCCTGACGCGATGCGGACAGGGACGACCAAAGCAACATGGCGGCTTGTCTAATGTGGCGCGTCCTGGTCGACAGGCAGGCAGCCAGTGGGGTGTCGCGTACTGTTCTCAGATGAGGCAATAGGGAACATGCCCCGCGTACATGTCAGGATGGGACGCAAGATCGACTGGCGAGGAAATGCAGCACCGCCAACCCCTCGGCCGACCGAATTCAGCGGCACGGCTCAGCTCTCGATACTTTTGCCGGGTGGGAGCCCGGGGTTCGCTGCCCGAAATCCGGCTGCGTGTGCTCTGTAGCCCTGTTGTCAACCGGTGGACACCAGAATTTGCGCGCTCTTGGCTGTCACCTGCAGCTGCAGGCGTGGCCGTTATATGCATGTCTATCTAACGTGCAGCTAACAGGACACTGCACAAAGATTCCTAATATCATGCCACCTTTAAAAGGCTGTTCCGGTCGCCAAAGAACAACTAACATTACTTAAGTCCTTATTTGGTTTCACTGAATCATCACTACTTGATCACAAGTTTTGTATAGCCTTCGCTTATAATATAATATAAGCTGGAATACTCTACACAAATCCTTTGAATTGATGTTAGCCTAAGCCAAATTTCTTATTGATGCGACGTGGTTCGGGTTTGAGGACATTCGTGGCACCCAAACCCAAGGCACAAGGACGAAGACAGCCCAGCAGAACCAAAAGCGAACGCCTGTGAGCCGAATCAGCATTGAAGAGTGGATATTGTCGGCGGTATATTGAGGCGATATGATAAACTTCTATCATAAATCATTTGGTAGTACTTTATGTCGGCTTGGTGAAACCCTAGAGAATGTCAATGATATTTGTGCTGGCCTGAGTCGTACGCGACACGCAAATGCGACTAGCACGGCTAGTTTCCTATTCTTTTTGGTAATTTGCGACTGGACATGCGAACAATACTTCGAAGGTAAGCATTACTACGGGGAAATGTGGTGAGAAAAGGACTTCAACCTCCCTAGCATCTGTTCATCATGTTATAATTGGATAATTGCCTCTCACCCTTGACTCTGACATGTATCCTTCTGGGACGTTGCTTGCGACAGAAAGAAGCAAAGAGAAACAATTCACCTCGCGTCTCTCTTTCAATACATACAAATGATACAAGCATCCAATGGAAGATAGAGAACCTAGTCCCGCTAGGGTCACCACGCACACATCGTACCGGTATGGGAAATCCTGAACTAACCCTGAGGTCCGAGCACAAAGCCTATGACTAGCGTACCTAATGCTACGATTAAAACAAACGCTGATGAAAGCAAACCTCATTATGCCCATAAACCCAACGGCAAGATCAACTACTGTCTGAGGAGCTGCTGGAAGATTCAGCGGCGGGACTGCTAAAAGCATTTCCACTCCTCTCTTTATCACCATGACTGCCACCTCCGTGGCCGGCAGACTCATGGCCATTATCTGCGCCAGCGTTGGCGTCGGGGTTGTTGACATGGCTATTGTCCCAACCTTGCGTCCGCCCTGAGGTTTCAGCGAGTGCCAGCACTTGAACGGAGTGAGAGGCAACTTTTCCGCTGTTGTTACTGCTGCTGCTGCTGCTCGACCCACTTGTGCGACGCTTCTGCCGCCGTTCAGCCTCTTCATCCGCTGTACCAGATGCGTCTGACTTGATGTCGGGCGAAACCTTTGCCCTGTATACCGATGGGTCGTCGGGCTCTTGGAGGACATCATCTTCGTGATCATGTATCAATGGATCCTCACTAGCGCTCTCTCCCAGCTGGGGAGACCGTAGTTGTTGGCCCTCGACGGTGCCATATTCGACACTCCGCAGATCGTTAGGGTCAGCTGGCGGGAATGCAGTCGCGGCCTGCTCTTGAAGAAGCGGTGCCGCAGCTTCATCATGCCGCCAGTTCTCGATATCCTGGTTTTCGCGACTCTCAGGTGTCCTCCTTGCAAAGAAACGCCTTGTACCAACGGCGACGGCCAGTATGACCGCGATAAGCAAGAAAGCAACCCCTACGACGCCAACAAACTGCGGCGTCCTTGGCTTATCGTCCTCCATCTCTGTTGATATCGTCACTGCAGTAATCCTGGCGGCAAAGCAGACGTTGTTCGCTGGGGAGAACGCAGTAATATGGGGAGAACGGTGTCGCTTTGCCTTGGTTGGGGTAGTCCAGAGGGGTCACGTTTTACCTTGCAGCTCGGCTAGCAAGATCCCTAACGCAGATCGGATTGCGTGCTGACTCACCTATACATTTCTCAATCTTTGTCATTCCCAACCGCCTTCGCGCCTGGTTTCATTGATGCGACATTTGGCAAACTGGCTGCATTATACTGGAGTTTGTTGTATGACTGCTCGATGGGTCTTAGAATCTCGGAAACTCTAAAAAACAGTCCTGAACTAGTTCGGATCGAACTATACTTCTGTATGAATTCAAGATTGTTCACACGGTAGTGGAAAGTAAGGAGAAACCACTCTCGTTGCGTCTTGAATAAGAACATCCAAAGGCTTTACTCGGGGATTTTGAACCCCGAACTCCTCAACCTCTGGAAGACGCCCTTCGGATCATACTTTTGCGCTGCCTTCTTGATCTTGTCCACATTCTCAGCGCCATACCCCGAGATAGGCTCTTGCGTCCTGTAAGCATAATTCAGGTACCTCCATCCCCAGTTCCCGTCAAGAGAATCCGCGTACTCGTCAACGTCCTTCCAAAATGATTTTACATATGGAAATGCTAGGGTCTCGTGCTCCGCCCTCTCAACGCCTACATAAATAAGACACATGAACCCTGGTCTTCCACTAGAGGCAATACGTTCCTCCAGGCCGAGTACGTTATTTCCTTGCCCCCGAGATATCATGGACTGGGTCATTGGTTGGCACTGTTGGCTGCTAGAGAGGCCTGAATCAGGACCCAGGATGGAATCGAGGGTTAGCATCATTTCTTCGTGTTTGGACGCTATGAATCGTAGAATGCGGGGATCGTTGGCGTAAGTTCCGGTGAACCAGATGGTGCTGTTACTTTGGTCAGTGTCTTGCTCTGTCATGGAATTGTGGGAAAGGTGGACTGGCATACTAGGTTCTATAATCCCGCACCAGTTCGTCAGTGATGTTGGACATAGTCGCGCTTCGGAGAGAGCTAGACGTCTGGTTCCCAACGCTTAGGTACTTGTTGAACGCCGGGGCGTACTCCTCGTTGGCCACGTTGTCGAGCATACAGCGTATGTAGAAGCTGCCGGCCAACGAGTTGTAGGCCCATATTATTATAGAGGAGCTGTAGATGTCATCACCGACTTTGTTGGTGAAGTCGACAAAGGCGTCTATGATGGCGTCCGTCTGGGCATAGTCGTAGCCTACGATGCCACCCCAGATGTGGGGGATTGAAGGATCTTGGAATTCGATGGTGTAGAGATCGAAGCGTGTGACCAGCCCGATGTTGCCGGAGCCTCCCTTGAGGGCCTTCCATAGATCAGGGTTTCCCTCCTGGTTGGCGTTGGTGATTTGACCATCAGCCAGGACGATCTCGTAGTTTTGAACCTGGTCACAGCCGAAGCCATGACTACCAGAATGGAACGAATTCCCACCTCCTAGAAGGAAACCACCGACACCCACGGAACTGGATCGTCCTCCGGTGACCGTGACACCGTGAGGGGTGAGGGTATTGTAGACCTCGCCCCAATGCGCCCCGGGCCCAATGGATGCAATCTTGGTGTAAGCGTTATAGCTAGTTGTATTGAAGAAGCCTTGGGTAAGATATTAGCCATTTCCGGCCGCCCGCTTTTCTCGATGTTGCAGATGCCGGGGAATATCTACCCATGTCAATAGTTATCCCCTCTTGGAGAGAATTGGAGAGTGCATGGGCTCCATGACCACCCCCGCGAATGCCGAAAGGGCATTCATTATCAACAATGGTGGTTATGATGACCGACACGTCCTCAGCCGTCCTAGGAAGCACCATGCACCACGGTTTCAGTGCCGCGCTGAGAGACCAATATGTCTTCATTCGCTCGTCGTACGCAGGCGTGTTGGGGTGGTAAATAGTGCCTTCCAGCTGAGCTATGCCATCAAGAGCTTGGCACTTAAGGCCCCAATCCTAATCAGTAAATCTTCTGAGTAGAGAACGTGGGGAACCAACACATATCGTCTTATCGCTGGCTAAAGCCCCAGTCACTATGGTAGCCGCTATGGCCATACCATATGCCTCCGTCCGCGTGGCCTTCATGTTTCCTCACAGTGCCCTTGGCCGTTGATACAAAATGTTAGTGGGAGTAGGGCAAGTATCTCCTTAAGTCCTTTTGCAAGCTTGCGGCATGGGATAGGCCCAGTGGTCTAGACTGAAATACGGAAAAGATGAACCATATGCGGCTGCTGCAGTGGTGGTCAGCCAGATGCTGCTTTCGGTAACTACAGCCCAACGCTTCATGATGCACTTCTTTCCTCGTCATACCCAACCCATAAGTCAGCATATTATCGACCACATATTACTTTTCCGCAAGGCGGAGCGCATCGGGAATGGAGAAGAATGGTCGCATTCACGATTTCTTCATAAGGTAACGCCCAAACTGCGCAAAGAGGACCATCTTGAAACCCAATTGACCTACCTCACCTATATCACGACATAGTATTGTTACAGGGGACAGATATTGAGTAGGTGTTGTGCAGCTTCGGCATCTGCTACCCCGCCTCTTGTGCTGTTTCGCGCCCTCGTTTTCGGGCTCTGTATGCAGGGTGTGACACACCGCAGGCGAGTTGATATGATTGGGTGACCGCGACACTGTATCACTTATAGCAGAACCACACGCAATTAGATCTGCTTCTGTGGATGATTATGTTCAAATGAATAGTCTGTTTCAATAACAGGGGGAAAATGTCGTTCATTTGCTATATACGTTGTGTACAAGCCCCCACGAGAAGACTCATTGAGCGAGTGATCCAGCTCGTACGGGTAACTTTTATATCAAACCGAAATTCAGTGCCAGTTGTTCCTGATCACGTCCACGATTACTCCATGATCTTCGTGCTGCTTCAGACCCGAAACTACAACAACAGCAACAATTCCCTCTACACCCTTGACCTTAATAGGAACAGCGCCGCCATGGATAGCATACTTGCTCGCCTGCTCCTGGCTCATGCCAAACTTGGCTCGGAATGCCTCTTCGTCCGCGTTGTACTTGCAGTGTAGCAGCCAGGTGCTGGAACCAAATCTTAGCACACTGTTGCGCTTCCTCTGTACCCAGAGTTCATTATCCGGCATGGTACCAGATCCAACAGCACATTGGAAGAGGACCTGGCTGCTATTGGCCAAAGAGATGGATATCAAAGTGGGCTTCTGCGACGAAAATGGAAGGAGTCTCGCATATAGCAGGTGACCAAGCTCCCATGCATCCTCTGCCGTGAATGAGTCCAAAGTGAAGGAGTCACACACTTCCTTTACTTCGTCTGCCTAGACTTGGAGTTAGCCTTGGGGTGGCTCCCGCTTAAAAGGAACAGGATGCTCACAGTCTCCGGAGGGCTAGGGATAGCGGCTGGCTTGCCCTGGTTGGATGCAGCAGCGAGCGCAGCCTGAAGTCCAACTCCAGGCGTCTTGTCGCGACGAGTCAATGCTTGAGGTGCCATTGTGTACTGTTGAGAACCAAATGACCGGGGATAGTATTGCTCCGTTGTGCATTGGGATCAAGCCGTTGCCGAAGGAGGGGAATATCGGGGGAAGCTCTGGATTGCTCCGCTTCCGGTGCAGAGTTGATACCCACTTTCGGGCCGGAAAATTTTGAACGACACCGACCCAAGCTACACAAACTATAGATTTTGAGTTAAACTGCCCAAAAAATCAGTAATCGAAGCAAAGATACTGGTTCAATGAAATGAATCAGCTGGATTATGGACAGACTTGGGAGGTCCTTACTAATGTTTCTCAGAGTCTCCTCTTCCTCGCTGCCTCATCTATAATGAGTACGGTTGGATAGTGTAGTTGGTTATCACATCGGATTCTGATCTCGAATCACTAATTTCCGGTAACCGGGGTTCGAATCCCCGTCTGACCTTCACTTTTGTTCCCCTCACCTTACGAGCGGCTTCTTTTTGACTGGTTCCACACAACACTATCCTCTTTGCACGTCGACGAAGGTCTGATCTCATACATTATATAACACAACCTGTGTTGCAGCAGCGCTTGACTGTATAACTTGATGCTAAATGGTTGGAATCTCGGAGAAATAGAATACCTCGACTCGCAGTGCAAAGAAATGTCAACTCATCACTTTACGTATCCATGGACATGACCATTGTGGATGTCGCTTTTTGACTAGCACAATTGACCGAATACGGCGTTATTGACACGTGTGATTGGCAATCCTAGTTCTGGTTGCAACGCCTTGAATAGAGTACTAGCTAGGTATAAGAATGGTACAAGCAACAGCCGCAACATACGCAACATCTGAAGATGTCAATTCTCTCCTCACATGCACAGTATGAAAGGTAAACTTCCCATGTGTAGAGAACAACGATTCCCGACCTAAATCTTCAGAACCATCTACCGCGCGTTCTCGAAGAAAAGAATTTTATCAATATAGAGGTAACATGATTTGTAGCTTGCGTCAGCTGGACAGTACTCCTCAGTCCGTCTAGTACAAGCGGTCAGAATTTCAAGCTCTAGTCCCTGGAGAATTGGTATTTCACTTCACTTTACAACATGCTCTAGCAAGTTTCATTCATATTCTAAAGTAGACTCTACTTCACTTGGAACTATATGGCGAAAGTGTTTTTACTAAGAGCAAATGTGCCGCCTGCGGTGATACATGAATGTCAAAAATCCAGAACTACCAGGCGCATTCACCCTCCTCATTAGAGAATGTGCCGTTAGGCCCACCCTTTGCCAACGTAGCCATCTTGACGACCTTCAGTGCTGCAACATCAGGGGAACGGCCGCCGGCATTGAAGTCCACCATCTTGGTCTTGACCAGCCCTGGACAAACGACATTGACCATGCCCCCGATATCTTCCAGTTTGGCGACGTACCGGACCGCCAACATGTGCATAGCCGCCTTGCTCGTCTTGTATGCTGGGAAATCGATCCCGTATAACTCCCAATCTCGGTCAAGGGCTTTCGTGATTGAGCCGTTCACTGAGCCAACGAAAACGACGCGAGGTGCGACAGCTTTCCGAAGCAGTGGAATGCATGTTTCGGTGAGGACTGCCGTTCCAAAAACGTTGACTTGGAAGGTCTGGTTCATGAGGTCTCGTAGTGGCATGCTGATTCCGTTGAGCTCAAGAAGGAGCCCGGCATTGTTGACTAGTGCATCGAGTTTCCCATGCTCCTCCTCGATCTGCTTCACGGCAGCGCAGATGGAGTCATCTGAGGTCAGGTCTAGTTGCACAGAGGAGGCGGAAAACCCGCGGTCTCGAAGTGATGCTGCCACATCTGCGCCTTGTGTCAAGTCACGAGATCCGATGATCGTGTGGTATGAATGCTCGGCCGCCAGGTTTTCGGCAATCGCTCGACCAAGCCCGCCGTTTGCGCCAGTGATGAACGCGATACTTCTTGTAGTCGCCATTGTTCCTTGGTAGGTGTGTCAATCGACGCGGCCCCAAGCTTCATATTGCTCGCTCTCCGAGTACAATTGGCATTCTCTTCGCGAGACAAGTTCGTCATTTATACCGCTGGAGAACAGAGCTGGCCACCGCCACTTGTGAATGAGGCATCCCATCCTTACCTATGTGCTTACGAAGGGGCGTGTGAAGTCTGCTTCAAGTAACGGCGCAGTCTGCGCCGACACTGTGAATTAGTCAGACATACCAGAAGATGCACTCGCCCTTGGTCGACTGCATCCTGACTCCTGAGATGATGGAATTGCATAAGTGTGGTTGATCAGAAATCGAGGCATTGTAAGTCTGACAGGTTCCGGATCCCCGGGTCCCGCACGTCCTTGAAAGCACCATGCGGTGGAACTCCGAGCTAAATTCGACGAGCCGATGGCGTCAACTGAGACAACTGGTTGAAGCCCAACGGTCTGGCCATGTGCACAAACTATCTATTATTGCCTTCAAGGAGCTATGGAAATAACCAAGACGATGCAAGCAGGCGTTGACGTCGTCACTTGAGCTATCCTTCGCACCCCATAAATGACGCTGTCTTCATCAAAGGCCGTTGGCCTGGTTGGCTAGCTTGCTTCTAGTGGCCAGTACCGCTCTAGTTTAGTGCTAACAGTTACAGCCCCAAAAGTACGGTATCTTACCGTGAAATGAAGCCAACTCACGACGACCCATCAAAATAGAGAGGGGATCGGCACTTGGAAGGGCGGGACCCTGCCCAAATCATCAAACTTCTCGGTACGAACTGTGGACCGGCAACTAGGGACCCCTGGGAGCTCCCAATCGACCGGGAAGAGAGGCTCACGTTGTGGGCTCGATGACGATGGGAAAGTGGTCGTCTGCACTATCTGTACAAACCAGAACAACTATTGAATTTTGAAATGACTATTCCAATGCAGTGTACAAAGAATAGACGAGACCATAGAGATGGAGATCTTCCGCTATGCAATCAGCGAAGCCAGAAAATCCAGACATGCCCACCATCCAGTTGCACTACAGCTTCTTCGTTTTATGGCGCCAAAGGCGGATCCCCGGGGTTTGCCATGCGGCATCCTGGAGCCTGAAGGCTGTCGGTTACGGGGGCTCTTGTGGTGCTGCGCCGTCGGATGTCGGGTGTTACTGCATTGGAAATGCATGGATACGAAATTGGTCTCGAAGAAAATGTTTTCCGTCCCCAGTTGGCTGACTGCATACTTGTACATATGCACAGAATGTTGCGTCCTGTTGTGAGGCTGTCACATTATGTTGGTTGCTCTTCCTGAATGCTCCCCACGGCGATAGTCTTGGTGGCCCTCCCTCTCCGTCCTAGAATCGTCTGTGGTTAGCGCAGCTTGGCTCTCCAGGTTTCCGCAGAGCGCGATAACTCAAAGAGCATGGCGGATCGTCGGCACCAAGTGAAGCGTGACTTTATTCTCCTTGAAGATCACCAAGCGCGTGTTTAGGGCAGACATCGCGGCTTTTGGCTCGATGTGTTAGCGCAGAGTTGGAGGTCTAACGCCCACACATCCCACGCCGCCAGAGTTCCGCAGCCCCTGTTGGTATGGCATCGGCAGGTCGCCGTCCACGCCATGGACCCTTGGCTTTCGATGGCCCTCAACTAAGCCCTGAAATTTCATGTACTATGTAAGGGGCATGATCATCGCAATCAGCAATTGCTGCAGCGAATATTGTTCTGTGCAACACAACTGTCGGCTTGAACCACTCCGGTTCGTCAGATCCGCATGCTCAGCAGCCCACGTTGACTAACGTCCGCCTTCCATTTGGCCAGATCCAACGCTGCATCGATCGAGATTCTAGAACGGCAGTACTAGTCATTTTATCGTGTGCCAATTCCGTAGTTCGTGGTACATAGCTCCAAGGACGTCGAGATAATGATCAGCCGCCATCGGCATTGGGTTTGAAAGCGTTCGCCCTGTTCTATGAACTTGTCAAGCCTGACATCATACCGTTCTGCCTGATCCAGAATGAATGGACTTCTGGTTGAAGGGAAACCCCCGGCACTTTGTTCCTCATGGCCGCGACAATTCTTCCAAACTCCAGAGTCACTGTTGTTATGGAGCCGGCCACGTTTAACATGGTCACTGAAAACAGCTGGAAACCAATGGGACCGCTCCAGTCCTCCCTAAGCCCCTCTCAACCTATGCCCCTTCTTACCGGTAGCGTTGTGACCCTTACCGGCTGTCAAACTGTCAGCCCTTGAGAAGTTGCAGCGCTAATGATAAGCTTCTCTCGAGAGTTGCAGGGGGTTCGGTATTACGATCAGCACCTATAGTGCTGAATGCGGGGAGATGAGGACCCCATTATGCAGGAACATTTCCCGAGTCGGCATGGGTTAGCGCGCTCTGCGGCATTAGCCCACGCAGTTTATCCCCATTGCTACATCCATCCTGCCCAGGATGCTGGTCAGTGCCAACGTGCAATCAGCGTATGCCGAAGAGGACGACGAGGTCAATGTCCATCGCCATTCGGAACCTGGCCGGAGTGACGAAATGGGAGCACAAAGGCTCCAACATGTGGGAATGTCTGTTTAGGGGTGTTTGCAGGGCGTATATATCGTGGGCCAGCCGGCTCCGTCTTGCAACTTCTTTCCTCAGCTCTCCATCGCCTCGTCAAGCCAAGCCAACTCACAGTCACTCTCTTACCACATACTCCAACTTAGTCATTCATTAATCAATAATCCACTTTCAAAATGCAGTTCTTCAAGCTCGCTCTTGCCGCCGTTTCTATCGGCTCGGCCATCGCCGCCCCTGCCCCCAAGCAGGTCCAGGCCCGCGACACCGCTGTCGTCACCATCAGCAGCGCTGTCAGCAGCGTCAAGGCCCTCGTTGAGGCCGAGCTCTCCAACATTGAGTCGGTCCTCGCCAACGTCGTCACCGACGACGTCGTCCCTCTCGTCAACCTTGCCCTCGGCAACATCGTCTCCGAGGTCGATGGCCTTGTCTCCGACATTGTTCCCATGGTCACCGGAATTGTCTTCCCCCTCGTTGAGGGTGAGGTCGAGAACGTCCCTGCCCTCTTGACTGAGGTTGAGGGTCTCGTCGCTGACATCGACTCCACTATCAACAAGCTCCTGGCCGCTGTCGTTGGTGGTAAGTAAACCCAACTTGAGCATGATAAGGAGCTATGTCTAACAATGTGCAGATGTTCTGGACGCCGTCAAGCCTGAGGTCAAGGCTGTCCTCGAGCTCGTCTCCCCTCTGTTGGCCCCTGTCCTTGGTCTTGCTCAGGGTGTCCTCAGCACTGCTACCGGCCCCGTTGTCTCTGATGTTTCTGGCCTCGTTGGCAACATTGAGGGTGTTGCCGGCGGTATCCTCGCCCCCGCCACCGGTGTCCTCGCCAAGGTTCTGTAAATTCGAGCAACCTATCAAGAGATTGGTAATGGATTACCTTCTATGATACCTCCTGCATAACTCGATATTACGGTGTTTGGGAAAGCGATATGGACTGAATTTACATGCTTATGACTAGAGGATCGGACATTAGCATTGGGAAATAATACCTGGGCGCAAGCCAATTGTACAAATCGTCCGGCAGTCCAAACAAGCTGAAGAAACTGATGTCTTGAACTGTTTCATGTGTGTTGTGCAGTGATGAGTCCGAAATTGAGTGATGTGAGTCGTAGTTGCCAACGGTAGTAAATGGTTCCTGATGAACAAGGGGAGAACTGCGTGCACCTGCTATTTGATACAGGTGCAGCAGTGACTACGTTGTACAGCCGATGCCTCAACTAATGGCGGAGTGCCATCACTCCTCTGTCCTGTTGAAACTATTCTCGGCCACCCAGCACCCTGGTGCTCCTGCACGACTCTTGAGTCACCCTACGTCTACGACATTTATGACAAAAGGCCAAGGGCAGCCTACCCTAAAACACACTCCAGTAGCCCATATTCAGGCGTAAACTTGCCAAGAACAGTTAGCCAAGGAGCTTCCGCTCTGAACATCACCTTCGTGCCTGGATGATGCTTATCGATTTGGTTCTTGCTGAGTGTTGTGGATCGTTGTCATGCTGTAACGCGGCGTAGCTAATTAGAGACATTCTTCGTCTAACACTCCTCCTCAACCAACGCCTTTCATCTTCAAAGGGCACACCCAGCCAATGCTTTGATTCACCATACAATCACCCCACCAAACTCCGAATGATTCACGTCAGCTATCCATTATGAACTTCGCCCAAATTATCCAAACGGGCCGCACGCTCACGGCGCTGGAAGAAGCGCTCCTCTCGTCATCTCAAATCCTCACAAATATTCATTCAGAGACACCAGAAGTGAATGATGCAGAGGAACATCCCACAGGAGAGCAGCGGTTACCGGACCATATCCTGCTCCGAACGGCCAAGTTTTATTTGCATCAGCCGCGAGATATCATGTCCCTGGCCCTTGCCAGCAAACAGCATTGGCGTCTTCTAGAAATGGAGATCTACATTGCAGATATTTTGAAGACGAAGCAGCAAGAGAATGATGCCATTCTGCGAGAGAAAATCCAATTGCCGATCACATTGGAGGCTTTAATGAACACTCAACTTGTAAGCATTCCAGTGGCAGCGCAGAGACACCAACTTTTCCAGCTGCGACCAGACCTCCGCATCAAGGAGACTGCTTTGCATCACGCAGCTGTAGTCAACAACAAGTATGCCGCAAAAAAGGCTGTCATTGCCAGTGCGAAGTTCTGGCCAGGCTATGTCGACGTCAAGCGCTATGGTTGCGTGCCGCTGATGCTAGCTGTCATCCGAAACTCCACCAACGCTGCCCAGGTTCTTGTCGAAAGTGGATGCTATATCGACGCTTGGCATAAAGAACCGAAAGGCGCGAGAAAGTTGGTCGCTGGAGGTTGTGAGTTTGTGGCTAATTTAGAGGTCCGAAATGGATTTTACGATAAGAACGCAGCGTTTCTCTACACGCCACTCTGCATGGCTATAGCAAAACGACTCCCGTCCCTGTCGCTACTGCTCGCGCAGAATTCTACCGACTCTAGAAGCGCAGTGGAAGTTTTAAAAAAAACACCTATGTCTCCGCTTCACTTGGCAGCCTTTGCAGGAATGTCAGCAGTTGTAGCGGCCCTGTTACAACGAGGTTACAGAAGAGAGGATCCATCACAAGCATTTCTAGGGGCTAAACCCCTCGGCCTCGCTGCTTCTGGCGTAGACAACAACATCGCCACCCTGGAGCTACTTCTGGATCTTGACAAGAGCAATCCAGATGAGCAAGTATCCTACCCGTGGGCAGGAGCTCTGGCACATCGCGTGCCCCACAACGCGATTTATCTTCTAGAGAATCACCACAGGGAACGAAGAATATCTGACCTCACACGCGAGGCACGACAGTGCCTTGAAGCAGACGATCTATTACCAGTGCTGAGGTGGATTCTGGAGAACAATGATTCTGCTGGGATCCGTTCCCTCATTCGAGAACAATGCAATAAACTCCTCAAGAAGAAGATTGGAGTCCCTTCAGCAACTCTCAGATATCTACGCGCCGAAGGTATTGTTGCTGCGCCCAGTGGTGTCCGGAAGGTGGGGACAGACAATTTGAATTTGCAAAAAGGGGGGCCTGAGTCTGCATCGGGTGTGATATTGAGTACGGAGAGCATGATAGAGGACTGAAACACATTGCTGAGCGCGTGTTCTCAATGAATGAAATTTTAAAGCCATAAAACTCGCATATTGTGATTGTTCTGTTACTGGAGATCTGGCCACAAATGGCTCAACTCCTGGATACCGAGGTGATGTGCCACAGGTTTCGCCAGCATCTGCCCGCTAAGTTAGTACTGTTATGCGGTTTTGTTTCTCCCACTTCGCATTTGGCATTATTCAATGAGTCAGTATCAGAGTACCTAGAGGGGCCCTTTGGGCTGTGATAGACCGGTCATCTGTACAGTAGTGGTTTGCCCCTATTGTCCACCCGCGGCGGAACCCATAGCAGTTGAGCCTCATCAGGCCATCGGTGCGGCAGTCGCGGACATTTCGGCTAACTCGAAACATGATTGGTGGGAGCCGATTTTTACGTGTTCATGAGTATTCAACGGTGCGGGACTGGGCCTCTACAGCCAACGTATACTTTCCGCATGTCGTTCTTCTACCAGTAGGATCAGCGCAAGCAGCCGGGCCACGTTTTCTTTTCGCACGTGCCGGGTTGAGGCTCAACTAGCGCTACTCACCATTGGGTACCATTGGGATGGTAATGTCTCAGATGTGCCACGCGAGAGATGCTTCTTCTGCACGATCTGGCGGGGTGCTTTGTCGTTGCTATCTCTCGCCGTTATGTCTGTGCTCATCCGAGCACATGACGCTATTGAGCTGGAATATCCACATTCTTTAGTCAAGGCACCGTCATAGTCATTACTGAACTCCGACATATGAGACGCAACCAGAATATTCGACCAAATCACACTTGACTACTGAAGCTTATTCCTCAAGTCATACGATGGGGCCGTTTTCGGTGTAGGAGTCATATCTCTTAGGCTGACTTCATCCCCTACAAGCTATGCCATGGATCTTGGGGTTGCAGAAATGGGCTTTTGTGGCTTGGGTCATGATATGTCAGGCAGGAGCCAGATTCGAAATGTATCGGTGCCACCATCTACGCGAATGCCTGGCGTCGAGACAAGTCGCCGAATCACACTGTCTGCATACTTCTGTTAGCATAATCATGCCTGGTTTGGTTTAGATTTGTAAAGGGCTAGACTCGCGAGAGTCTAAATGTACGAGATTTTAAGTTTACATGAGACTACCTGGATAGCAATTGTCAAATTAAACGTCGAAAGCTTATATGTGAACAAGCTTCCAAGCGGAATTAAGCAATTCTTCCCGGCTACCAGGGTAATATGGCATCTTAGGAGTATATGAACACCAGCATATCGAGGACATCCCAAAAGTTATTTCATCGCTAGACCAATCCTTTCTTTCTTCTACTACAATGGCGCGAATGAGTTTAACACCTCTTCTCGTCTTGTCCCTGGCCTGGGCAGCCTCGGCAACCGATAAGACGCTCAACTCTACCCTCGACATCTCGCTCGCTCAAGCGCCTACAGCCTTGGACAAAGTAGCGTTGCTTCCTTCGCCGTCTGACTGGAGGTTCGACTTCTTCGCACAACCTACGTACCAATACAACCCCGGCGCCGTCATCAACGCCAATGCCGCCACATTCCCAGCGACAGTGGGAAACGGCCTCACCATGTCGTGGGTGAACCTAGGTCCCTGCGCTATGCAGCCGCCGCACTACCACCCACGGGCTTCGAACTACATTGTCGTTATTGAGGGAACAGTGGAGACCTACATGATTCCCGAGAACGGCGGGGAGCTGATCAAGGTCCTGCTGGAACCAGGTCAGATGACGCTCTTCCCCAAAGGCAGCCTGCACTCGATGCAGAATATGGGTAAGTCGCGGAAGCACTTTCGGCTGGGAGTGGTTTCAACGTATACTTTGAGCTTACGCAAGCATCGCAGGCTGTGACAAGGCGACGTTGGTATCGGCGTTGAGCACCGAGGACCCCGGTACCCACAACGTGGCAAACGGCCTCTTCGGCTTGCCCCGTGACATGGTTGCGGCTGCATTCGGGGGCAGCTTGAGCGCAGATGACCTCGACACCATATATGGCAAGATCCCACCGGTGGGCACTGGGGTCACTCTTGGTTCTGCCAGCTGTCTTAAAACATGTCATATGAAGTGATTGAGCACTCCATACATGTGTAATGCCTAGATTCAGAGACAAGGTCAGGGGGTGTAGTCTGGCTAGATATATTCGTAGCGAAGTGGAGCGGTTTATTTTGGATCACTATTCAAGATGAGTAATACCTTGTGGTTTTTGAGTTCTCACTTATGGTCCCTACATTCTTAAACTTTGCAACCTGCACATAGAAGCTGTCTACATGGGTATACAGCTGCCCAAACTTGAGGTTCTAGCCGCCGCGAACGGAGACGCTTTGGCAAATCCAAAATTCTACAAATAACAACTTAATTGCTTAGTCGATAGGTGCAGACATTCGATGACACCTAGCGACGTAACACTCTTAAGAGCGAAACATCCCTTAAATCGGGCCGCATCACGCCATTACCAACTCGCATACCTAGTATGTTCACACGCCATCTTATTGGTACAAGCTCGAGAGTACCAAGGATGCAGGTTGGTCTCTGAATTACCATACAATTAAATTATCAGTAGGGTAGAGGCGTCGGTTAGCTACAGGAAGCCAGTAAAGAAACAGGGGATAGACAGAATCAACATCCAAGCAAGTAAAATGGATCTTCAGTCTATTGATTGTGTTTAAGACCCTACACAAGCTTTTGTTCCTACTTAATGCCCTAACTGCATGTCCATATCTTTCATACAGCAAACGGCCTCCCACCGCGCGTGGAGGGCTAATCTTGTAAAATTCGCGGCAGGCTGGGTGAAAGTTCCATGCAACTTCCCAACCAACATCCTTTTCTCACAGTTACACTGCGTAGAGGCTGCATATATCTTTCTCATCCCTGCGTTCAGCAATGCGGGGTCTGGAATTTTGGTCGATTCATCCCTTATTATGAACTTAGATCAAAGGAGATTCTTCTCACGGGTTGAAACCCAACAACGAAGGATCAACCCGATGTTGATTCCTGGTAGAATTGCTTCGCCGGCAACTCAGCACATTTGGAACACATGAATATCGATGGTCGCCAAGAAATACGATTTCGTTGTGGTCGGTGGGGGCACTGCAGGTCTCGTCTTGGCCAATCGGCTCAGTGAGAACAGCAATGTAAGCGTGCTTGTCCTCGAAGCGGGGCGCGATTTGACATCAGATCCTCGTGTCACAACTCCTGCTCTGTTTCCCACCTTGCTAGGAACAGACGCAGACTGGAACACAGTAACAGAACCGCAGGTAAGTCACGTCCTATGAGCGTTTCTGGCCGCTGTCCAACATTCATCGTAGCTGGCCCTTAATGGGAAGACTGTCAGCATTCCGCATGGACACGTCCTTGGAGGAAGTAGTGCTATCAACGGGCAGGCTCTTGTTGCCAACGCGAAAGTGAACATCGACGCATGGGGTGGTCTTGGTAACCCTGGCTGGAGCTGGGAAACCCTCGCCCCGTACTACAAAAAATTCCACACCCTGGATCGTCCCCCAGCAGATAAGGTTACCTTTCGTCATCTTCATTTAAATCTCATTGACAATGCTGTACGGGGTTCGGATGGGCCAATCAAGACCAGCTTTCCTGCTGGTACCGAGAACCCGGTCCCCAGAGCATGGATCGAGACTTTAGATTCATTGGGTCTAAAGGCTACGAGCGACCCTTTCTCTGGGAGCAATGTGGGCGCATACACGAATGCTGCTACGATTGACCCTCAGACTCGTCAGCGAAGCTATGCTGCTTCCACATACTGGAAACCCGTCCAACACCGACCTAACTTGACCGTCGTCAGCGGAGCCAGGGTCCAGAAGCTACTTTTACACGGTACCAACAAGACCAGAGTCGTGGGTGTAGAATATATCCACGAAGATGAGACCAGGACTGTTGATATCAAAGAGGAGGTAATCCTGGCAGCTGGGGCCTTGAACTCCCCGAAACTCCTCGAACTGTCTGGCATAGGTGACCCAGAGCTTCTGTCAACACTGGGTATCCCTGTCGTTGTCGGAAACAAGTACGTCGGGGAAAACTTGCAAGACCACCCAATGGCCGGGCTAAGTTTCGAAGTTGGTGACCAGGTGAAGACCATAGACGATCTTCTCAGGCAGGACCCCGCCGCGTTAAAGGCAGCTATGGAGCAGTACGGAACCTCACAATTTGGGCCCCTAGCCATCGGTGGTATATTCTCCTATGCCTTTCTACCCCTGCTGAACAAGATACCTGATTCGCTTGCCAATTATCGCGACCCCGAGGACACACATCCGCTCCAAGAAGCTCATACGGATTACTACCACCATCTGCTCGAAAAAGGAGAGGAATCCACAGGAGGGTTCTTCACCTACGCGGCACAAGGGAACTTCAGCTCCGGATCTGGCTCTTCCTTGATGTCTTCTGGTTTCCTACCTGGTAATTATCTTTCCATTGCTATACTGCTGCTTCAGCCCTTGTCTCGTGGATGTGTGCATATACGTAGCGCGAACCCTTCAGATCCCGTTAAGGCCGACCCGCGATATCTCGCCCATCCGCTCGACCTTGAGGTTCTTGCCAGGCATATGACTTACATATCCACCATCATCTCCACGGAGCCACTGGCGTCTTTGCTGAAGCTCGACGGGCGCCGAAATGCTGGAGCGCCAGCCAACCTCACCGATCTCGAGGAAATGAAAAAATACCTCAGGAATATGACACAGAGTGGGTGGCACCCAACCTCCACATGCGCAATGCTCCCACTTGATAAAGGTGGTGTGGTTGATGAACGACTGGTGGCACACGGGACTACGAACCTGCGGATCGTCGACGCGAGTGTGTTCCCCATCACTCCAAAGGGCAATCCGATGGCGACAGTCTACGCAGTCGCCGAGCGAGCAGCTGACTTGGTGAAGGAAGACCTAAGAGACAGAAGGGAAGCAACGAAGGCCGAGTAGCTGAGTAGACTACTGACCACGGACATCCGATCCGCGTTGGAGGTCTTGCACTGAGATTATCCGGAACATCGATCACTTCTTCACATCCTCTAGCATAATTATCATGCGAATGAATCATGTTACTTTCGTGGCCACCTTTTTGAACGGGCTTCTCGTATTGAAATTCTGATTAAAATAGCTATTCTGCGTAGTATGAAAGGACTGCGTACAATTCGCTTGGGTATCTACTAGGGTATCTGCGCAACGGCCGGAAAATGAAATGAAAATTTTCTCTGCCCATATTACCTCACATTGCCGTCAAAAGAAAGTCCATTACTGGAGAAATGGTTGTTGAACCCGTGTCATCGTCCTTGCTCAATGCTCATCGATGATTCCTTCCCTACACATACCGTCCAAGGCTCATCGATCATAAAAGACTGCCCACATCCCCACGGCTTTCGAGGCTCAGGCGCGAAGTCTCCCTGAGTTCCTGCATCAGCAAGTTCATGCAGTTGCTGTCGCCTGGCTTCCAACTTATCCTCTCGCCGGCACTACTCCACCGGCGACTTCCCCTTCTGCTGTTCGCTGCGCTGCCTCTGCGACTACCGCCGCCTTCATTTTCGGCCACCCAAAATCTTGTCAGGGGCGTCTTCAGAGCTAGTAGAGACGAGCCAATTGTATCGCCTTCGCTGTCATCGGGCTGGTCCGGCTTGACGGTGTTGACAGAGCTGCTTCGGCTGTTTCCTGTTGGGGCTTTTTCTTCTTGTCCGACCCCGGGTTCAGTTTGTAGGGCAGACTTCCCTGAAGGTGGAGGCATGGGCGATGGCACACCCCAGCGATTCATCAGTTCATCCATCATCTTCTCCTGCTGTTGAATACGACGTCGTACGGCGACTTCGGCTTCAAACTCATGTTCCAAGGGCGTACGCGGGGTTTGAGCAGCTGGCGGTGGAGGCAGCACCACTTCTTGCACCTCAGGTTCTCGGAGTGGTGCTGCCTCCGGTTCAGCCTTTGCAACGTCTTGTACTGGTTCAGAGGCAATAGCAGCTATTTCTGCTTTGGGTTGTTCGAGTTGCAATCGAAGCTTTGATCCACCCTTCAATCCTCGCCTTTTCTTGCCCACAGTCTTTTGCTGTGGCATAAGACTAGCTCCCTGATGAGCACCGTCGAAGTCTTCGAATAATGGTCCTTTTCCAGTCGCATCTCCATCTGTCGCAATCACAGAAAGCATTGACCGTCGTGCCTCGGCCGCCATATCTATGATGAATTCATCCATCAACAGCGGAGCTCCTTTGCCATCCTTCTTCATTTCCTTCAATGTCCGAGTCATGTTTTCCAGCAAGGGGTCCAGAACATCAAGCCATGCATCACTGTGCCTTTGCAGACGTCGAACCCGGCGTTCAAGCTCGTCGGTTGTGCGTGATTTCTTGCGCGAATGCTCGCTGGACTGCTCAACATTGTCTTTAGAGGGGTTCTCCTTCTCACGCTTGGAAACTGTGAAGGCAGCCTTGGCGACCAAATCCGCGATTTCTTTCTCTTTCTCCAGTTTTTGCTTCTCAAAACGTTCCTTTACCACGATACTTCGACGCCGGGGTTGAGGATCGAGATCCTCCGGTTCGACAGCCTCTTCTTCTGTGTCAGGTTCCTCTCTGTCCAGTTCCTTGTGGCCCCGTCGCGGTGGAGTTCGGTCCCACGATGCTGGTGATGTAGTCGAGCACATGATGTGAGCCGGAAGGCTGAGTCGCTTTAGTGCTCTGGCCTGCGAAGAAGGGGAAACGGTCGGTACGCTAGACCTTCCAGATCCTTGGGCATACGTGGCCTTCGCGTGATCGATCGTTGCAGAAGGGACTGCGGACACCTTGATTGGTAATAGCTTTGCGCGAGAAAGTCGTTTAGTGTGCGCTCTTGGTCGCAAAGGGGACCTGGGAGGTAGATGTGGAGGTGAAGTGTTGTCAAAGCTCAACACAGTCGACACACGTAGGTTAGAAGTAGGCGAGAGAAGCACGCCGGGCTTGACGCTGGCAACCACCATAATCGGTGAAATCGTAAGCTCACAAGCTGGTGCTTTAGATAACTCAGGAACTGGCTCCGGTTCAATGACTTCGGCCAATATCGGCGACATACTCCATTCTTGACGAGTCGGAGTGTGTATCAAATCAGTCCCAGATTGATCTGCTGTGGGAGCGGCCGCTGGCACTGTGTTTTGAAGGATCTGCGGTTTCTGGATGCCCAACGTTGATGGCGACTCTGCTTGATGACTTTCATGTGCCTCAACAATGGATGCAGAAGATGCGTCCACTTCTTTTGCGAGAGGGGAGGGGCCACGGAAAGAAGGCTTGCGGACTACGGGGCTCTTATATGAGAACCATCCGAGAATCGGAGAGTCGACAGACTCAAAGCTGGACGGTCCCTGAACAGGCAGCTTCATGCTGGATCGAGATAGATCGATACTTTGCTGTCGTATTTCACCTGATTTCCCCTTTCGCATCATCCTTCTCTCCGCAATACTCATGGGTTTGCCGACACCTTCCCAGCCTGGGATGGCTGTTTGGGGTGGAAGGCCCCCTTCAGGACGGAGTCGGCTTGTGTAATCTGAGCGCGCGTCATACGTATTTTGCTTGGAACCGCTTTCTGACGGTGGTGGGGACGATGTGAATGTCTCCCGTGTGTAGTCGATGTCTGATGTTGAGTCTTTTCTGAATTCATCATCGGGAATGCTGAGCACAGTACTGGCTGTTGTCGCATTGCTCCTCGTTGACTGGCGATTGGAGTCGCTGGTTGAAGTGGATTGCCTGTAAGATTCTGTTGTATACGTAGCGGTACTCGAGGTCGATAGTCGACGGGAATCTGTATCGCTCACGACTGATTGCGCGATGGACTCGCGACGGTCCTCACAGGCCGTTACAAATGACGCCGCAGAATCAGGCCGAACTATCGAGGCATCATCTGCTGCTAGCATTGACTCCTTTGAGGTCATGACGTCTGCTGCCGCCGCGAAAGATAACGTTTCCGCCTGTATTGGGGCTTCTGCAGCACGCAAATCGACTGGCAAGGGGCGTTGTAAGCCTTTGGAGGCTGTGGTGATATAATCAGACTGCGAGTGTGAAAGACCAGGGCGTGTTGGTTGCATAACGATCTCATCCAAGGAGATGGCGGTAGAGAGAGATCTGTTGGCTTTTTTGCTCGATGTTCGAGGTCGTATGGTTGGGGGAGATATAGCTGAGGATAGGGTCGGCGCTCTCGAGTTCAGGCTGCTTGCTGGAGACGGCGACCTTGAACTCCGTGGGGGTGATGGAAACGTCATGGCAGCAAGCATATTTGGAAAACCGGGTGATTCGGGGACCAGAGCTTCGCTAGGTACAGTCAAGGTGGATTTGACTACGATAGCTGGTGGCTTCTTTGCCGCATTGCGGGGGGTTGTGGGCGATGACAGCCTGGAATGCAGGCCCGGTAAACTATCCTGGCGTTCTCTGTTGCTTGATGACATTGGTGAGGTTGGTGGCGATGTTGTAACGGAATGAATCTTGACTTCGGGCCATTCAAAATCTCGCAATTGTCCTGATGGTGGTGGCGTTGCAGGAAACTCCACTACTGAACCCTGAGATATTGAATTTTGATGTTTGGGACCTGTCTGAGCTTGTGTTGCTGCAAGAGAAGACCCTCTCGGACTTGGCTGCATCCCATTGTATTGGTCAATAACGGGAATCGTCCTCCGCAGAGACGGCTGAAGCTCATTCTGCCCATCGACGGAATCCCGTAGAGAAGAGTGTCTATCACTGTGAAGAGCACGAGTCACTCTTCTTCCCCTAACGGTATCGTTTGCTGAACCAGTACTCCCATGCCGTATATCGACTTTCTTAGGTGAACCCTCCAAGGACCCCGACGAAGCCGGGAATGTTGGGCTTAGCGCCCCCTTTGAAGATGTCCTCTCCGGCCATGAAGGCGGGTGAAATTTCGGCCGAGCAGGAGCATCATTAGAGGCGGGAGATTGTGCGCGAGGTGTAGCAGCGTTGGCACTGCCCTGGTCGGAAAGATCTATGGTGGCATAAGGGTATCCTTCTATAGTCTTCTTCGCAACAATCCTGTCAGAGAGCTGAATGTCGGAGGGTTGTAGTTGTAGGGACATAGCTGGTGCCCTCCCGCGTTTCCTTCTGATCAACGACTGTATGGACCGTTTCCTGTCCATCGGCCCGGACCCTGATAAGCTGAAGAAGTTGTCGTTCGACGCGGTAGAGTGACGTGGCGGCGCAGTGGTCCGGAGGAACTTGGCCAGGTCGCGCAAACTGTGTCGCTCATTTTGCTCGCCCTCATTGTCCTGGGGCTCAAGCTTAGCAGACCGCGATGAGAAGCTGTTGACAGTATCCAGCATATTAGATGTGGAGTGGGAGCGTGGTAAACGCATCCGCTTGAATGCCGCCTTCTTGGACATGTCCTCGACGAGGCCCGTCCGCGTCCCGGTAGATCCATCGCCAGCCTGGAGCGACAAGCGTCCCGGCTCGAGCGGCGTTCCGGACATGATGATTTGCGAGAATTGTGAAGAAAACCGCTGAAGATTCTTTCCTAGTGAGTGCGAGCCATAGGCGTGTACTATACTAGCAATGTAGTCTTCTCAATGAATGAAATCAGTATATGTCCCTTCATCGCATTGCGACCCCAGTGGATCGGACTCCAAGTGGTTAGAAGCGAGCGTGGCAGTTTGTCAAAGACAGTTGTCGCGGGCGCGACCTCTGGACAACGAAGGTCTAGCTGTTGATGAGCTGAAAGTTGGGACAGCGGCGCGGCTCGGATCCCAAGAGCAGCAGTCACTGCGAAAACAACCAGGGGCGCGACGAGCGTAGGGCAGAGCGTTATGTGGGTGAAGGATTCAGGTACGAAAACTGCAAGTATCCCACTTGGCCTGCAGGAAGAAATGAGCGACTCCAGATAAGGTATCGCACCACAGAGACGGCTGCCGATCTTAGCTACAGGTTGGTGCAAACGGGGGTGCGTTCAATCACAACGGGCGCCTATCTTCGACTCATGGAGTAATACACGTCTGTGACAGGACGCTTTTTCGCAGTTTCTCCGACCATTCGAGGTCGTCTCCCATTGCTTAGCACCGGAAAAGAGCCACTTGAGAAATGACGGCGAGGCTATCATCACTCGATGCTTTGGACTAGATATATGCCGGCTCTTTCTACATAGGTTTAGGGAAAGGGATCGGCAGCTTGTCCAGGGGTCAGGACTAGTCAGGCAACGCTACAGATTTGGCGCCGCGCTGCTGCCGTTCCTGGGATAGCTCGAGGTACCAGGCACATCTAGTCGGCCGTATCTCGAGCTACGTTGACTGATTGACAGTCAGTGGGGGCGCGGCCGTCGTGCAACGCAACAGGACGGAGTCCAACGGATTCGGAGAACAGGGGAAATTGGCAGAGCGTTCCTAGAGAATGTCATTGCACTGGATATCCTCAACCCCTTCCTGGTCTTCGATCCTCTGCACCCACGTGGTCAGATGCCTGCCACAGAGATCGGCGGAACCGAGAAAACGCCATGTTGACGGGAAATGGGGATAATTTAAATGAGGGCAGATGGTAGTGCCGTGCGGGGGGTTAGGATTCGCCGGGTCTCTGCAAGGGGCGGGCCCCAAGCGGGCATTTAGCGATGCCATGCCCGCGGGCCCCCCTGTCTCCCATGGTTTTGCCCTTTGGCGGCCAAGCTGGGTCCAAAGCTGGCTGGCTGGATGCCCCGGATGCCGTCTCGGTCAGCGCCTGGGCTGCGGGCATCTGAAAGAAGAGTTGGAGCGTGCGCCAAGCGGCAGCCAGATTGCGCATCTTACCAATCTGGGTCTCTTACGAGTCTCCCGTCGGCTGTCGCCTCGAGGCGAAAGAGACCGACATGGGTGGTTCGCCATCGGATCAGTCATGTCCTTCGATCTGGCCGTCCTGGCAGCGCGGCAGCCTGGTCACCGTCCCTCAAGCTCTTGGCTGAAATTGATCGTCGTCCTGATTCATGGGCTACCCAGATGCCTGTGGCTATCACCCGCCCGTTGGCCGCCTCGCTTTTCGTACGAGTTTGGTGGAAACGTGTTGGTGTGCCAAGGATATATCAATAAGGTACAGCCGAAAAGTTTCGGGGCCGGGTCTGTTGGCCAGCTGTGCTTCTTCGTAAGGCTAAGTGCGGATCTAGTGATTTTGCCAGATTTCGCCCGAGCATAATGTGATCATCCAGAATAAGTTGCACGCCGTCTCCGATTCGTATTGCTGCTAGTGTACTGAGGTAATATGATGGTCACAAGCTCGTGCATTTGTTAGTTTGGTCCCAGAGAGCACAGCAAACGCTAAAGTGCCTTCTCCGAAGGGCCCAATCGTGACAAGATATGATTTTCTACAAATGCGTATTGTTGCTTCATATTCAAGTAACTTCGAACTGATATAGATGAAGGCTTTTCAGGAAACCTAGGCTCAACCCGACTGTTTGAGAGGAGATGGCGGAACCCCGGGTCAATATAGTCTCATGACGTCAGATACAAGTTTATCAAACACCACAAACGAGATGGTTACGATTCCTCTCTAACCTACTGTTCATCAATCCATGACAATTGCGAAGATGGTCAATTTAACAAGCCTCAACCCGTTCTCCCCCAGCGTGAAGGCTACTGCCGTGGTATCTGATTTACGGATCTACCCAATCAAGTCGTGTCGCGGCATCTCCGTGCGCTCTAGCTTCGTCACCAGAAAGGGGCTTGATCTGGACCGAAACTGGATGTTTGTGGCGCCCAAAGATGGAAAGCAGCACAAGTTTGTCACTATTCGAGAAATCTCCGAGCTCACCTTGGTCGAGACCGCGTTCGCTAGTGCAGCCGGTCACGTCGCAGAGGGCGGAGAAGACGATCTCGAACTCGTTATCAGCATTAGGAACCACCCTGAGAAGCGCGTGATGATACCGGCCAGGCCGACTAGAGAATGGCTAGAGAATCACACAAAATACGACAAAGTCGACATCTGGGGCCTAGAGACAGATGGTTGGGTGTATGGCGATGATGTGAACTCGCTCATCAGCGACTGCATCAGGCAGGATGTCAAGCTCGTGTACAAAGGCCCAACGCCAAGATTTCTCCGGGGAAATGGCGCTCCTGATCAGTTGGGCAGGGAGGAGTCGACGAACTTCCCCGACGTGCTACCCTTGCTCCTTGCTAACGAGACATCACTGCACGAACTTAATGGACGCCTCAAAGTCAAGGGGGCAAATGAGATTACGATTGAGCGCTTTCGACCGAATATCGTTGTTCAAAGTGGTGAAGCTTGGAGCGAGGATGACTGGAAGAGGGTTCGCATCATCAATGGCGAAGCCCCTTCTGGTACTTTCGTGACCTCGGGCCCCTCTACCATCGATATCGATGTCCAAGCGCATTGTGCACGATGTCAAGTCCCAAATGTGAACCCCGAGACCGCTGAGAAGAACGCACATGAGCCCTGGGATACCCTGGTCAGCTACCGCCGCATTGATGACGGTATCAAGTGGAAGCCATGCTTTGGTATGCTTAGCTGCCCCCGCAATGAAGGACGGGTTAGAGTGGGAATGAAGATGGAGATCATTGAGACAACGCAGAACCATGTATATATCAAAGGTTTCTAGTAGGAATACAGGGTAGTCGATGATATTGTTTTCGATAACATGTGCATCAAAAAATTTTGCCACTGCAGCATCGGAGTTCTCCTGTAGATATCCTGGAAGATCCCAATTGGCGACAAAAACAACCTTTTGTAACCATGTAGGTCTCCTCGAGCAAAAAGAGAAATTCGATGGCGTATCAGGCTCGTTTTTCACTATGATATAATTCTAAGACATTCTTGAAAGGGTCAGTGAGACCTCTGAATGCCGCATTCTCCGTCAGATGGCTGCCTGTGAGCTCCGGGTTGGTCGAACCTCGATACAGGTTTCTGATGGTAATTTGTATTCCGGGTAGCATGTCCAAGTTAGAGGCACTATGGACTGCAGAGAAACTCCGCAAAGATGTCACATTGGAGTGTTGCTCCTGCTCTGAACGCTCAAGAGGCGACAACAACGTAGTCCAACCGTCGACCTTCTCCAGTGAACCAATCTCTGGTTCGCCCTCAGTAAACACGGGCGTCCTCCCATACTCCTCAAGAGGATTCAAAATTTCGAACGAGTGTTTGTCACATTTAGTGGATATCTCCTCGTTTAGTCGAAACACAACTTTGACGCCGAGTTTGTCGTCATTAGTGTGTACGTTGACTTTAATGCTTAATGCGAATTTCGCGACTGCCTCAGATATAACCTTTCTGCAGCTGGCACGGGATGAGTTTGTTCCTACATTTAGGTCAATGTGCTTCAGCAACTCGTCTACGAGAGCCCCGGCAAAGCGCTCGACTACATCTTTGCGCTGGTCCTCGTTAAGTCGTCCTGTTATTGTGATAATGGAAAACGAGTCGTCAGCTTTCATGTCCGCGGTGAAGCCCCCTGGTTGGTCATTTAGATGGACCGAGTCGGTGTAGTCGTGCCTTTGACTCGTAGAAGCTGTCGCTAATTGACCAGATTCGAGTTCTTTGTGCTCCGCCAATGGAGACTTAATTGGGAGAGTCGGGGGCTTTGTCGAGATTGTTCTTTGATGTGTCTGAGCAGAGGTTGTAACAGTTGCGGGGTCTTCCGTCTCCTCTCCTTCTGAGTCGAGAGGCTCTTGCGAGGAGCTGACTTGGGCTTTCCCGGGTTCTGGCTGTCTAGCGTACGTTGTCTCGTTTATGGCACTATATCGTTCTCAGATGATGAATCTGCTCTGTGATCCCGCCGCCCATCCCACACCCCAGAAAAAAATGGGGAGGGAGCTTAACTCTTTTCTCCTTTGCTTGCCTGACCTCCTAATCCTTTGTGGTCGCGGATTCGTTCATCGGTGACGCTTGTGTCACTTTCTTCAGCCGATTCTTCTTCTGATCCTTCTATCTCTCGCGCCCACTTCTCTGCACGAGCCAAGCGCTCTTTGTATCGTGAATCGTTCTTGTCGATCATTGTGGTGTACATATTTTCGTCCTAGTCTGTCTGGATGCCGAAAAGACGCTCATTTTGCTCAAATTAATCCTACGGCGCGTCGCGCTTGCTTCTTAAGTCATGGATGGTATGATCAGAGGAAACTGTGCCCTTTGAAGCGGCAGTTGAATGAACTACTTCATGATCATCCTGGTGCCAAAATCCGAAACGCGTTTGTCCTGTATCTTCCAGTTGAAAGAGAATGACAGGCTTCAATGGAGGAGCCCTGCCCACTGGTTTGGGCCTGGATGGCATGTTTTTGAGGACAGTGCAGCGGGAAAGTCGCAGAGCTCTGTTGAGGTAGTGCATATTTCAGTTTTGGAAGAGCTGTCAAGGGCCGGCGTCATACGACGCGAACGGGAACATGGTCAGACTTCGGAGGATTGAAGTTGGAGAAAAGTCACTCGTTACTGTGATGGTTGTTGCCAGCCTCGTGCGGCTGATGTGTGGGGAATAAACACGCAGAAAAACATGACAACCAGCCTGATCTAATAAGGGCAACAGAATTATTAGGCACATGATTGCTGTGTTAGAACTCGAGTAGCTCTGAAATGGTTAGCTTGTGATTATATCATTCTGGGTGGGACCTGCACCAGCTATTGGTTGCTGATGTTTTCCAGTGCGTTACAAGTCAAGATAAATTCTTTTCTATGCCTCGTCCCACTTCACCTGGTCGCCGCACAAGTTGCCTGGTCAGGAAGTTCCCAAATTTTCCTATGCATCCCTGCAACATAGTTGCAGTGGCAGTCTGGAATAACCCCGAATATACGATAGAGCCGTCTAACAGTCCAGTGAACGTTGCGAATGCCTATCACTCATACCCAGACCTGTATTAAGCATAGAGCTTACCCACTTCCGGTGCTGAAACCTCATCTATCTTGGTACCAAAGCTGATGTGGCCCACGGAAGGAGCGTCTTCTTCCAGATCATCCGAGTCGTTCAGCGGCCAGCCCGCTGGGACACTGACCACACCCCATTTGAGCTCACATTGAGAAATTTTAGTCAGAAGCTCGTTTGACCCATGTGAAGCGGCTGATGCGAAGCAATCATCAGAGTTTTGACCGTCGACTGGACGCTCTGATCCAGTCTCAAGTTCTGCGTCGTCGGTCGCCTTGGAATCGGCTTGTGAGAGTGGAGAGACATGACACGATGCCGCTATCGCAAATGAATTGCTGCCAACGATGATACTGTTTTCCGGCAGTCGAAATAATCCAGTAGCGACAGGGATGCATACCAAAGTGTATGAGAGTACGAGGAGGACCACCAAAGACAAACTTGAGTATGCTGCGGCGACAAAAGCCTGGAACGGCATATTGGAGAAGTCAAGTCCTAGGTTATATTCTAGCTGAGAATAGTAGCCCCCAACAGAAAGTGTCAAATATAGAGTGTTTGATAAGACCCAGTGTAAAAGGATGCTTATCAAGATCAGTGGCACACTATACTTATAGGGAAGTTGCAATCGGTATGTAAACCTTTGCTTGCCTTTAGGGTCCGAGACTCTTAACGGCATGTACTTCACACTTAATGCTGCCCATTCTACGCCCATTTGCATTCTGGTGAATAGATTGTTGAAGGAAAAATAGCAGAATGACAAGAATAGTTGAGGTGAGTTCACGACAAGGACAGTTAGACTGAACGGTAACCCTGATATCAGCCCGATTATTGGATTCGCCGGATCTTGACCAAATCTTCCTGTTCTTGAACGTTTCAGTTACTACTTCCTAATAAGAACATGTATACTTACAAGCCGCCGGCAGATAGCTGATTTAGGTGAATAAAATAACTGATAGTAGCCATACTTAAGGCGAAGAGTATATACGAAGAAAGCCACACAGAAGCAGGTACTGCGTGAAGCCGTCGTTTCGGTTGCTTTTGCCATATGGATGGTGTAGGTACTGCCATCTTGGCGCGAATGTACGATTTTCCGCAGGGCATCGACTGTCTTGGCAGACATAACCCTCTCGTAATAACAGATGGTTCGCAGATATGCGACTCTACGACGTCACCGAGTGTTACTAGCGGATACGAGCTGTGGGTATTGATAACGCAGAGGCACAAGATGACCTTGACCAGTACACACACAACTACTACCAACAGTAGTATTGTAGAGAGGCCAATTCTGCATTGGGCGTCGTTCGGTTCGGCCAAACAGCACTTCAAACTGTGCTCGTTGAATCGCTTCTGGAATCCATAAAAGGTAACGTAGCCCAATTCGTCATGATAGAAGGCGTCGTCAAAAAAGGCAAATGTCCACAATCCTGTGGTTGGGTTGCGCTGAAGGTTGAGGAACTGTGTGCATCTGTTTTCAACTTGCAGTGAAGCCGTCATTTTCAGATTGAACTCATCATAAACGTTATAAATCCTCATGAAACAGTGCTGCTTATAGTCGAATAAGAAATTTGTGGCTTTCGCAGGTATATGGTCGTCCCAAAATGATGTACTTGACGAGAAATTCCATACCTCAGAACGCAGCCATCCGTTAGGGTTATCAACGACGAATACGACGTCCCGATATGTGTGTATACCCATCCCATTGAAGTAAAAAGCCTCGCAAGTATCAACGTCCAATCGTTTCCATTGGCTTAGATCGGTCTGCATCTCTGACATTTTTTGCTGTCCTTTAGGGTCAGAATAGTAGTAAGGCGTATAACTCGAAAAGTTGCGGTATTGATTGTCAAGGTAAAACACCCCGGCAGCTCCAACGGCGGTGCCTGGCCAGTATCCTGGGCCTCCAGCAATGAAGGGTTCTGCAACTATTGCCTGATTATAGTGCTGTCCACGATAATCCACTGCGAAGACTGCACTGTTGAAGAATAAATGAATGGGAAGGGACGATAGGAAGAAGAGCACCCAGTAGATTGTTCGGGTCCTCGACACCCTGAAAGCATTTCGAGCCGAAGGAACACCAACATCAAGCCAAGACCCTTTGCTATGCGCGTCATCCAGCTCTGTCCTGGTTGGCGAGTTCAGCACCTGCATAAAGAAATTGGAGGAAGCTAGGACGGCGGTCGAGACTATATTAATTAATAGATGGAAAACCGTGTTGAGTTTTTCCGCTCGCTCGGTACTACAAGCAGCGGCAAAAATGACAGTGAGTTGGCCGCCTTTTTCCGATTTCGCGTAGGCGATGACGAGGATGATGCTTAGAGCGATGAGAAAGATCACCACGAGGTACGTGTTGATGATAGCGGCCCTCATCCATCCCTTAAAGGGGCCTTTCAGGTAACCTGTCAAGGCCCCTGCTTTATTTCTCACTTGGGTCGGAAACATCCTGATACCTGACAATTAAAGAAACTGGACTGAGTATAGTATAATAGTGGTAACTGTCTTCTGCTGCTTTGACGTGTGTCGTCTTTTTATCAAATGATGATGGAGCGATGGCAACAAAATGTCACGTAGTGACTGAGGTGGCAGTACTAATGAGAGGTAAGAAGAGGGAGAACTGATTCTCAAAAGTGCGGGAGCAGCCCCCCGAGTCAAAGCGCTATATTTGACCAAAGAGGTGCTGCACATGTGCTTATTTTCGGCGAGGCTGCGCTGCTGCATTCGACACTAATATGGCTGCGCCAGGATTGTACTACAGTAATGGGCAAGACCAGACGCAATCGCAACGCACAGTATGGGACAGCTTATTCGGAACCTACTTTTCAGTCATTTCATCCGTCGTACAATTGCCGACCCCACGCACGTATATCGGTGCGCCACCATTCTCGCTAACCTCTCCACTGGGGCTGGCAGTGGCAAGCCGCAGTGTTGCATTCGATACTATGCAGTATGTGCCAAATCCATTTGTTGAGATTACCACAAAAGAGCACGCCCGGTACCAAGTTCATCTACTACACTGAATACTCACATAAATGGTTGGAGCCCGGTCAATTATTCGCTAATTATATACCCAAACCCCCACCCCCTGCCTATTTCCCCCCTTGAGTCCTCTAGTATAATGATGGAAATGATCTCCCAGTAATTCTTCATTCATGTGGTGCGACGTGACCTAAAGCCATTCTACGTGTTGGAGACATAATATTACGGTGGCTTTGACTGTGCAGAATATAGAAGAACTTCCCAGTAAGCCTACGTCCTTGGCGTTGTAGATTGAACAAGATATCACAAAGTTCGCAAAACAAATACTGGATTGCTGGATTACCGCGTATAATACCAAGAAATTGAGCACTTCTGCTCTAATCGCTTGATTTCGTCATGGTAGAGAGCCATTTTCGTACATATAAGGAGTCTCGGTCCCTTGTTTTGATCTCATATAAATTCGATGTTCGCTTTACATGTTCTTTCTCTCATCGTTGTCTTAGCTGCGCCATGACTGGGCACTGAATGCCGCTGGACGTTTTGCTTTGTCGAAGAAGCTACCTTCTATCTTACGTTCATTTTTGGGAACCTTTGCATTGCTTGGAGGACCACTGCTATCCAGACCTCATGAAAACAAAATAAGAGCTCAGGATGCGGCGGAGCGTGAAGCCCAGAAATTAATTCACAAATGACTCAAGAGAATTCGAGTCGCATTTCTCGATACCAAGACGTATCTACTGCGGTTGCACCCGGTGGGACCGGACACCCAACCCGTATAAGTAAGTAGTGTAGGCGCGACAGCTTACCAAAACATGCGACTATCAATTCCGCCCTTCGTGAGAAAGAGTAGTCTTGGTAGATCTAGTAACAAACGAACGTCCATCGAGAATCTCATAAAATGGAACTTGGCGTGTCTTATATTTACTCATGAATAGGTTCCTAAACTGTCTAACAGCTCCAAACCAGAAATGCAAGGCGGCCTGAGATCTGATACAACAAGCTGCCGGAAATTCAATAAAGGCCGCAAGGTCCGGACCTCATTCTTCTTCTCCTTTCTTTTACCCTTCTCAACTCCTCTAGTTACCAGGCGGTACCATCCGCCACGTCAAATCATACCCATAACAACTCGTCGAGCCCACCGCGCCCTTCTGTCCCGCGCCCGCCACGACGGCGAGGCCGGCGTCGAGGAACGCTGCGACGTCGCTGGACGCGATGCGGAAGGGGTCGTTGCCGTCCTCGGGCTGGTTGACGCTGACCTCGAAGCGGCAGCCGCCGCCGTCCGCCACGGCGTGGAACATGCCCTGCTGGAACGTCGTGAGGATGTAGTTGGCACGGCCGTCGCTGACGCTCCGGCGCAGCGCCGCGCACGCGTCCAGCCAGCCCGCGGTCGCCGACGAGCCCGCCAGCGCCACCGTGCTCGTGCCTGCGCTCGCCTCGCAGAACGGCGATGATGTTGGTGTCAGCTTCCACCCGCAGCACCCGCCCGGGCAGCTCGGCGCCGTCGCGATGCTGTCTAGATACGTGCAGGCGGGCCCCGAGGCCCGCGGGCTGAGGACCGGGGAGGCGAGGGTCAGGGTCAGGCTTGAGGCTTGGAGGAGGAGTGTGAGGAGCATATTCGGGAGATACATCTTGAATCTTGTTGATGGTGTTGTAAGTCAGAAGGCTCCTTAGTTTGTGATGTATGGCTGACTGGCATCTGAAGGTTCGGTCAGGTGGTCGTCAGGTCTCCCAATGCCTTGGAGGAACGGATAGTCCGAATCCATTCTGTGGGGGAGGTCTCCCGACCACGTTATATAGAACCAGAACGCCATCGTGTAAGTCACAGAAAAGGGATGCTTGCATGGCTGATCGCACTGGGAGACAAAGCCACCTCCCTCTCCGGGGGTAACGAATCTCCACAGACCTTCGTCTGCCCCCGTGACATCGGCCACTTGACCGCGAGATGGCTCCATGCACGAGGCCATCACAGTCACTCCTTGCCTCGCTACTTGCCCCAGGCTGCTGTGACGTGCACCCGGCCCCCGGAGGGCGGATGTCCAATGGGAGGCGCGGGCGGGCGTACGGGGGAAACCTGGGCGGCTATTTCGAAGCCCGTGGCCACCAATCACGATCCCGCGTCGTGGGACGGATTACCCAATCAGGATATCTGACGTCCGGGGACTCACAGCTTAGGGGGGATCTTGCGGCCACGTTTTTTTGGCCCCAATTTCTGGCCTCACCGATTGCCGACCCCAATAGGCTGCGCCATCGGCCCTGCGAAATAACTGACCCCCTGCGTACTTGGGTAGAGAGCACCGCTCCCTTTAGTGTAGATCGGCCTTGCTTGGTATGCCCGGATCAATTGGCTGGGCGGTGAACTCGTGATGCGGCCTGCAATGCAATCGACGCCTCTGTGCTCGGGAGGATTGTAGCCGTGATATGCCGCTTGACGTGTTGGTAGCAACAGGCTCATCTTGTAGGAGTAACGCCCCGTTTAGACGAGAGTGCTGCACATGTTGGCCGGCGCAGGAGGCGGGCAAAACCGTCTGCCTCAAGGTTGCATGCCGCTGGTGCATGCATGAACTTCCCTCACATCCGTAAGACGTGTAAGCTCACATTTGCCATGCGTCCCCCTTACATGTCACATATGAACGCCATCAAGTCTGGACATTTATGTACTTTCTCTACTCCGCCGTTTCCGTGATATATGTACAGTACATTTGAAGCCAGTGACAAACAAAGGGAAAACCCAGCCTCGAAACGCAACCAATACTAGTCTTTTGCCTCCGCCACTCTTTCTATACCACTGCAGCTACTTGTCCATTCATGCACCGTACGCGACCTGGCCCATGGGCTTGTCCTCAGTGATACCGGGTGCCATGAAGTCCGTCTTCGGGTTGCCCGTCTTCTTGGCAGCTGAGCAACGCGCCATCGTTGGCGAGCTGTATTGGGAGTTAGTACGAGCGTACTGGCTTGGGCGATAAAGCGGATGTACATACCTTCTAGAGATAACGTCTGTGAAATAGAAGTCATCGATGACCTTCTTCAGGGCCTCACCACTGGGCTTCGAGCCCTTGTTCTGGTCCACCAACTGTACCTTGCTGAGCTGCTTTAATGACGTAGGCTCAACGACATCGTAGGCGGTAAGGGCCGGGCTGATCTCTTGCATTCTGTCTCGCAGCTGCGCAACATCATCGTAGGGCAGAGGAGCGCCGAGGAATTCGGAGATGGCACGGATAATCTTCCAGTCGGTGCGAGCGGCACCGGGTAACGAAGTGGCAGCACGGGTCATCTGTACGCGTCCTTCGGTGTTGACGTAGGTACCAGCCTTCTCAGTGTAGGCGGCACCAGGGAGAACGATGTCGGCAATCTGGGCACCGCGGTCGCCGTGGTGGCCCTGGTAGATGACGAAAGCATCCTTGGGAATATCGGCCTCGTTGAACTCATCGGCACCAAGCAGCCAGACCATCTTTGGCTTGGTCTCGGCAACAGCTGCCGATGGAGGGACGAAGCCAACCTCAAAGGCACCGGCTCTCGAGGCCTCTCTCTGCAGGACGTTGTATCCGTTGTGCTCGGGGGTGAGGAAGTTGGCGGCGTTCTTGTCGACGAAGCCGCCAATGAGCTCGTAGATGGCCTTGGCATCAGGAGAGTCGGTGACACCGGAGCCAACAACGATCATGGGCTTCTTGGCTGCCTGGAGCTTCTTGCCAAAAGGTCCAGTGAGGGCCTTCTTCAGGGCGGCGAAGTCGGCGCCAAGATGCTCAAACTCGAACGTGGAATCCCAGGTCTCGCCGACGACACCGATTTCGAGGTCAGATCGCAGCCACTGCTTGCGGATACGGGCGTTCAAGCCAGCAGCCTCGTGCCTGGTGTTGGTGCCGACGAGCAGGATGCAGTCAGCCTCCTCAATGCCCCAGATCAGGGAGTTGAAGAGGTAGTTGGAGCGCACGTCGATTCCGTGAGCAACAGGGGCCTTGCCAGCGGGGGTATCAATAGTCAAGTTCTCCGAGCCAAGCTTGTTGGCCAGGTCCTTCATGGCCACCATGGACTCGACCTCGGTGAGGGCACCAGCGATGGCCTTGAACTCGTTCTCCTTGGGCTGCAGTGCCTGGTGAGCGGCAGCGATCTCGGTCAGAGCCTGCTCCCATGAGGCCGGCTCAAACTTGCCCTCACGGCGAACCAGAGGCATGGTCAGACGCTGGGTCTTGAGGCCGTCGCAGGCAAATCGGGACTTGTCGTTGATCCACTCCTCGTTGACGTCGTCGTTCAGGCGGGGCAGAACACGCATGACCTCGAGGCCACGGGAGTCGACACGGATGGCGGAGCCTAGACCGTCAAGAACATCAATGGATTCGGTCTTCTTCAGCTCCCACGGACGGGCGCGGAAAGCGTAGGGCTTGGAGGTCAGAGCTCCCACGGGGCAGAGGTCGATGACATTCCCAGACATCTCCGAGTCCAGGTTCTTCTCGAGGTAGGTGCCGATCTGGATGTCGTTGCCACGGCCGAAGGAGCCCATCTCGGGAGCACCGGCGATGTCATTGGCGAATCGAATACATCTCGTGCAGTGGATACACCTGTTCATGGAGGTCTTGATCAGGGGGCCGATGTTCTTGTCCTCAACGGCACGCTTGCCGCCAATCTCATGGAATCGGCCTCGGTCGCCACCGTATCGCATGGACTGGTCCTGAAGGTCACACTCGCCACCCTGGTCGCAGATGGGGCAGTCGAGAGGGTGGTTTGCCAGCAGGAACTCCATGACACCTTCGCGGGCCTTGTGTGTGAGGGGCGAGTTGGTCTTGACGACCATGCCGGGCTGGACGGGCCATGCGCATGATGCGACGGGCTTGGGGGCTTTCTCGACTTCGACCAGACACATACGACAGTTTCCGGCGATCATTAGTTTTCTGTGGCATTTGTCAGCGCTGCGTCTCGGATGGTAATCGCGTCGAGGTCGGTCAGGCGGGAGCGGAAGCGGAAGCGGCGGAGGAGGACATACTCATGATAGCAGTATCTGTGAACTAGATTAGCATGACGAGACGTAGCAACGGGAGACGACGGGACGGGAGGGCGTACCTAGGCACAGTGACTCCGGCCTTCTCGCATGCCTGAATTAACGCGGATCCAGCTGGGGGGGACTTGTGGTCAGTATGTGGCGTTCTCATCACGACCCGGGCGTCGTTGGGGGGTCGATGGGGACACACCTTCGATCGAGACCTTCTTGCCGTCTGCAGGGAATCAGTCAGCTGCCGTCTACGGACGGATTGAATTGGAGAAGAGAGAGGCGTAGACAGGGACGCACCGACTGTGAGCTCGACCTCGGCGGGCCGTTGAGCAGTCGCGGAAAAGGCTCTGGTGGCACTGGCGGCCTGCCTGCTGGTCCGCCAAGCCGAACGAGCCAGAGAATGTCGAAGCATCGTGTCGTCCCGGCGGAATTGACGATGTAGAGGGGAGAGGGAGGCAGCAACGAATGCTGGGGCGGCCGATTGAGAGCTCGGGGAGAGTGTTGACGTCTGTCTTTCGCCCTTTGGCCAGCAAGAAGTGCAGTCGGGTCGGGAATAATAGTGGCGCTACCGAACATTGAACGGGCTGCGGGCTGCGATTAGGATCGAGCGCGATTTGATTGGCGGGCCGAAGCTCCACACGGCCTTTTTTCACCTTTTCGCTGGTCTGGGAGCTGGGAGCTGGGCGAGCTGATGCATGCATTCGGGGCCACAAGGCGACGTTCTATGTGGCCTATATGTAGCCGTCACTCGAGGGTCGGGTGACGGATCTATAGAAGTACTTCTCTCATGCTGAAGTGACGCTTCACTAATGCTACAGGGCGCGGTATCGCCGGCAGTGTCGACCTCCTCTCACACTGCGGCGTAACGATACATGGAGCTTGCCATTGGGCGCAGGTTGGCGAAGGAACCAACAGCCCGTCGCAGCTGGCAGACACAAAACCGGGGGTTTCAGCACAGGCCGCAGGCACCCTTTGGCTTCCTTGGCCCCGGCACAGGGGCTTTCTCTGGCCCCAACGGCCCAAGGTGCTTCTCCCAGACTTCCACCCCCATGCCCCCATGCCCCCATGCCCAGAGGCACCTGTAGCCTGTAGCCTGTAGGCCCAAGCTTCAGCTTTCATCTGCTCTGCCCCCTGAAGTGCCCC